TATTAAAATTTCATTCTGTAACATTTCAAATGGTGTTGGTGCCGTCAATTCACTCTGACATCTCCAATTCACTTTTTTTTAGTCGGTGCCTAGTATAATATCAAAGTGTTCGGCCTGTTACGGGCGCAGTTTGGCTCCAAAAAAGGCGATACTTGCGGTATTAAAATTTCATTCTGTAACATTTCAAATGGTCTAGGTGTCGTCAATTCACTCTGACATCTCCAATTCACTTTTTTTAATCGGTGCCTAGTATAATATCAAAGTGTTCGGCCTGTTACGGGCGCAGTTTGGCTCCAAAAAAGGCGAAACTTGCGGTATTAAAATTTCATTCTGTAACATTTCAAATGGTGTTGGTGCCGTCAATTCACTTCGACATCTCCAATTCACTTTTTTTTAGTCGGTGCCTAGTATAATATCAAAGTGTTCGGCCTGTTACGGGCGCAGTTTGGCTCCAAAAAAGGCGATACTTGCGGTATTAAAATTTCATTCTGTAACATTTCAAATGGTCTAGGTGTCGTCAATTCACTCTGACATCTCCAATTCACTTTTTTTTAATCGGTGCCTAGTATAATATCAAAGTGTTCGGCCTGTTACGGGCGCAGTTTGGCTCCAAAAAAGGCGAAACTTGCGGTATTAAAATTTCATTCTGTAACATTTCAAATGGTGTTGGTGCCGTCAATTCACTTCGACATCTCCAATTCACTTTTTTTTAGTCGGTGCCTAGTATAATATCAAAGTGTTCGGCCTGTTACGGGCGCAGTTTGGCTCCAAAAAAGGCGAAACTTGCGGTATTAAAATTTCATTCTGTAACATTTCAAATGGTGTTGGTGCCGTCAATTCACTCCGACATCTCCAATTCACTTTTTTTTTAGTCGGTGCCTAGTATAATATCAAAGTGTTCGGCCTGTTACGGGCGCAGTTTGGCTCCAAAAAAGGCGATACTTGCGGTATTAAAATTTCATTCTGTAACATTTCAAATGGTGTAGGTGTTGTCAATTCACTCCGACATCTCCAATTCACTTTTTTTTAATCGGTGCCCAGTATAATATAAAAGTGTTCGGCCTGTTACGGGCGCAGTTTGGCTCCAAAAAAGGCGATACTTGCGGTATTAAAATTTCATTCTGTAACATTTCAAATGGTCTAGGTGTCGTCAATTCACTCTGACATCTCCAATTCACTTTTTTTTAATCGGTGCCTAGTATAATATCAAAGTGTTCGGCATGTTACGGGCGCAGTTTGGCTCCAAAAAAGGCGAAACTTGCGGTATTAAAATTTCATTCTGTAACATTTCAAATGGTGTTGGTGCCGTCAATTCACTTCGACATCTCCAATTCACTTTTTTTTAGTCGGTGCCTAGTATAATATCAAAGTGTTCGGCCTGTTACGGGCGCAATTTGGCTCCAAAAAAGGCGATACTTGCGGTATTAAAATTTCATTCTGTAACATTTCAAATGGTGTTGGTGCCGTCAATTCACTCCGACATCTCCAATTCACTTTTTTTTAGTCGGTGCCTAGTATAATATCAAAGTGTTCGGCCTGTTACGGGCGCAGTTTGGCTCCAAAAAAGGCGAAACTTGCGGTATTAAAATTCCATTCTGTAACATTTCAAATGGTGTTGGTGCCGTCAATTCACTTCGACATCTCCAATTCACTTTTTTTTTTAGTCGGTGCCTAGTATAATATCAAAGTGTTCGGCCTGTTACGGGCGCAGTTTGGCTCCAAAAAAGGCGAAACTTGCGGTATTAAAATTTCATTCTGTAACATTTCAAATGGTGTTGGTGCCGTCAATTCACTCCGACATCTCCAATTCACTTTTTTTTTAGTCGGTGCCTAGTATAATATCAAAGTGTTCGGCCTGTTACGGGCGCAGTTTGGCTCCAAAAAAGGCGATACTTGCGGTATTAAAATTTCATTCTGTAACATTTCAAATGGTCTAGGTGTCGTCAATTCACTCTGACATCTCCGATTCACTTTTTTTTAATCGGTGCCTAGTATAATATCAAAGTGTTCGGCCTGTTACGGGCGCAGTTTGGCTCCAAAAAAGGCGAAACTTGCGGTATTAAAATTTCATTCTGTAAAATTTCAAATGGTGTTGGTGCCGTCAATTCACTTCGACATCTCCAATTCACTTTTTTTTAGTCGGTGCCTAGTATAATATCAAAGTGTTCGGCCTGTTACGGGCGCAGTTTGGCTCCAAAAAAGGCGAAACTTGCGGTATTAAAATTTCATTCTGTAACATTTCAAATGGTGTTGGTGCCGTCAATTCACTTCGACATCTCCAATTCACTTTTTTTTTAGTCGGTGCCTAGTATAATATCAAAGTGTTCGGCCTGTTACGGGCGCAGTTTGGCTCCAAAAAAGGCGAAACTTGCGGTATTAAAATTTCATTCTGTAACATTTCAAATGGTGTTGGTGCCGTCAATTCACTTCGACATCTCCAATTCACTTTTTTTTTTAGTCGGTGCCTAGTATAATATCAAAGTGTTCGGCCTGTTACGGGCGCAGTTTGGCTCCAAAAAAGGCGAAACTTGCGGTATTAAAATTTCATTCTGTAATATTTCAAATGGTGTTGGTGCCGTCAATTCACTCTGACATCTCCAATTCACTTTTTTTTAGTCGGTGCCTAGTATAATATCAAAGTGTTCGGCCTGTTACGGGCGCAGTTTGGCTCCAAAAAAGGCGAAACTTGCGGTATTAAAATTTCATTCTGTAACATTTCAAATGGTGTTGGTGCCGTCAATTCACTTCGACATCTCCAATTCACTTTTTTTTAGTCGGTGCCTAGTATAATATCAAAGTGTTCGGCCTGTTACGGGCGCAGTTTGGCTCCAAAAAAGGCGATACTTGCGGTATTAAAATTTCATTCTGTAACATTTCAAATGGTGTAGGTGTTGTCAATTCACTCCGACATCTCCAATTCACTTTTTTTTTAATCGGTGCCCAGTATAATATAAAAGTGTTCGGCCTGTTACGGGCGCAGTTTGGCTCCAAAAAAGGCGATACTTGCGGTATTAAAATTTCATTCTGTAACATTTCAAATGGTCTAGGTGTCGTCAATTCACTCTGACATCTCCAATTCACTTTTTTTTAATCGGTGCCTAGTATAATATCAAAGTGTTCGGCCTGTTACGGGCGCAGTTTGGCTCCAAAAAAGGCGATACTTGCGGTATTAAAATTTCATTCTGTAACATTTCAAATGGTCTAGGTGTCGTCAATTCACTCTGACATCTCCAATTCACTTTTTTTAGTCGGTGCCTAGTATAATATCAAAGTGTTCGGCCTGTTACGGGCGCAGTTTGGCTCCAAAAAAGGCGATACTTGCGGTATTAAAATTTCATTCTGTAACATTTCAAATGGTCTAGGTGTCGTCAATTCACTCTGACATCTCCAATTCACTTTTTTTAATCGGTGCCTAGTATAATATCAAAGTGTTCGGCCTGTTACGGGCGCAGTTTGGCTCCAAAAAAGGCGAAACTTGCGGTATTAAAATTTCATTCTGTAACATTTCAAATGGTGTTGGTGCCGTCAATTCACTCTGACATCTCCAATTCACTTTTTTTTTAGTCGGTGCCTAGTATAATATCAAAGTGTTCGGCCTGTTACGGGCGCAGTTTGGCTCCAAAAAAGGCGATACTTGCGGTATTAAAATTTCATTCTGTAACATTTCAAATGGTCTAGGTGTCGTCAATTCACTCTGACATCTCCAATTCACTTTTTTTTAATCGGTGCCTAGTATAATATCAAAGTGTTCGGCCTGTTACGGGCGCAGTTTGGCTCCAAAAAAGGCGAAACTTGCGGTATTAAAATTTCATTCTGTAACATTTCAAATGGTGTTGGTGCCGCCAATTCACTCCGACATCTCCAATTCACTTTTTTCTTAATCGGTGCCTAGTATAATATCAAAGTTTTCGGCCTGTTACGGGCGCAATTTGGCTTTGGCTTTATCGAAGGCCGCTTGAACTATTTTTCCGAACTCTGTGTTAATCGCAGAAGAGTTCGGAAAGCGGCCAAGAGTTTCTGCCAGCTTATCTTGGAAAGATTGAGCTCATTGTGGAGAAATTATATACCCGTAACGGTAGAAATAACAATGGCGCATTTCAAAGCAAAATTCACTAAAGAGTTCATGTTCTCGCCACCTTTTGATATAAAGATCTCGGTCATTTCTGCAATAGAATCTCGCACATGTCGTAAAAATTTTTAGTCTCGCAAATCTGAACGTCGCACTTTTAGCACTTTTCGTGTAAATCGAGTTTTCCCCGAACGAACTGCGGCCATTTTTAGTAGCTGTTTAACTTTGCATCATGTTTATTCAGATTCAAATCCATTTTAAACAATTTTTCGATCATGCGGTGAAAAGAACGATTTCGAAATTGTGCAAATAAAGCTAATTATGGATGCGTTTTGAAATATTTTGTACTATATTTGCGTCTAATTTTGATTGGCATTTGTTCCGAACACCTTTGTCATCATCGATAAAAATCCCGCTCTAAACTGATTTCAAACAAGCAAAAAACAACTTTTAAAAGTCATCAGATGTTTTGTTTTGAATTTTGCAATAATTTTTGAAATTCACTTAAGTTTTGATCGCATTTGCTATTTATAGCCCCAATAAACAAGTAAACATTATGTTTTGTCTGGCACGGGACCCGGAGGGGAATCACGTGGTCCAGCTGATGTCCCTTTCATTTCCTCCATCCTCGTGCATTTTTCGACGAAACCCTTCCGAAGAGAATTCGGAGAGATCGCGGCCTACGAAGAGACCGAAAAATGGGAGAGGGCGAAGCGAAGAACGGAGAAAAGTCGTGATTTTGAAGAGAATTGGGTGGAATTCGGAGGAAATTTCGAGAAAACCGAGAGACAAAAGGCGCGAAGGGTCAGCGGGCGGAGTCTTCGGGCTTTGCTGGGTATAAAAGGGCGGATGAATGGCTCGTGACTCTCCAAGATCAAGGAAAATAAGTGCATACTGTTCATTTTCACCGAGTTTTTTCTAATTGTAAAAGATGGTTGCGAACAACGCTGAATTTCTGGCAAACGAATACGAATATGGCCGTGAAGTGAGACTTAGTGGAACTGGAAAGAACAGAACAAAGACCGAAATGGTAAGTTATGGTATATTGCAGCAGATAGGTTAGATTAGATGCAGGTTGATGTATCAGGGGGAAGGAATGGTTTAGAATCATCGTGGCGAGTTCCTGAGGCTAACAAGGACCTGTAGAGTTGTTGAAGACATAAACAGGACTTAGAAACGCCGCATATCTTCTAAGCAGCTATAGGTTACGCCGTAGTCCAGTTGATAACCCGATGAAACTCTAGGTGTCCAAAGAGCCGGTCCACAAGCGACCTCGAGAGCCCGCCGCTGAACGGTCGGGCTCTCAGTTCTCGCCCACGGCGCTCTTGATCAACGCGCTCGAGTATCTTTTCTTGGTATTTGGGCTTCTCGCAGGTGTGCTGAGTGGTCTATTTTCAGCACGAAGTGAAACAACCCAGCCTCGGCGGCCATACCCGCAAACTGGTGAACAACTGGACCGCCAACGACCGCCGTCATCGCGTCCACGCCAAGGATAACTGATCTCAAATACCTCGAATGTGACCTCGGAAAAAACCGCCAAAGGATACCTTTAAGACCTGTAAATACAAGTAATATCTCCAACAAAACATTCTCAGGAGCTTTCATTGTAATTGTAATTTATTCCGTAATGTTTTGTCGCAATAAATGCATTTTATTTTACAAGGAAAGTACTTTTATGGGGGCTCCTACTTTTTGACGGGACATATCTCAAAAAATCAGAAAAAATGTGTTGATCAAGGAAATATAAATCCTAGCTGCCCATTTTAGGTTTTTAGGGGTGAAAACTCAATCGGAAGTTGACTTAAAGTCCTATATGAACCCCTTTTCGCTTAATTTTTCACAGGTTTACAATTTTTATTTTGGCTTAAAATGGTGTTAAATGAGTTTCTAAGACGTAATAAGACAGTCTTGGCCCAAAAATTAATTTTTCCGACCTTCAACTTCAAAAAAAGTTGATTCAGCCCAAAAGGGAAATCGAACCTGTGCGGCGTCCCCCTTCTTGATTCCCAGACTGCGGCACTAACCACTCGGCCACCCCGCTCTCTTCCGAAGGAAGAGACCGAGTGCGCTTTTTATCGTTTCGAATGCCTGTGCTTTTTGTAGGGAAATTAAGCCAGTTTTTGGGCATTTTCACCCCTAAAAACCTAAAATGGGCAGCTAAGATTTATTTATCCTTGATCAGCGCATTTTTTCTGATTTTTTGAGATATGTCCCGTCAAAAAGTAGGAGCCCCCATAAAAGTACTTTCCTTGTTAAACTTTTGAACTGTAAATGCTATGTACAAGAGGCCGTGGGGAAAAGAGTTGTAAAATGGTTGTAATAGAGACAGTAAATGCGGGTATCTTTGTTTGTTGATGGTAAAGGTCACTCATCTTTACAAATAAATCGAAGAGTCAGGAAAACAGCTAGAGATAGTTGAACAAAAAAGAGAACAAGAAACCAAGTAGCGACTTTCACGAAAAGTGGATCAACATCGTGCAGAATGAAGAAAGTTATGGCAACGATCAATGGGCCAGATACCCGGATAAGGCCTGAAATCAAGATAGTTGTAATATCATCTTCTGTTTTGTAATCCATCTTCTAATACAATGTAAAAAAAGTAACAAGTTTCCTTACCAAGGACGATCTGCAATGTCGATGGCCTTGAGAATTTGAAGGTTTTGTTTTTCAGAAAGTAATGTAGCCACAGTAAGGCGGTGATGGAAGCGATCGTGTTGACCAGGATTTGGAGACAAAATAAATATCGACCCTAAAAATATTCGAGTTAAATTTTTTTGTTTTTCGACAGCATGCTTTAGAAGGAACTGGGACGATTGGGGAAAGTACGATTGGGGAAACCAAAAAGTATGATTTTTCTTTGATGCAAGTGTCGAAATTAGGATAATCGAGGGTGCTGATTTCGAAAATGTCATTAGTTTTATTTGATGGTTATTTTTGTTTATAAGTAGAACTGTGAAGCAGTAAATTTTAGTTTTTTTTCAATGAATACCCGATTTGGGGGTTTTCGATGGTGTCCCAAATCGAGTATTTGTAAAAAAATCAAAAAATTACTACCTTACAGTGCTACTTAAAAAAATAAGGATCAAGAGAATGAATGTCATTTTCGAAATCAGCACTCTCGATTATCCTAATTTCGACACTTGCATGGAAGAAAAATAATACTTTTCGGTTTCCCCAATCGTCCAACTCCGGCTTTACAAGGGATTTGCGTAACACGGAAACTCCCTTGTAAGACATGAAAATCAAAAATTATTCATATCGCTTAACCTTACATTATATTCGTCTGTCCTGAAGTTCCTCGAGACATCCCGCCAGAAATTGAAGCCAAATGCAACAAATGCCAGAAGCATATTGTAGATGACAATAAATAAGACGGCCTGCGCTTTTCGAACCTGATCCATCTTCAATAAAGCGGAGGTTTGAATGAAAGTTGGTCGTAACTTGTTGTTAAATTAACTAAACTGTTTTATCGATAAGCATGAGGGAGGGGAGATAAGACGCACATGATTGATGAACTCATGCTGACTTCTGAAAGATGATAAGTCATACAGCAACTGCACGTATTACATTTCTTTCGTAATTTTAAAAGAAGTGATCTAAACCTGTTGGGTTTTCATGAGTTTGGATTAATGATTACAGGACAATATATGAATGATTACAAAAAGGGCTCGAGGTGAGATTCAAGGTTGAGTCATTTGTTTTTGTATAAGAAAATCGGCCAAACGAATCCGGGTGGCTTCGGAATCAACGGGCCAAAGTTATGAGTGCTACAGTGAGGGACCGGATCCAGTGGCAAAAAACGTACCACTTGCATCCGGGAAGTATCAAAAATGTGGCAAAATGCTTCCCTCTCCAAGTGAAAAAACTTTGTTTTGCGCGCCATTTCTCTCAAAAAAAGCAGGCGCGCTTTTGAAATCATAGTTTTTTCACTTGGACAGGGAAGCATTTTGCCACCTTTTTGATCATTGCCGGATGCAAAATGGTACGTTTTTTGCCACTGGATCAGGTCCCCCACTGTAATTCCACGTTTGTAATTCTTCGCATAGGATAAGGCTCCATTCGACTAAGGGTTTACCACGATGCCCTGGACTAGCGTCGCCAAAAAATCACTGCCTTTTGGTCAAACGAAGTAGCGGATCAGAAAAGAAATTTTTCCGTGGGAACAAAAATGGCCTGGTGACAACCCCGGGGTTGGGGCCAAAGATCTTACAAATTGTAAGCCAGAAACGGCTAGAGGACAAAATAGTCTGGGCTATGGTGAAAATTTGAAGGTGTGGAAGTCATATTTATATTGTAAAAATGTAATTCACCGACTTACTTCTTATTGCGCTCTTGTCCTCGACCGTGTTCGAAAATCATTGCACCCGTAAAAGAAAAGTGCCGCGGGTCCCACCTGAACTAGTGACAATAAGAAAAACCATGTTGCGAATCTTATGTAATTGTTGGACTTTGTATCGTAATCCGATTTTACGCTCGCATTGACGCAATAAAGAACTGCAGCCAGCAACGGGTAGGCCACTCGACCGACAGCTAAAATACAAAATTTTATCTTATTCAAGATGACTTGCCAATTGACAGCCTCAGGGCATTTGGCTGATTCAACTTCAAATTGCTGATGAAACTGAAGAAAAACAAAAATTTGAGGATGTAATAAAGCGAAAGGAGGTTGGTAATTATCTCCAAAGTTAACAACAGGCCATCCTGAAAAGAGTAACTTTAATTTGAGATGTCGAAAGTGGTATTAATCATGAAAATACTCACCAAGTCATAGATGTAATTATTATTATTCACATTTATCCCTATATACGAGATCTGCGGGACAAAATTACATGCAAAAATGACAATCGTAATGAGAATGGAGTAGATCAACAATATTCGAATTGCTAATTCCGTCTTCTCCATTACACTCAATCAGAAAAATGAAAACTCTTTTCCTCGCTTTATTGATATAAGAATTCGGAGCGATAGAGAACAAACATGCTTATAGCGTCCTCCCTCCGAGCTGATTCACAAAAAAACCGAATGCTTTATTGTACGTCGGACCCTTTGCCGTAAACAATTAGCGTGCTTCTTGGGTCTTGACATTACTTCTACAGAGAGAAGTACGAAGGTAATTTTTGATCCGTATCGCTGTTGAAAATATCAAATTTAAACTCGTAATGTTCTATTATGCAAGAAGAAACACTATTGTCTTATATTCTTTCCTCCATTTTGCCGTCATCGACGATTTTTGTTCAAAATACGAGAAAATATATTACCGAGCGGCATACTGCAGAAGCTCGGGCGCAAGTTGCAAATGAAAAAAAATTTTTTTTTCTGATCTCGTGAGAACAATATTTTGATCGAGTTTTTGTTGTAAATCAATACAAAATGGTCAAGCCAAGTGCCAAAAGGCCTAATCAGCCATCGTCCTCCAAATTTCAACAGAACAAAAGGTTCAAGAAGAAGGATACGGATGAAGAAAAGGTTTGTTGCTTTCATTTTTTCCTTCCATCTTTAGGTACGAAATCTATGTTCCTCCAGAAATGAAGCCCCTTTTCTATTCTATGTTCTCATATTTCAGCCTGAATCGTCGGAACATAAGCCTTATATCAATGCCTACAAACGAGCCGAACTTGCTTATCAGAAGATCCAGGAAGAGAAGAAAGCAGCGGCTGAAGTGAAAAAACTGGAGAGGCAAAAGCAACAAGAAAAACACGAGGAATACCTCACATTGCGAAAGAAGATGAACAAAGCGTTGAAACAGAAGACCAAGAAAGGACAGCCAAAGCTGGGAGCGCAGATGGATGTGTTATTAGAAAAGATCCAGAGGAAACTGAGAGAGGAGAAAGAGGAAGAATAATACGACACATCAGGTATAAAATTTATTAATTCAACAAAAAATCAACAAGTTTAACAAAAAAAGTAGATTTAAATTGACTAACGACCTTACTCATGGTCAGCTTCATTGGTTTCCTCGTGTTTGGGGTCTTCTGCGTTATTAGACTGACTGTTTTCTTCACTATCATCCTTTTCAGCCGACTCAGTGTCTTCGTTGATTTTCTGAGCTCCTTTCCGTTTTGGTATCACCTTGAAGAATGCGTCTTCCCAATTGTTATGCTCCATAAATTGGAGTAATATTTCGAATACTTGGTTGATTGTTAAAACCTGTAAACAGATATATTGTTGATGAATAAAGCATAAAAAATACTACTCTGTAATATTCGCCTTACTTTTCGACTGTTCATCTTGACAAACTCCCCAATTGGGAGTTTGGCATGCCTCCAATTATTGGCTTCGGCTCTCTTCAAGCTGGCCTCGGGATATCTGTTGTGATCCAATAAGCCTCCAATCACATACACATCGTTTTCATTTAGCTGTTCTAATGTGTTATCAGAATCCGAAGTTAGGTAGACTATCTCTGAAGAATCAAACGTCTTTTCGAGAGGTTCTTCGTGAACATGGACATCCCATCCCTTACTTCCCTCAAGTTCATCGAAAAGCTTCCTTGTTTCCCCAGAAACTCCAGTAATATGGTATTGTGATGGATTCGGGATCCTTCGGTTCGCACTGTAACAAAATGTGAGTTGTGCTATTGTGTTACGGATAAGATTGGGATTCATCAACTGAAATAGGTATCAAATTGACCTTCAGGCAACATCTCTAATTCTAAAAACTGAGAAAGAAAAACAGAAAATAACTTACATGTTCGTAAGCCATGTCCACGACAATCCGTTGCTTGCACGTCGATTGTTCCATGCTTGTGTACTTCCTTTTCTTCAAACTTTCCCCAAGACCCTGGTCCTTCAGAGCTTTCCTCTTCTCCTTCTTCCGCTGTTTCTCCAAGATCCTCAATTCCTTTCTCCGTTCAAGTTTACGTTCGAGTTTCTTCATCTTCTTTAGTTGATTCTTGGACATTCCGCTCGTCTGACCATTCTGGGCGTCCGATTGGTCTTTTTCATTATCCTCATGAGTATCGACCTGTTCCGGGGATGAAGAAGGTTCCTCTCGGTGGTTGTCAGCTTCCACAGACGTTCCAGTGTCCATTAGGAGTACTCCCGTTCGGTCCAAGCCACGGTTGAGATGGTCTCCCGAGCTGCGCCCGCGATTTTGAATTCGCCGGCGACATGTTATACGAAAGAATATCAAATTTCGTAATAATAGCCTCAGGGCTCTAATATTGTAGGCACAAAATATTATTTTCACGTAGACCTGATATACCAAGCACCAAGTTTCTATCGTTGTCGATCTTCGAGTTTTGCTAAATATAAGGTTTTGCCTTGTTTTGAGCCTGTTTTTGTACCCATTTTTGGACCCCTTTTTGGCATGTAGTGGTAAAAGTAAGACAGTTGCTCCAAATATCGTTCTCTGTAATTCAAGATACATGTGTTGTTGAACGTTTTTAGGTCTAGTTAGACCTCAATGATATGCCTCCTTTGAGAAACGTTGGCGACAATGACGTCAATTTTGGGCTAAATTTTGATGATTTTTGCATATATCTGCCTATATCTTTTTTCAAACGTTTTTTATTGACAAAATCGTCCTCTGTAATTGTAGACAAGAGGCTTGTCAATGTGTAGGAACTTGCCTTATAATTCAGGGACCAATAGTTTTTTCGAAACGTTGGCGACAATGACGTCTACTTTTGGCCAAAATTTTGATGATTTTTACGTATTTCTCCCTAGACCTTTTTTTAAACGCCTTGTACCGACGAAATCGTCTTCTGCAATTGTAGACAAGACTCTTGTCAATGTGTAGAAACTTCTCTTATAATTCAGGGACCAATAGTTTTTTCGAAACGTTGGTGTGAATGACTTCAACTTTTGGGCTTAATTTTATTGATTTTTTGCATATTTCTGCCTCCCTCTTTTTCAAAAATGCTTGATCCATTAAATTATTATCTGTAATTGTAGAAAAAGGCCCTCTCACCGTTTGTAATTTTTCCTTATAAGACAAGACTGGGTAAAGGTTTTGAAAAATGAACGTCAGTTTGATATACCTGCAAAAAATGGAATTCTATCCGATTAAACGAAAATATTTTTAGTGCGAGTATCCTAATTGTGAAGATTGTAGTACCCATCTTGTTTCAATGATTTGCTTTCCATTTCAGTTAATTTTCTAACTTAACCAAGTTTCATCAAAATCTGATTTTTCTAACTTAACCAAGTTTCATCAAAATAGAACAGGTATTAGTATGGGGGATATTCATTCACAATACTTATTGATAAAGAAATTGCTATTAAAACCCACGCTTTACAGGCGGACAGCTTACTGCGATGGGCTCACGAAAGGACGGTGCTGTACGACGAATTTGGGCTTGACACAAGCCAAATTGATGAAGACATTGATGGAGAAGATGACACGGAATGACTCTTTGAATGCCAAATCCATTTCGAAATCCTTTCAGAAATTATATTTTTCCATTCTAATTTTCGTAATATCCAAAAACAATTTGTTTCGAACATGTTTGAAAAAGTGGGTGGCAGAAATATGCAAAAATCATCAAAATTTAGCCAAAAGTAGACGTCATTGTCGCCAACGTTTCGAAAAAACTATTGGTCCCTGAATTATAAGGCAAGTTCCTACACATTGACAAGCCTCTTGTCTACAATTACAGAGGACGATTTTGTCGATAAAAGGCGTTTGAAAAAAGATATAGGCAGATATACGCAAAAATCATCAAAATTTAGCCCAAAATTGACGTCATTGTCGCCAACGTTTCTCAAAGGAGGCATATCATTGAGGTCTAACTAGACCTAAAAACGTTCAACAACACATGTATCTTGAATTACAGAGAACGATATTTGGAGCAACTGTCTTACTTTTACCACTACATGCCAAAAAGGGGTCCAAAAATGGGTACAAAAACAGGCTCAAAACAAGGCAAAACCTTATATTTAGCAAAACTCGAAGATCGACAACGATAGAAACTTGGTGCTTGGTATATCAGGTCTACGTGAAAATAATATTTTGTGCCTACAATATTAGAGCCCTGAGGCTATTATTACGAAATTTGATATTCTTTCGTATAACATGTCGCCGGCGAATTCAAAATCGCGGGCGCAGCTCGTGAGACCATCTCAACCGTGGCTTTTCTTCTATTTGGACCGGACGTGACTCGAGTACAGTAAACGTAAAACCATCCAAAATTTGCAAAAGCACAAAAAGATTTTCCAAAAAATATTTTTGAGAGAAACACTTGACACTTTGACTTTGGGTCAACTCTACCTTTACAATTGTTTGGCCAAATTTGGTCCCGGCATTTTGAACAACGTTCTCTTCTTTCTTATACTACCTCATCATGTTTTCAAAATTTTATTACGTTGTTTTATTTATCTCCATCTTCCTCTCCTACAGTTCATGCGTTTATTTTCGCCGGATCTTCTTCCTGTTTTCTACGGAGATCGGTGAAACTTTGAAATACTCCAAGAAAGACTATGGTAAGTCCCTTCTACTGTCTTGTAATTCCGTATTTAGGAACCTTGATTTCCGTTTCGACCTTTACCTATGCAATGGGCAAGCTTATTCTGGGATCCCTCAACGATTCAATCCGGCCAGAGAGATTACTCTCCTTGAGTGTATTTCTGGTGTCGTTGACGGTGCTGGCACTGTCAAGGGCTACCAGTTTCACTGAAATTATAATATATGTATCGCTGAACATGTTTATACAGGGCGGAGCATGGATCGCGTCCGTTAAACTGTTAAAATCGGTAAGGATTGAAAGGATGCACCTAGTCTTTCTTGTAGAACTTTTCTTCGGATAATTTCTCAACTCTTTTCTGCATCTTGGGATGTAGCAACAACTTTGCTGGCTTCGTTGCTCCTTTAACTTTGAGAAAACCATGGAGAGACACTGTGCAATTCTATGGTATGACTTTCCTTATCGTTTTTATTCATAATTTAGGTACCATCGGAGTTGGATTCGCCGCATATCTGGTTTTGGCGTTACGATCAAAGGAGTCCAGAGAGATCAGACGTCCAGAAAAGCCCAAAGACAGATCAGTGTTGGCTCTTGTTCTGACTGATCGAACTGTTTGGATCGTTTCGATGTTGCTGTTGATATCAGTTGAGATACGAACCATTGCTGAAAGTTGGACTCCTGTTTTTATCAGAGACACTTCATCAAGTCCGGAGAGCGATCTGAAGTTGTTCCTGTCGGCTTTTGATGTTGGTGGGATCTTGGGTGGACTTCTTTCCGGTCTGACCTGTCAATTATTATATAAAAGTAAGGGACGGGATCGGTCAAGAGTCAACGTTGGGCTTTCCTGCACCTTCCTGCTCATCTTCATGACTGCAGCGCTGTTTTGGACAAAGGTAAGAAAAATTCGTCTTCGAAAGATATTGTTTTAGATGACAACTGTCCTTGGCTTTGTTGTTGGGGCCTTAGTTTATGCCAATATTAACGTCTGGGGAATGGTTTCATCAGATATGGCGCCCCATGAGATTACGGGGACAGTGAATGCTGTTATCTCGTTTATTTGTAATGGTAAGTCAACAATTTTATTGAGTCTGTATTCCTTTAGGAGGATCGTTGATAGCTGGAAGACCGGTGGCGTTATTAGTGGAGTCTTTTGGGTTTGACGGTCTACTTCCGTTCCTATTTGCTCATTTAATAGTGCCTATCTTGCTGTTTTATCCATGTAAAAGCGGTCAGTTAAAGGTCAAGACCGATTAGTTTCCTGATTTTCGGGTTTAGTGAGGTGCTAGAATTCAGATATATTGTAGATCTTTGTACATAGCCGAAAATAAATTTTTAATTTTATTGAAAACTCTTTGAGATCTTTTCGTTTTGCACTCGGCTGAAAGAATGTGTGTGTACAATGTCCGGCATTGGATCCTACGAACGCGTGACCAAGTGCTCGCCAGGCACATTGAGCTTATTCATCAACAAATTGATTACCCGGTCCTTGATTTCCAGCTCTTCCTTGAGGGAATTGTTTTCGATTCGGAGCTTTTCCATCTCATCTTCGTCCTGAAAAGGTAGTATTGGATAAGGAAGCCGTAAACGTAGTCGTTTTAATGATAGAATTGTCATATCGGATCTCTTACCTCGATCGCGTACTCTTTGATCTTGGCCAACTGTTGGCTGAGTCCCTCGATGACCTTCTCGATAGCCGCATGATCATGTTCCTTGGTATGTGTCTCTATTGTAGCAGAATGAGGTTTGTAGTGGGTTGTGATCTCCGTTCGGACAGCGGAAGATGGCTCTGTCCTTGTCGTCCTAAAAACAAGTATATAAAACGATAAAATGCACGAGTGATCGCAATTTTAAACCAAATTTAGTATATTCCTGCTGTCATATAAACTGACATACCTAATAAGCTTGATTAGGTCCGTCAAAAACAAACAGCCCGCCATGTAATCCACTTGTTACTAGTATAAGAAACGAATCAAGTATAAAGAGTTTTTTTTGGATGTTTCCTTCCTTCCGCGCGATTGTTTACCCTCTCTTCCCCTCAGATTTTTTCGTTCGATTGAACCACATCCCCATGATTTTCTCGTTTCTCTTCCTGACCTACAGCCTAATTGGGGTGAATTCGTTTGCAGGAAAACAGCGGATTGGAATTCCGCAAATCTTTTAAATCGGAATTCAGCGGGGTTAACAGAATTTTGAGTCGATTCCATAAATCATAAGGGAAACTTACATGGCCTGAACAAAGTTGCCATCTTGATCCTTCTCCAATGTCATGATGGGTTCACTGGTGAGGAAAGTGGTGGTTACGTTTCGATTCACGTCCTTTGGCCACTCGGGGAAAGCCGTTTGGCTATAGGGAGTGCCCTCGCTATGCTCGTCGATCAGCGAAAGCTCAGTGCTTATTAGCATAGGCTGGTCACTAAAAATGCAAACTTGTATTATGCTGAAATTCAGGTCTGTATATGGGATCGATAAATCTGCGTTCAAACACTTACTCGATCTCGTCGTCGATGAGCCCGCTCTTTTGTTTCGCCTGAAGCGCCCGTCTGAATTGCTTCTCTTGTGGACGTCGGACTGTTAATGGACTAGCCAAAAGTTCACTCAGAGCAAGTCGACTTCGGTCTGAAATAAAGAAACGCCTCAGAACAGTTGCGCTTATTTGGAATGTTTAGAGAAGTCGGTTGAAGTTCCCCACTGGGACTCAAACTGATGAAAAAACTCCACCCATTTCTTTGAAATTGATTTAGCCCCAGAAAACTTGTCGTTATGACAGTAAGAGCTGTTAAGTTGTATACCCAATATTGCATTAGTATAGGAACTCATGAGGCAAACTTTTTACTGCCTGAAATGGTTACTTTCGACCGCTCGAAACCAGAAAACGTAAAAAGATGACAGATTTTATGCCCTCCCAAAAAGAGGAATTCAATTTTCGACCCGCGGTAATTTGGCCCCAAAAAAGAGAGGGGGGAAAAGCCGAGGAGAAGACGGCCGAATTGGGCCGCAACTCTCGGCCGTCCACTTTCTCGCTCATCCAGGAACTCTTGAAGACAACGAAAACAAACCCCGCAAAACTCGCGCATTGGCAATCGGACAAATAATCTTGGGCTAAAATAAATAGATGAAGAGAGATGGCATACGGATGACTGATGGACTCCCAGATAAAAGGGTTGTTGGAAGGAGACTAATAAAGCTATGGGGCATGACCGACTTGCGGTCTTTATTAAAATTTTGCATATCAGATGCATTTTTTGCTGAGTAGCTAATGAAATTTGCTGGAGGGAATTAATTGCAAACAGAATGTATTCTCTCCAAGGCGCTGAAATTTCAGAAGATAAACAAAAAAAGTTAATTATTTTTGGAGTGAAATTCAAGTGGGGGAAGGAAATGTCGTCAGAATAAATTTTTGTGACGGCAAAAAAAGAGCAGCCAGATATAAGAGAGATTACTGTGAACTCTAGCAACAGAAAAAATATGTACTCACCTCGTTCTGCAGGCCGCGCAACATTTCCATTCTCGTCCTCAGTCTCAGGCACTGGCTTAGTGATAATCCGAGCAGTCGTGATAGTTCTGACAGTCTCGACTTCCTGGACCTCCACCTTAAGCTCTTCCTTGGGCTCCTCGCTCGTAGTGTTGTTATTCTCCTCACTTTTGGGTTTGCTTTTCCAGAAGGCGATCCGTCTCGCCTTGCTCGGACTCTTAAGCCGCGACTCGAAGGAACTCGGCGGAATTTCGGTGGCCGGCGAGTCCTTAACCCGCGACGATTCCCATTGAGCCAAGGGCGCTTTGCGGCCCTTCGAGTGGCCCCATCGAATGGTGCTTAAAGATGGAACGGTCAGATACAACAATCATGTCACGTTTATTTCGGTCCAAGCAAAAGCAATCAATTACACACACCGCAGCCATCAAATCCCTTACCTCGTCGGGATGAAGGATCGCTTGTGCTGGCGCATCTCATCAATTTTGCTGGCCGTAGCGCTTTGTTGGATCTTCGAGCTTCCGGGTTTGGGGTCGTTGTTGTGAACCAACTTTGAGATGTCGACTAAAATTATAGGATATACACATTGCAGTGCTTACAGTTAATTTTTAATATGGTTAGAGAGAGAGAAGTTTCTGGCCCAAGAGTTTCAGACCAGCTAGAAGCGAAGAAATTAGTGAGGGGAAAACGTTGTGCTTTGGGAATTGTGCAGCTTACCTGAACTTGATTTCTTATGAGCCGCCCGTTTCATAATCGGTGTGAAGTCGTCTCCACGATATGTAATTTTAAGGCTTCTTGTCGTCTTTACACTCTCGGCTCCTTTCTCCGGCTTTTCCTTCTTGCGCAGTATTGGAGTCATCAGAAAGTCTCTTGATTTGGAACGTTTATGGGTCTGATAAGCCGGTTCACTTGGTTGACGGACAATGACATGAGCCACTGACTTTGACTTCCTTGGAAGTGAGTTGGAATTGTACTCGGTCTTCGGCAACTCCTTGAACGTTACTTGAGGCGCATTTGGTAATGGGAGTTCCTAAAAAATTTTTTTGATGATACAATGAAATCTCTAAATTAAAATCAATTTTTTATTAAATTCCTTACTTGAAGTTCACTCTCCTTATGCAGTAAAATTGCCGGAGGAATATTTTCGTCGGGTGTTTTAATATTTTCAATCGAATCGATAGCTGGAATTGGTCCATCATCAGCCGGGAGATCTTCTGGATCTAGTCTTCTGTAAAGTCGCCCTCCAATTGGTGACTGTATTAGAGTGGTAGTCGGTAGTCTTCGAGGGATGCTGGAGACGTATACTGGACTGACTATTTTGATTTCTTCTGGCTCAAGTTCATCGTCAGCTGGAGGCGACGACGTTGGGGGCGGGGGAGGGACAAAGTTCGGCCTGTCTGGACAATTCATACTTGATGATTTGGCCAGACGATCAGAGATGTTCTTGTCGTTATTGAGATCTGATTTGTCCCTTCTCATACTAAACGTATTATCATTATTTATTTTTTTAGATTCTATCACTTACCTGACCATACTGTAACTCGATCTAATAGGTGACCTCGACGACCCTCGACCGAAGCGATTCCCCAATTTGTTGAGTCGACTGCGGACCGTATGGGCCATGGATAGGAGCGGACTCTTCGGCGGTTCGGACGTTTGCTGACATAGCCTTGTTTGTCTGTAAAAAATTGATTGTTTCGCGTTTTGTGGGCCTAATTCCGGCCTCATTACGAACTTTTTTGTAACATACTTTTTCTTGGCCGCCGGCAATCTTGTGGGCTTGGGTGGTGGGCCCGAATAAGCGGATGAGGCCGGAGGGTCGATGGGGCTGGACGCCGTCTTGGATGTGACTATCACAGCTGTCACCTTCTTCGAAATTATGGGTGTTGATACACTGTTGTGGATGGCTTTTTGCGCGGTCGGGTCGAAAGGCGGCTTCGACTCCACGGACATCGATTTGGCCATTGGCCGCCCAACTGAACCCGTGTAGTTGGTGGCGTGTCTCGCACCCAGGTTCTGTGCCATCTTGTTCTCAATTACCACCGAATTGTCGGCCTCCGAAACACTGCTCGCCAGCACCGGTAGGATCGGTTGGACCGCTTCACGAGTCGAGCATCCGATAGAACTGTCCGAGATGCTGTGCCGATGCAACTGGCTGGCCTGGGAGATGATGGATTCGTTGGATCGGCTCTCCGGGATGGGTGGGATCGCTCGGTTCAGGGGAGGCCGATGAAATGGCCGCGGCTGTGTTGTTCCAGTCGGCGAGGTGGGAGAGTCGTCGAAAAGCGCGGGCCGATCACGCTGAAGAACGACCGAGCCAGGCACGACAAGGGTGGTGTGGGTCCGGGGATAGGGATAGGACGAGACGTTCAGCGAGTTGGAGGAGCCGGAAGATGATGCTCGCCGTAATCCTCGGAACGGGCTGAAAAAAAGAAGAATATATTAAAGTAGAAATCATAAATCATGTTTTGGTCATGTCCTATACGACCGTAATCAGAGTCATTCTGGCGGGAGGAATGCCCTTTTAGTGACATTTCCAAAAACACCGCTTTGACCGAATAATCCCGCTGCGAAGCACGTTAACGGCCGACTTTTGACCATAGGCCCAAAAGCAGTTCATTAATTATGGATTAGGTCCAATTTCAAACTCCGCTGCAGGTCTCTCGGAAACCTTGCGGACAGGAACTATTCAGACGACGCAAAACGACCTTCTGCAGTCATTGTCCTTTGTTTCAATGCGGCACTGATTCGTCGTCTCCGGTCTCCCCTGCCCGCCTTTATGTCCCCAAGGGCCCGAACCGAAGGCGTCGTGGAACTATGACCGAAGAGCGGACATGAATTCGTGTCGCGCGAAATCTGCCAACGATGAATTTGGCATAAGACCTGTCACTTTCCGAAGATGGATTGCACCAATAGTTAGGGCATAAATAGGAATTTCTTTGCGGGCATCGGAGAAACCCCCCCGCCCCCTTCGTCCGCGGGCATCGAAGCTTGTTTTCTCTTTTGTTTTTTGTCAACATTCAAATTTTGTGGGCCCGCTGCTTTATCCGCCAACCTAATCGCCATCCAATTACTGTTCTCAGACATCTTATCGCCGTATTTTTAGCAGTCTTAGAGGACATTCGATGGCCGTACTTTAACGTTCTGATGGCACGACCAGGCTAACTTAATTTTTTCCTACATATTACCAGATTTGGGCGGTACTTGTGGGGCGAAAATCTGCTGTACTTTAGCTATATTTACCGTTTGAACAGCCTCTCCCAAAGCTGCATAAAACCTGGCCTGGATGGGTGACTGGAGGCGCGAAGCCGAACTCCCTCCGGCTACAACTCCCACCAATTATTCTCGGGTTGGAACTGAAAACAAATGTAACCTTTGACAGATTAAGATTGCTACATTAGAACGGCGCGGAATGTGGCATTTTGACGAATGTAATGAGGTCGTTAAAATTTTGAATTTTGCACTTTTAGAGGGCCTTTTTGCGAAAGTCCAGTGGGCTCAAAAATCGGCAAGACGTCGCAAAGTTGCGTCTGAAAACGAAAAAGAATTTGAAAAAGCAAAATAAAATTTCGCAGTGTTGCAATTAAGGAGCCGGGTGTCTGCGCGGCCTCAAGATGACACCGATAACAATTTCGAATCTGGCGGTTTCCCGGGAAACCACGAAAAAAAACACCCTCATCTCTCTTCGTTCATTTTCCCCTCCATCTTCTTGTCCGGCGTCTTTATCAGCTCCACAGAAGCCGCGTTAGCAACTCTTCTTTCCTTTTCGGGGGCCCAAAGTCGAGAGCCGAAAATCAAATTCCCATTGACAAAACCCGATGAAATCTCCGCTGCAGAAATTATGCGCAAAAAACATTAAGTTGAACCTCAACTAAATTAACACACCTCCTCCGCAAGTGCGGCGGATCGCGGCCAAGCGCGGCCCCAGCACGAGTATTGACATGGGGAATGCCCACTCCTCGCACCTGCCCAGGTGGGGCACAAAAACCCCGCGAAAGCCGAAAAAAGCCTCGAGGGGATTGGATGGCGTTATGTGTTGAAGGAAGGGAAGAAAGTGAGCAAAATGGATATTTCCGAAGAGTTTTCTCATTCTTCCCACCGTTCTGAATGCAACCCAATCCCGGCCTCGGCTTCTAATTCATATAAAAGAAGGCTTCGGAAGGGCGGCATAAGGTCATCAGGTCGTGCGGCGTTTTGGGGCTATGAAATCCTGATTCGATTTTTTCATTTGTAATATATTCCGGGTTTTCTTTGCTTTCTCGCTCCGGAAGCAAGCCCAATTCTTCGCCTGAAAGGCGGCAAACCCCCTACCTGTTCATGATGTGTATGGTGGGCAAGGTGTTGAGGCTGGGTTTATGATGACGTACACGATTTGTCGAATGCGGTGTGCCCATCCGGCAGCGCTCTCGGCCTAATTACATCGTGCATAATGAAAGCGGCATCGAAGCGAACGAGGAATTTGCATACAGAGTGGAATTCGGCTCCTGAATTTACTCGAAATGGATGGCCTCTGCAAAAACGGAGAGGAGTTCAAATTTGATAATCCAGAATGAAAAGAAAAATTCACAAAAATGTCGAGTCCCGAGACGGAAACAAAGATTACTGTATTGGCATTCCGTTTCATTAGAAGATTCTCGAACCTCGGAAGAGAAATAGGATCTCAGTTGTTGTTTTATAGAATTCGGTGAATGGTATACCCGTGTTTTATCTCTGTATTTTCTATCTGATAATAAATCTATATTTGTTATCCATCGCTACATCTGGCTGACACTCACATCCTTCACACCGACACAGTGAAGGATACAACAACTGGCGCAGTCGACACGAATAACGAAGGGTCACCCAGTCTACAACAACTGGCGCAGCCGACTCGAATAACGAAGGTTCACCCAGTCAAGAACAACTGGAACAGTCAACACGAGCAGAAGAAGAATTACGACGTGGAAACAGCCCAAGATCACTTCTACAGAAGCCTTCAGCTCCTCCACTACCTCTGCAACCTTCGAACCTACACAGGTACTTCTTCGATTTTTTTTTGTTCTCGCCTTTAGATTCTGACTTTTCCTCGCGGAAATCAGAATTTCTACACCCTCCACGCAAGGAACCGCTGGAAAAAGGATTTTGGTACCTAAAATCCGCGTTAACACCTCTTGCAAGGATAATTTTGGCCCATCCAGAATAAGAATTCCCCCACCCAGAATTTCGCTTGAAACACCCAGACAAGGACCTGAATTTCACTTGAAATACCCAGACAAGGACCTGAATTTCACTTGAAATACTCAAACAAGGACCTGAATCTCACTCCAAGAGGACTAAAAGGAAGAACTTCACCCCATACACCGGAATCAATGGAATACACCTCTTACAAGAGCCTTCGAACCATGATTCTCAAAGCCGTTGACCAGAAGCCGGATATCTCTATCGATGAACTCCGCAAATTTCAAAGTTACGAGACACAATTGGAAAACGTGAACCTGGAAAATTCACAAGAACGTCCAGTCTCATCCGAAGTCAACGAACTGAAGAAGTACCACAGTCAGCCAGAACACACCCATTCACTCCCCCTTTCTTCAAACCCTTCCAATACACGGAAGTGCTACAGATGTAACGGCCCACGTGCACATGAATGCCTAAAGAACTCAATCAAAGGAAGCTTTAGCAAGGGCAAGGCCAACATCAACGTCGTCGAATCCTACGCTCAGACGATGGTTCCTCAGTACACTGAGAATTTCGAAGAAGAATTGGGGCAAGGTACAGAGACCCTTCAAATTGCACAGCAAGGGAAGGAAGACGAAGCACAAATCCTTCAAATTGCACAGCAAGGGAAGGAAGACGAACCACAAATCCTTCAAATTGCACAGCAAGGGAAGGAAGACGAAGCACAAATCCTTCAAATTGCACAGCAAGGGAAGGAAGACGAACCACAGATCCTTCAAATTGCACAGCAAGGGAAGGAAGATGAAACCCAGATCCTTCAAATTGCACAGCAAGGGAAGGAAGATGAAACCCAGATCCTTCAAATTGCACAGCAAGGGAAGGAAAATGAACCGCAAGTCCTTCAAATTGCACAGCAAGGGAAGGAAGATGAACCGCAAGTCCTTCAAATTGCACAGCAAGGGAAGGAAGAAGATACAAACATCCTTCAAATTGCAAAGCAAGGGAAGGAAGAAGATACAAACATCCTTCAAATTGCAAAGCAAGGGAAGGAAGAAGATACAAACATCCTTCAAATTGCAAAGCAAGGGAAGGAAGAAGATACAAAGATCCTTCAAATTGCAAGGCAAGGGAAGGAAGAAGCTACAAAGATCCTTCAAATTGAAAAGCAAGGGAAGGAAGATGATACACAGATCAAGTGTATGTTCAATTCAAGTAAAGGAAGATGCTACACAGATCCTTTACGTTTCAATACAGAAGAAGGAAGATGTTACACAGATCCTTCTCAGTTCAATTCAATCAGGAGAAGATGCTTCACAGATCTCCTGGACGACAAAGTACAATTGTCGCTTTCAATTGGCCATGATCTACAGATCATGCAATCCCAGATTCCTCAAAGAATCAAGGAGCTTCCCAAGAATTCCCCTTTCAAGAACCCAGATCCATGTCCATGTTCAGAAAACTCAGTCAAGGATACATCAGTTGGCCATAACTCAGTCAATGGATTCCTGAAGATCATGAAAGAACATTTCGAACCCATTCAAGGAGCCAGTCCTCATTTCTTTACAAAGGGAGAGACGGTCGCTATACAACTTGTTACTGGAAAACAAGTCACTGGGAAACTCATTCAATTCATGCTACAGTCCCACACTGTACATTCAATGGCGAAGATTCAAGATCAAGTGCACACTCGCCACCTCATTCAAGTACGGAAACATGTACACGAAGACTACGAAGAGATGATTGATGGATTGGACACACCCCCTCAAACTTCTCCACCTAGTTCTGAACACTCCAGACCGCTATCCACAAGCTCGTCGAGTAGAACCCGAACGAAATGCCAAGAAGCCAGTGGACTACGCACGTCAACTCTCCAGCCGCCGATCCAAGCGCTGATCCTTCTTTACAAAGGGAGATGTCGAGTCCCGAGACGGAAACAAAGATTACTGTATTGGCATTCCGTTTCATTAGAAGATTCTCGAACCTCGGAAGAGAAATAGGATCTCAGTTGTTGTTTTATAGAATTCGGTGAATGGTATACCCGTGTTTTATCTCTGTATTTTCTATCTGATAATAAATCTATATTTGTTATCCATCGCTACATCTGGCTGACACTCACATCCTTCACACCGACACAGTGAAGGATACAACAAAAAAAATGTTTCCCAACGACTCTCGACGCGTTTTTTGCCCGATGATATTGTTAGTAAGGGGACTGCGGGCAAGAGTAGCGCGCACTTGAATGTCAGGAAGATGTCAGATATCGTCTAGAAGTCGAGCGAGAGCTGTAAATAGAAGCTAAAGGAAGGCGTTGTATAACGGGCTCGTTTATCGAGCCCTAAAGTAATCGCATTAAGGCCGGTTTATAACCCTAAATAATGCTACATATTTGGAGATTTTTGATGCAGAAAAGAAGTGCATCAAAAAAGAAACAATAGGATAATTGAAAAATTAAAAATTTTAAGCATTTTTAGAGCAAAGCAAGGTCAATTTATATGAATATTATGGAGGAAAAAGAGCTAAATCCATAAAGATGCCGACCTGCACATTGAGCGCGACCCAAGGAGGCGTTTATTTGGCCTCGGGGCCTCTATAAAACTCGAACCGGAAAACCTGGGGGGACGCGGAAGGAATTCTGAGGCAAAGAAATTCTTAAAGGACTTTTATGAAGTAGTTAGGCCGCAAGCCGGAGGAAATCTTGTTCAGCCGGGATTCGAGGAGTCCCCCGAAGAAAGGAAAGATGGAGAAGACAAGTGCTGATTTTCGACCGGAACTGCCTCCGGGCCCCCTCACCAACACCAACGCCACTAATTGGCCACTTAAAACGGAAAGAGTGCCGAGGTTGCGAATTAAGGCTCGGCCGAATCTCGCGCACTGTTGGAGTGGAAGAATTGAGATAAATTAAAAACGGATAATTCGTATCAAAGCTGCGACATGCTGGATGCACAAGCATAATAGGCCGCTGTTTTCGGATAAAACGGCCCAAAATAAAGTCTGCAAAATGAGAAAAAAACATGATTTAGGCTGCGGAGAGATGACCTCCAGGCTCGCTTATAGTATAATCCCCGCAAAAATGGATTCGTTGCAGATAAAACGGGCTCAGAAAGCGCGGCCATTCCACTCCTCATTTTAATATTCAGGTGGGTCTCCTTGGACACCCCAACGGCCAGCGGCCCTCCAATAATTTATTCAAATTTCTTCGGCCGCGCGCCCGACTATTTGGTCGTCAAATTATGAACAAGCCGCGGCCCGCGCCGAAGGTCCGAGTTTGTTGTAAGCGGCTCTTCTTTTCCAGCTCTTATTTGGCCTCCTTATTCTCACATTCGGAAAATTCTTTAAGCCGCGGCAGAAAACGGCGCATATTTTTTTTGCTCATTTGTTATGCGCAACTCGGAATTAAATAATATAATTCGGCCGCCTCCTTTGCGGGAAGAAACTTTGACGGGGATTAAAAATAGGATTGAGCGACGTATTGTGATGTCTCGACTTTGAGGAACGAATAAAGTTGGGGTTACCAAGTGACATTTTCAGCGAAATTTGGTAAATTTTTTGCAACGTCAAATGAAGCGCAAATTTCAGATTCATAAACGCATCGGAAAATAAAATAAATTGTAGGCCAATTAAGGCTAGGTTTTACGTAAAAAATGATGACAAAAGTTGAGAATTGACAACGGCTGTCAAGGAGAGTAAATAATTCAGGAAAGTGTTTGAAACAAAACCGAGAGTTCAAAAACCAAAAGTGCAGGATCTTAAAAGCTTTTAGAAGCCAGACAAGAATCCGGTTAAGATGACGTTACCAAAAATATTATACCAATGTAAATACAAGCAATTTTATATCTGATCCTAATGAAGTTCGTAAAATTATTAGCTTAACAAACTACTAGTGTATTCAAGCCATTAAGTAACTCGGACGGATCTTCAGAAATGATCTTGACTCTTAATGAAAGACAAGTATACGTTTTTCACATGGTGCATTCCAGAACTTTTATTTGACAAGCAGAGAAGATTCCGGCAACTCTGACTACTGCCTCAGTTATCTCGATTACCGCTAATGCTACCGTTAATGCTGCAATAGTTATTTATTGCAGAACTAATAGCACATGCGCTTCTTACAACTGCTATATTACAATCTCAACCTTGCAATTTATCGACATTAATTTATTCTAAGAATAAAACTCTTATTTTTTCCCATTTACAATCCGACTGAACCAATTCTGCGGTTTCTTTAGGGCCTGGCTTCCCGGCTTTGGCAACCGACTGAAGGGACCGGACGAACTTGAAGTTGATGGTTGCTCTGTCCGTTCCAATGAATTGGAGCGTTCATCCTCCTCGCGGATTGGTTGTGTGAGGGCTGTGTGATTGTGTTGGAATCGGGGAACGGCTCGGGGCGATTCACTAGCACTCTGACGAACCCGCTGACTTGTCCAGCGGTTCGTGGCGGCCGGACGTTGATCGTTCTGGAGAACGGGGGAATTTCGACGCTGAAAGAGAGATTATAGTTTTGAGAGGGAGCAAAAAATTTTAAAGCCAAATTTAGCTCTTACCAGGACAGCACTTGGCTTCTTTGGACCATTAGTTAAAGGGGTACTTGGCAGATTGAACGGCTGAGGTAGTCTGGAGGTTATATGATGATGGTGATGATGATGTGCGGCTTGTTTTGGAGGTGACGGAGCTATCATAGGATTCCTTCGATCAGATCCATTCCTTTTTAGACAGCTTTGCAAAGGACGGTCAGTTGAATTGTAGTCGGAAGACTCTCCCGACACTCGCGGCGGACTGTCATACAGCGGTTGGTTGTCATAGCCTAAAAAGCAAATGTAAAATAAATGTCTGTGGTGTGCTTACTCGATCCATTCGGAGAACTGGCCGATTGTTGTCGAATAATCTTTCTTTCCGCCGACTTTGGTGATCCCAGGATTGGCACTTTCCTCACCATAATCGGCGTTGTCGATGGGCTCTTTCCAGCGATATTGCTGATGTCTTGCAATGACGAAACAACCTCTCTGACATGTCCTTGCCTTCCAGAAAACCGCATAATAGGCGAGTTGGTGATCAGGCTGGGGACGGCGTCTTCTGGCTTCATCCGACTCATTTCGTCGGCCAATCGCTTGATCTCTCCGCACTTCTCATTCTTCGCTTCAACCAAACTGCAAGGACGACGAGTCCGCTCTTCGGGCGTTCGTTCTGACCGTCGGACCAAAGGAGATGCGTTCCCATTGGCCAGTCTTTTTCGTTCGGCCAACACAGGAGATCCCACTAAGACAATGTGTAAAGAGCTAGATAGACGACCTACTTGGAGACACAGTGCCGCGGCCGTTTCTATATACAATCACATTTTCGACTGGTCCGTTTCCGCGCTGCTGAGGGATCAGCTTGCGCTCAATGCGGGGAGAGGGCGGAGTTTCGGTTTTCAAGGGAACTAAATTAAATTGCAAGCGTTAATTTGACTGCCGTAGGGCTTAATATGCTTAATATTCAAGCACGTTGAATTCAAGATTTTCAACAGCTAGCCGAAGAGTTGGACTAGCCCAAAAATTTTCAAAAATGGAAGGGCAAGGACTTAAAAATCTCAATGCAATAATTGATGCTGCCAATCCAATCTTTGGCTAGCCGTTTCTTCGATTACTGGCAAAAAATCTGGTTAAAAACTATCTCAACTTACACTTGCTCATGTCAAAGAACTTCAAAAAGTCCGCCTCAATCCCGTCATCATCAGCCAGCTCTTTTACACTGTTATTGTTCTTGCTCTTCCTTTGCTGTTCCACCCGACTTCCATGAAGTTTGAAGGGCAAGAAGACATTCAGTTTGGGTTTGCTCAGTCTGGACAACAAGTCTTCTCCATGAAAAGAGGCCGGTCTCTTTGAATGTCGATTCTGTTCAAGCTTTAGTCTCTCGATTTGGGCATGCGCGACTAATAATGCTGATTGTTGATGCATCAACTCAAGCTCGGCATGAATTAGTTTGTTGGACTTGTCGATCAGCATATTTCGGAGATGGCCGAGCTGAAAAAATTGTGATGATACAAGGGTTGTCAGTAAAAAAGTAAATATCGAAAAAGTTTGAAATATCACAAATGGATAGCCAAAAAATTCAAATGGTTTCAAAAAATGCCTCTGAGGCCATGCAAAAAATTGGGTTGTCCTAAAACTTTTTAAAAACCAGAAGTTGAACCGGCCAATGGTCTTATCACTTACTCTATGTACAATCCTCATGGTAAATGCGTAAAGCGCATCGTATCGAGGGAGCTCCTCCAATCGCTCTCGAATATGTCTCTCGTTAATTCCAAGCTCTAAATCGAAGCAATATACAGGATATTTGCAGTCTTCTTACCATATCCTTTTGACTGTAATAATGAGAAATTCTCACGTTGCAGTCTCTCAACCTGTTCCAGACAATTTTGATAAGCCGTTTGCTCACGGAACGTCGCATTTATTGCCTTAAAATTATTAAAGTACAGTATATCGACCTGATACAGTGGCAAAAAACGTTCCATTTTGCATCCGGGAAGCATCAAAAATGTGGGAAAATGCTTTCCTCTCCAAGTGAAAAAAACTACGTTTTGAAGGGCGCGCTCTTTCTCTCACAAAAAGAGCAGGCGCGCTTTTGAATTCGGAGTTTTTTTTTCTGGAGAGGGCAACATTTTGCCACATTTTTGATACTTCCCGGATGCAAAATGGTACGTTTTTTGCCACTGGATCAGGTCCTCCACTCTAATAAAACCAACAGACAAACTGATGTCACGTCAAGCAATTTCAAATTCTTACCAGCTGCTGATTCTTTAGCGCATCATTTTTGGACTGCTGTAGCTCGGCTTCCAACTCTTTCAACTTGTTTTCGATCTCGATTATTGACTTCTCGGTGACTCTTCCCACTCGCTCTTTGAGGAACACTCGCTCCAGGGCATCGTTCATTTTCTCTTTCTTTTTCAAATTGTCCAGCTAAAAACAAGCGGGGATGTCAGCAGGCCGATCACTCACCTTAACCTCAAAAATATGTTCGTTCTTCGAGAGTTGCATGGATTTGTCGCGGAGTTGGTCGATCAACTGGGTATTCCGAGTCTTCAGAACGTGGATTTCATGCTGAAGAAAACTGTTTTCGTCCTGAAGTAGCTGATACTCTTCATCCGCAACGTTGTAGGTCGAATGATTCGTGTCTTCGGAGGCTGAAATGGGCAAAGATTACTGTGAGACTCAAATGAAACCGCCAATGATATCTTAAAGAAGTAAAAGAAGAAAAAGATAAAGTCAAATTGATTCGGAAGTATCTGTTGTCAAAAAGTAATGGGGTTTTTTCTGACTCACCTCTGCTGGCCACACTCCTTGAACTATTTACCTTCTTCCCCAGGCGTGCCTTGGGCAAATTCAAATCGCTTGGTGAGAGGTTATGGGCAAAACTCTTGGGCCGGACCTTTCGCCTCAACTTCACACCAAACTCGTTGTCAACTTCCTCGAATTTGGGTACTGATGCGCTGTGCTGAAATTCGGGACCTCCAATTTTTTTGTTATTATAAAATCAAAGGGCCAAAGGCTCAGAAATCACCAAGGAATGACCCTTAAACTTTTCGCAACTAAACAAGCAAAAAGCCAAGAGATTAACATTCGAGGTGATTAAATGGATCTCAGAAATCCCGGAGCGCGTCATTGGCCTCCCTAATCCCACTTTCCTGACGAACATTTTTTATGAACAAGGTCAGGAGTGGGTCTTGTACCCTCCTCGTGTGTGACTAATGTTCTTTTCGTTTTGTTTGACACATTTCCTTGTCCAGGAACCGATCAGATCGCCGTGCTTTTCGGCCCTCACCCCCACTTGGAGCCCCCTGAGGCCGCGGCGTCTCCGATTTCAAAACCCGCTTACCGCCGGCAGAAGATTGGAAACATTTCGGAGGGAGGTTGACACTTGTTGCCGGGACTGGGGCCGACTGCCGGCCCAATCGCCGCATTGGCCGGGCGCGAGCGCGCTCTCGCTGCTGGTCGCCACCGCCAACAGGTTGGAGGAGCGTTTGTCTGAAAGAGGTTCGGGTAATTGTAATCCCTCAGGCCGAGATTTATTTCGATCCGATTGCACTCTTCGCATCAGAAAGGGGGGATTTATTGCGGGTGTCTAAAAAACAGACACGAGAGTTTAATGGCACAAAAAAGTTGGGGTCTGGAAACAGCAGCACGTGGAGAAAACAATCAATCTAACTGTTGCAAAAGGAAGCCGACAAAACGTAGCCCTTTGTTAGCTAAAAGTACTTTTAGAAACTCCAACTTTATTATTATATAATATTTTTGTAAAAGATATTACTCACCACCACTGTTGACAGCCAAATGAACTTCACTTTCGCTGATTTTCCTCTTCCGTTTCTTCGCCTGTCCCGGCGCTTTTCCCGTAGGCATTGCCTCAGGTCTCGATGGATTTCGTCGCTTCAAACCAATGAATTCCAAGAAACTGCTTCGACTTGAGGCTGAAAAGCAACAGAATATCTTCATTACTTATTAGAACTTGCTCATGTTATCACAATGATCCACTGATGACGACGCTGATACACTAGAAGGGCTAGTGTTCTCACTAATTGACCCTCGATCAGCTCGACGGATCATGGAACGCCGAGGATAACAGGGCGAAAGGCAATTGTCATCAATGCTGGCATAGTCTTCTTTGGTCTGAAATAGGCATTTTTGATGACAAAACAGTAAAAAAATATAGCTTTGAGCTGCGAAAACTTTACTCACTTGCTGATAATCATTTTCTGAGTCTGAAATCTCCGGCAGCACCAATGGCGGCGCCTTCCTTCTATGATTACTGGAGGAGCCCGTATCCGATGACAAGTCCGTTGAATAAGAGCTGACCACCAAGTTGTCAATCTTCGGCGGAGTACTCATCCGCTCTCTGGCCCCAGTCCGGATCTCGGCTTGCATTGTTGGAGGCTTCTTGAGACTTGACAAACTTCCAGAGCTCGACATTAGACCTTTGAGAAGATGCCTTCCATCAAACAACTGGCTCATCCGATGGACCACCGATGAATGTGGTCTTGAAGGTCGTCTGGCTGGCGTTGAGACAGCCGAAGAGTCGTCGAGTTTCCTTCGGAGTCGCCGATTCTGTCGACGGAGTTCTCGGACTTCACTGGCCAAACTGCAGAGGGTCCCTGAAACAATTTTTTTAGTGTAACATCACCTGAAATAACATCCAAAAGAGCAGTTAAAAGGGCTTTAAGAAGGCCAAATGATTCAATCTCGTCCGTCCGAAAACTTTAAACGCCTGAGGCAAGAAAAAACGAGACGATTTATTTTGCAAACAAGTGATTCGCTGTAATGGCACTATAAAACCGGCCCCAAAAAACATGTCCATCTGGGAAATTTGATCTCGAAAGTGACCCCTGTTTTCTTCAAAATGTTTTCAACTTAAAAGATGACAGCTTTCAAAAGTAATCGATCAATCGCCTGAGGGAAAAAGGTGGTAATGCGACGTGAGGTGTGGAATATGTAAGAAATGAATGAGATGCACTTTTAGCATTTTCAAAAGCTATTTTTGAAAGGTTTCCTTTGAAAAAAAACTATACCTAAGACAGGGCTGTCCTCTGCGAATTCATCGGACGTATCCGTGTTCGTCCCTTGACGCATCGACTCCAGCTCACGCAGGAACTCTTCTTCGGCATTTTCATAACTGAAATTATGAAGTTGAGAGAAAAAAATGGCTAAAAAACAAGTGCAAAATGTAAAACCGGATGCACGGTTATCATACATATTTTGATGACAAATCCAAAAATTCACATCAAAATGAATATAACGTAATGTATGGTAATGTGTTATGATAAGAACACGTCTTATTGTTAGTACACACAAAACACACTTTGATAAGGGAAAGCGCCCGAATGCAACGTTCAAATTTGAAAAGGACTTGGCACAAACTTAAAAATGTTGTCGAAGATACACGCGAGGTTCCTCGCTCGCTTTTTGCCAACACTTTGGCTCCGGAAGTTTATTGAAATTGGACTCTTTTTTTTTGCAAATTTGCATATGAAGAGTTATATCACCCTTTACTTCTACCGGAAAGGCTTACAAGAAAGGAATCTCCTTGCGCCAAAGTGGCAGCAGAATTATGGCCGAAAGAGTTTCTCTCTGGCCGCAATCTTTCGTTCACAAAGATTGCTGCTTTCCTGCAAAGCTCGAGCTAACATTTTCATGAGTTCATATTTGCCCAAGACCCAGCAAAAGTTGTAATAGATTCAGGCGTTTCACTGGCACTTCCCTTGTCAAATTAAAATTATGTATATAATACTTTGGCGTGATGCAAACAACAGCCTCGAGCAATAAAAACACAGCAACTGGTTATAAATAAAATGAGATAAACAAAAGTTAGCTCACAGAATTCTGCAAAAACAGCTAGCAGTGCAAGTATTATAAATAACACACACTTTGCGCTTACCGTGAAATAATTTGTTGGATCGACAGCGGATCCTCGGGCGGTGTGGGTGCCGACATTCTCGCGGTACCTTCGAACCGCAAACTCCGCAGAGCGGACGTCTGTGAGCCCGCACTGACCGCAGGTGCTCTCAAAAAAAGTGAAAGAAGAGACCACAACCCGTAAACAACATCCCCACCCTCGCCGCCTCGGAGGAAGGCCGTTTGTGTAAAGCACTCGGATCAATCACTCATATTTTTTGATTTCATCCGGAAAACAAACTTTTCGGCCGCTCTCTTAAGTGGACTGGGAAAGGCCGCCGGCCATTAAAAAGTTGGATGGCTACAAGTTGTTTGTCTGAATGATTATATAAATATGTTGGAGAAGGAAGTGTTCGAAGCCAGATGTTCGTTTGATTTGGCACACATGTCAAGCGTTGTTTACGTAACAATTTCTGAAATTAATGCCCCTGCTTTGCAGGTTCAAAATAATCAACAATCTTTGCAGCCGAGAGAGAACGAAAAATGCGGAAAGTGGTCAGAGAGACAGCTCGTTTTTACCGTATCTGTGCTGATTTTGCGTTGAAAAATTGATCTTCTTGTAGAAGTGTGATCCTTATATATTCACATGGGACACTTTGCTTGATAAAATAAAGTGGAAATGTCATCAAAAAAATTGCAAAAGCTTGAGCAATCACTTGCATAATTGTTATGTAAAATAATTTGTCGATTTCTCAAGCTGATGAATTCAGAAAACACATCTTCTCTAAATTTTACTCATGGCTTCCTTCTCGGACCACACCTTAAACCTCAAAAATAATGTATGATATAATTGAGGAATTATAGTTTATAGTACAGTCTTGAGCTGTCTTATCTACGGAGCCGCTCCCATTATTACTGGCGTTCGGCAAGAATAGCAGTTTTTTTAAAGAATCATTTTGCACAAAAACACAGTAAAGAACATGATTTGAATGTGTTTGATGACAAGATCTATTCACAATAATTAGTCATTTTTATCTGTTCATTAAATGCATATTGCTATAATTGGCATTTATCGTAACTTGTAAGACCTTAAAAATTTAAAAATTTGAGTACAATTCACATGAACTTTGAAATCAAAGAAATTTTCTGCCGTCTCCTCCGTTGATCGGCCCTCAAATATCGTTATTGAATTGCTCTTTATCAAACACAAGCAACCTATACATTGTAATTTGCAACAAAAACTCCAAAATTAAAGGCAGACCGCTTGAAAAAATCATAATTTTTGGAGTGTCTTATCAAACTCTCTCAATTACAACTACTTAAACCGTTGGAAGCGTCAAAGCCTTATCAAACCCGGATCAAAGAATTCCGGGAATCTACGATTGTGGGAACATTATTAATTAAAAGCGTTCCCAGGGGTCGTCGAAGATGGTTAAGGTCGAAGGTGAGCGATATTTTTATTACAAAGGAAGGGTTTGAAAACGGAGATTTTTTTTTTTAATTTTTCACATATTCCGGGCCTTAATTTTACAACAATTCCTGAAAAAAATAGCTCGCGTTTTGCAAGAACAGCCGAGATATTCAACAATCTTTGCCGTCGGACTAAAAATTTTGGTTGTTTCTGCAAAACGCCAACTGGCATATGCCTTACAATTTTTTCTGCCGAAAGTTACAATGTATTTCGCATACTCACTTCAAGTTTCAGATGGCCGCCGCGACGATGAGAAAGAAGAGCTTATTGAGGCCAAGACTTGGGGAGAAATGGCAAGACTTTGGCCCAAACAGACTTTTTGCATCATCGGCAACGAATTCTGCGAGCGCTTCTCCTTCTACGGAATGAGGACTGTCTTAACCTTGTACTTGCTGAACATCCTCAAATTCTCCGAGAGCGATTCGACCGTTTTCTTTACCATCTTCACGGCTGGCTGTTATTTCACTCCTCTTTTTGGCTCAATTTTGGCTGACTCTTACATTGGAAAGTTTAAGTAAGCATTCTTCATATATTATATGTTCTAGCTGGTCATTAATTTTGGAGCATATATCTTCACTAATAATGTCTAAATTTTCAGGACAATCATCGTTGTTTCCATCGTCTATGTGTTTGGCCAAGGACTTCTCGCGTTTGCCTCCATCTACAACCCTAAATGGAGTCTGCATCCGGCCATCGATCTTCTCAGTTTATTCATCATTGCCTGTGGTACTGGTGGAATTAAGCCTTGCGTATCTCCGTTTGGGGGAGATCAATTTGACAAGCATCAAGTCGCCATGATTTCGTTATTCTTCTCGGTTTTCTATTTTTCAATCAATGCTGGATCAATGATCTCCACTTTCATGGCTCCGATTTTTAGAGGTAGGTAAAATACGCTGACTTTTGACTATGTAATTCAAATTTTAGCCACGCCATGTCTAGGGCAAGATACGTGTTATCCATTGGCTTTTGGAGTGCCAGCAGTTCTTATGGCAGCCGCTACAGGTAAATTAACGCCTTTCAGTATGAAATATTCAATGCAAGATTGTTAATCGTTAATTATTTCAGTTATTTTCATTGCTGGAAGCCCATGGTATCGCCGAGGACAAAGTGGAACCAACGTCTTGAAAGACACAAGCGTTACCATCTTGGTATGCCCATTTTTTATTTTCGTATTGTAAATCATCTTTAGACCGCGTTGAAGCACAAAATCTCATCGAATGAGAAACGCGCGCACTGGTTGGATTACGCGATAACAGGTCATGAATGCACTGAGAGTCTGAAATGCATGAGACTCAAGAAGAGGATGCAATATCCAGAAGCTTGTGCGGAAACCAAGTTCATCAACGACGTCAAGACATTGTTCAACGTGTCTGTCATGTTCCTGCCTTTGATTGTCTTCTGGACCCTCTACGATCAGCAAGGATCCGTCTGGATGATTCAGGTAACACTAGCTAGCTAGTTAATTCTTTAATTGTTAATATTACTCAATTTTGACCTGGTTTCAGTCCCTACAAATGGATTGTCGTATCTTCTGGGGCATCTTCTTGTTGCCGGACCAAATGCAGACCCTGAATGCGGTCCTAATTTTGGTCATGATCCCGTTGTTTACGGCAATCATCTATCCGTTAACGGAGAAGCTGGTCAAATTAACGTAAGGCCCTTTTTTTAATTTCAAGTCTTTTTTCTTCCGTTTGCAACAAAACTACAATTATAAATGGTCATTTGCAGACCGTTGCGGAAGATGGGAGCAGGCGGAATGCTGGCGGCTGTATCGTTCGTTATCTCCGGCTTTGTTCAACTGGAAGTCAACGTAAGCTGCGATAAGAGAGCAACAGACAAAGAACGCAATTTTAGAAGACCCTGCCGATGTTACCTGCAAATGGATACGATTATGTCACAGTTTTCAACAATGTCCCCGATTGCACAGTGATGGCTTGGGTTGGAGATTACAAGAACGCTACTGTGAAAGTAGATCCCTTCACAGCGATGGAGAATACAGCCAGCAAAATAAACTTATTCAACGTTCCTGCTGGGAACATCACATTCAATTTTAAGTATGAAGGAAATTGTCCTGATCTGCTTCCAAATTCAGCAGTTTTCCAAATCGACGGAGTTGACAGAAAAGACCCCTCTGTTGGATATATCCATATCAATAGCCATGGAATGTTCTACTCGACAACGCCAGCACAGAAACCATCCGAGGGAACAGGAGAACATGGCCTATCGTAAGAGGAATTTGGGCAAAAAAATGATGACAAATGACACTCGATTATCTTAGCCATCTTTCAGAGTCATCGTAGCAACATCGGAAGCGAATTTCACCAAGAATATCGCAGTTTGTCGTGTGACCGGGGAAGATACAAAATATCCATGCGATCCGCAAACTCCAGAAGATTTTTATTACTTCCAAGTGAATTACAACGATGGGGATGCCACGGATTTACTCGGCAAATTCCCTTATCTTACGAAGAATGGAGAGACCAGTGAAGTGGCTACGGTCTTTGTGAATAAGGGAGTTAGAAGTGGAACGTAAGCATTTATAGCGACAAAATTGAAATCAGCAGGCTCTCTTCTATTATAAAAAAATTAATTTTACAGCTGGCATCTCTATTACATGAAAGAAACGCCAAAATCGCTGGGCCATCAGACCATGCCCAAGGAGAACCTAACCTTGGAAGATGCGCATATTGAGTATGAAAGAGAAACTCAAGGTGGAGTTTATTTGTTATCGTTGACTGGAGAACACCTTAATCCAAGCAATGGGACATTCCGGGTTGTCCCGGACAATGAGATCTCAATTCTTTGGCAAGTCCCTCAAATCGTTGTCATCACTGCAGCGGAAATTATGTTTTCCATTACTGGGAATGAGTTCTCCTACACAGAGGCGGCTGTTTCGATGAAATCTGTTGTTGGTAAGGGCTGTTTCATACCTTATTTTGTATGTCGGTACCTAATACATTAATAGGAGCATAAGCACTGTCATTTTAAATTCTATTTAGGTGCTCTCTTCTTATTGACCAATTGCCTTGGGGACTTGTTGATCATTGTCATCACGATGCTGGATTTGTTCGAGAACAACGCAACCGCCGCTTTCTTCTACGCCGGATTTATGGCAGTTGTCATGGGCATCTTCATCATCTTGGCGGCCTTCTTCTACGAGTACGCTCACTTTGGAAACGAGCCAAATATGGAGTCATTGGAAGACTTTGGTGAAGAAAACGATGACGACTTAAAATTACTGGTCGAAGAATTCAGAAACCCCGATAAAATGAGGCTTTAACTCGAGCAGATTGTTGATTTTTTAAAATATTATATTTGTACAGTAAACATGATTAAAACAGCTTATATTTGGAATAACTGCTATATAAAATACCGCTGCAAATTTTGATTGGAGTTTTGTCCCAAAAAAGCGAAAGGAATGACGCGAATGCGGAGTTCTCTTTTCGACTATCAATTTGGAACATGATAAGACCCAGAAAAAAGACTAGAAACGCAATAAATGGGTTTTGTGAATCACTCCGAGAAGATATGTTTGTACATGTGTCTTTTTCCTATTCTTTGTTTCCATTTTTACATATTTTGCGCAAAAACTTTCTTGTTTTTTAGCAAAAATATTGTTTTAGATGAGATCAAAGGTGCTTGTCTGAACTCTCGGGGGTAAAATGAGATGGCCAGACCTTCATCCAGCCAATGCCTATCCAAATCAGATCTGAAACCCCGATAAAATGAGGCTTTAACTCGAGCAGATTGTTGATTTTTTAAAATATTATATTTGTACAGTAAACATGATTAAAACAGCTTATATTTGGAATAACTGCTATATAAAATACCGCTGCAAATTTTGATTGGAGTTTTGTCCCAAAAAAGCGAAAGGAATGACGCGAATGCGGAGTTCTCTTTTCGACTATCAATTTGGAACATGATAAGACCCAGAAAAAAGACTAGAAACGCAATAAATGGGTTTTGTGAATCACTCCGAGAAGATATGTTTGTACATGTGTCTTTTTCCTATTCTTTGTTTCCATTTTTACATATTTTGCGCAAAAACTTTCTTGTTTTTTAGCAAAAATATTGTTTTAGATGAGATCAAAGGTGCTTGTCTGAACTCTCGGGGGTAAAATGAGATGGCCAGACCTTCATCCAGCCAATGCCTATCCAAATCAGATCTTGTACAGTGATTACTCTCGCTACATCTCATTGGTTGCGCATTTTCTGAGCGTCTGGCTACAGTAAGTACGTTATTTCGGTATAAATCATGGAAAAATTCGCACGAAAAAAACTATTTTTTGTATCAGATTCATTTCGCTGGTCAATTTCAAGCCTTTCAAAGCTATAAGGTCAAAAAAATGTTTACAGAATTTACTTCGTAATTGCTGCATTGGTCACAAGAAACTACATTCTTGTGGTTTTCCCTGGATTTTGCTTAATTGCCTATGGATTTCTATACTTTGGAGTGCTTGGCCAATACAAATACTTTATCATCCCGGCGATTCTTAGTGATGTAAGTCTCCAAACTCCTCTGAAACCATAAATTTTATATGTCAGATCGTCTCCATAATTGGCTTTTCCATTCAAATATACCTCTTCAAAGACCTGCCCGAAGATGATTCCCATGGAACCGTGTCCAAAGTGGCCATGTATACAAGTCCCATAGCCATTTTCTTGAAGATCCTCGTGTCCCCAGTATTAGTCCGATCGTATTTTTTGATCCAATCTCCTGCACATGGAGTCCCAATAGGCAAGGAGTTCTTGACGGTCTTCTTGTTGATGCACTTTGGCTTTATTGCTGGATACTTTATTTATTCTTACGCATCTGATGGATCAAATTCTTGCTCTTGTGGAAAATGCAAGAAGAAAGATGAAGCTGGGCGAAATGTAACATAGAACTTGACAAGGAATTTAGGATTTGTGTAAATAAATTATTTTTGGACTTTGTTCCTATTATGTTACAACATTTTCCGGTCATCGTTTCAATTGAAAACTAGGCAAGGATCAATAGAAACAATATGTTTGCAACAATAAGCAAAAATTAATACAAAAATGGGAATAAAGAGTCAACAACTGACATTTACAATAAAGAGAACGTACTCTGATATAAGGACCCTTCTTCGCAAGGAGACTTCGTGGAAAATGGGGAGACGAGGCCGATGAGAAGAGTTTTTCTGCTTCAACTTTATGTAGGATTTTATAAAATTTGTGCCTTCGCGGTGTGAAGTTGAACTCTACACAAGAATAACTTTTTTTTGATCATCAGAAAAGTCGTTGAGTTTGAATGAAATTTCGCAGGCTATGCTTGAAATGCGACACTCAAATTTCTAGAAAACTTGGCAAATAGTTATTCTCAGTCAAAATAGTATAACGTAGAACGCATAATCTGTATTTCTGCCAAGCTTCATCGACTATTTCATCAAGCAGCTCTTGAATTTCTACTCTATGTAATCAAATCCTTGCGTTTTGTTCGCACACTTGATACGGCTGCCAATTCGTGATCGGATTAAATTTGACAGCCACCTTTTATTTCAATATTTTGTTGAATGCATAAAGTTATTAGTCAAATTTCATGATGTTTGTATTGTTTTTATGAGCTTTGCCGATTTCCACAATCAAAACGTGACTGGGATTTTCGTCCCAACCCCCAAATCACCCGCCATCACTGATAATATTCAACAGCGCTAGTTTCTACTGATATACCCGGGGTTTTTTATATTGTAATCAATGGTTTGTTTACTTATTTGCAATTTTTACTTGATTCGCACTTTAGAGCTGAGAGGAGCTTCGTGATGATCATGGTTTACTGCGTTCCCATTGATTTATCATTTTCCGATCGGTTTTATCACAAACTCTTTGATCAAATAAACGTTTGTCTAACTCTCACCTTTAAAATTCTTTTTCTGATTTCTCATTTTTCAGTTCGTAAATGCTCGTAAAGACAGTTCTCGTTGCATTACTCTTGCTTCAGAACGCTAAAGCTGAAGAAAACAGTACATCGGTAAGCGGCTTTAAAGTCTGACTAAAGTTTTAGATTATAGGATGGCACTATGAGCACGTCGAAGCGCCATTTGTCGCCTCCATTTGGCTTCTTTTGGCCGGAGTAGCAAAGATTTGTAAGTTCAAGGCCTTATATCATCATAGTTAATAAAACCTTTCTAGTGTTCCATGTAAATAAAAAATTTGGAGATGCCGTCCCAGACTCTGCCCTTCTCATTGTGGTAGGCCTCGGATTAGGCCTCTTCTTGAAGGCCATCACAGTCAGCGATCAAGTATTTTACATGGATTCAAAGGTCTTCTTCCTCTACCTTCTCCCTCCGATCATTTTCGATGCCGGTTATTTCATGCCCAATCGATTGCTGTTTGAAAACTTTGGCTCAGTGATGATGTTTGCGGTCATTGGAACAATCTGGAATACGATTACTATTGGCGGAACATTGGCCTTACTCTCTTCGACCACCAGTTTATTTACGGTCAACATCTCCATGATCGAAGCGTTCTTATTCTCATCCTTGATTAGTGCTGTAGATCCTGTGGCTGTAATTACAGTCTTCGAGGAGATCCATGTCAACGAATTTTTATTCATCAATGTGTTTGGCGAAGCGCTGTTCAACGATGGAATTGCGGCAGTTCTTTTCCAGATTTTCAACAAAATGGCTATAATTGGCGCAGATAATCTGAAGCCAGTCAACTATGTTGTCTTCAGCGGATCATTCTTCGCAGTAGCCCTTGGTGGAGCCTTTATTGGAGTTTTATTTGCACTGTTTTGTGCTATTCTTACACGGTACACTCAAAGAGTCAAGATCATTGGCCCTGTCTTTGTCTTTGTACTCCCGTATCTTGCATATCTTGTGGCAGAGATGACTGGATTCTCGGCGATCTTGGCGTAAGAAAGCTTCGATTTTTTAATATTATTCAATTCCAGGATATGTTGCTGTGGTATTGTGATGAAGCAATACATCAAATGCAACATTACCCATGAGGCTGCTTCCTCCATCAAATATTTTGTGAAAATGCTTGCCCAGTCCAGTGAAATTGTCGTATTTATGTTCTTGGGACTCTCGGCAATATCATCGCAAAGTCAATGGGATTATGGGTTCATTGCAGTGTCCTTGGCGGCTTGCTTAATCTACCGGACATTAGGTAAATAATTAAAAATTTTATTCGTTGTAGAATGATGTCATTGTACAAAGGTTTATTTTGGCCCATAATTGACTCTTAGGACCTCCTAAATTTCTTGTTGCATAAACGTTTTGTTGTGTAAGATTGTTGTACAGCCTCTCCACTGTAATCTTATTTTTGCAGGCGTCATCATTCAATGCGCCATTTTGAATCGCTACCGCGCAAAGAAGTTCACTTTCGAAGATCAATTTGTAATGTCATATGGTGGATTGAGAGGAGCTATTGCCTTCGGACTGTTGAGTTCAATACCATCAACTGTCGATCCGGAGAAACGGGCGATCTTTACATCAACCACGATTACAGTGATCTGCTTTACTGTCTTCTTACAAGGAGCTACAATCAAGCCATTGTTGCATTTGCTGAAAGTGGAGAAACAAAAAGAACACACTGCAACCATGGTGGAGAATGTTTATAATAAAGTAAGTCAGTTCTAAATTATTATATTTTTTCACATATAATATAATGGTATATGTATATACTATACTTTTATTCCTTACAGTATTTTGACTTTGCCATGGCGGGTATTGAAGAGATTGCTGGACAAAAAGGATCTCATTCAATCCGCGATTGGTTCGAACGAATGAATGCCCAATATCTAAAGCCATATCTGACAAAACAACGGGAGGCGAAAGTCTTTGATGCTTCTCAAATCATCAGAGCCTATCAAAAAATTACTTTACATGAGGCCATGGAAGTCATCTCTATTCAAACTGATGACAAAAAATCGAAACGTGTTAGAAGTCTGACAGTCGGAGCTCACTCAAGTCAAAAGAGAGAGCGGAATGACCTTGATAATGTAGGTGATTACTGGTTTTACATATCGCTATATTACTAACATCCTTAGTTTCAAAATATATCCTTTCAGTTCCTTACATCGGAAGAAAACGTTGAGAAATTGTACTCAATGTTCAGCACGCTGCTTGATCGAAAACTCAGCGAATATATGTCGGCACAGAATAAAATGCCTCATTCGCTGACCGGTGATGAAAACGATGACATTAAAGATGATTACTTGGCATCGCTAAACAACCATCAGAATCCATTGAAGAAAATAAAGTCAAAGAAAAATCTGGAACAGTCTGAAGTGTAGTACTAATTGAGTTAATTGACTGACTTTGAGTTAATATTATATTGTTGTTAATAAATGTTCTACATTATCGTTCAGTAAATCTATCTTGTTTTACAGTTCTCCATAGTCCAACTGCCCTTGTTTTTATTCTTCGAACGCCAAAAAAGCTCCAATGCCAGTTAATTTGAGCTCTCAACTTACTTGCATGATCTGTAGAGAGTTCCGAGTATAATTTATTCAAATACCTAAAAAGCGGTCTCTGTAGAGCGAACTTTTGCTTAGCGCCTGTCTAGAACCAAAACCAAATCTCCGCACAGCTAGGTTCTCGGTTCAGGCCGAAGTAAATTTGTAGCGTTCTGACCAAATTTAGTATGCAGCAGATGAAAAAATAGCAGTACTAAAGATAAACGGGAGAATGGGTAGCAAATCGCGATTTTGGACCCGGCCCTAGAGCCATGGACTGTGTATTTTTCAACGAAAAATACACAGTTTACATCGAATAATTTTTTGTTTCCTCGCGATTTTCTGTAACGAGTCTTTATTGCGTTATGTCATCCTTTTTCGTATGTTTTGCCGTACATCGTAACCTTTTATTAAAGATTTCTGGCTAGATTAATGTTTGCAGAAAATTCTTATTGCTGAAAAAAAATCATTTTGGCTCTCTTCATGCGTTTACAAATGTATAAAAGTTTCTCTGCACCCTTTAGCGCGTCCTGAGATCTCAATCTTTGTTTCGTAACTTACCAGTCCATCAATCATCGTCTCAGAATTCTCAACGCAAACCTTAGAACACCCCTTGTCCGTTAATTTGACTGATGCGAGTGAAATTAGACAAGCGTCTAATCTTCAAAGTTTATTTGATATTTTAGAGATCACGATGTTCAAATGGCTGCTGTTGGCATCAGCGCTGTCTGTAGTTATGGCCGACGGAAATAGCAGTAGCCCGGTAAAGATAGACGCAGTCTGACTAAAGTTGTAGATTATAGGCTGGAACTTCGGGTACGTTGAATATCCACTGATCGGGTCGTCATGGCTGCTTCTTGCAGGAATTGCAAAAATTGGTAAGCTTTTTTACTTTTTTATCTTTTCATAATACTATGCAGAGGTCCTATTGATTTTTATGTGCTTGTTAAAAAGGTATATTTACCGTATTTTCAGTCTTCCATGTAAATAAGCGCTTTGGCGAAACCTTCCCGGACTCCGGCCTTTTAATTGTCGTTGGAATATGTCTTGGACTGCTGCTGAAGCTGACCTCGGTCAGTGAGCAGATGTATTCCATGGATTCGCAGATCTTTTTCCTCTACCTTCTCCCACCCATCATCCTAGAGGCCGGTTATTTTATGCCTAGCCGAGCCTTATTCGACAACTTTGTCCCAATTATGACATTCGCGGTTTTTGGGACCATCTTTAACGCCATCACAATTGGAGGGAGTTTGGCGTTGATATCTGCTACAACAAGTTGGTTTAGCATCGACATCTCCATGATTGAGGCTTTTCTTTTTTCCTCCCTGATCAGCGCTGTGGATCCTGTGGCTGTCATCGCTGTCTTCGAAGAAATTCAGATTAACGAATTTCTCTTCGTCAATGTTTTTGCTGAATCTTTATTCAACGACGCTATTGCCGCTGTAATTTTCCGAATGTTTAATCGACTGTCGGTAGCGGGATCCGGTGGATTGGGACCTCAAGACTTTGTTGTTTTTGGTGCTTCTTTCTTTACAATGGCCTTGGGAGGGACTCTGATTGGGGTCGTATCTGCACTGTTGTGTGCGGTGCTAACCAAGTACACACAGCGAGTCAAGGTCATCGGAGCTGTGTTCGTATTCGTGGTCCCATATTTGGGATATCTGGTGGCGGAGATGTTCGAGTTCTCTTCAATCTTGGCGTAGGTTTTGGCCACTTCTCCATGGCTTAAATCTTTGACTTTTAAACCTTTCAAATCATGGTTTTCAGAATTTGCTGGTGCGGAATAGTGATGAAGCAGTACATCAAATGTAACATTACTCATGACGCGGCTTCCTCTGTCAAATACTTTGTGAAAATGCTCGCGCAATCCAGTGAAATTGTTGTTTTTATGTTCCTCGGATTGTCGGCCATTTCATCGGAAAGCGAGTGGGACTATGGGTTCATTGGGATTACGCTGGCCGCCACGCTGATCTTCAGAACTATCGGTAGGTTTTTTTTCAAAATTTTGCGGCCATTCCGATCGATACATACGTGTAATCAGTGCGATCAAAAAGATACTTTTGTGCGATTACTATGCAACTGTTTGCCAACTCAAAGAATATTCAGTTTGTTATAGACAGGCAAGACTATGCAGTCACTCCACTCCAAAAAATGGCTTCTATAAATTGTCCGTGATAAGGGTTTATCGGCGCGCTGATAGTGGCAAGGTTTACAAAAATATGGCCCGATCTTCGTTGTGAACACGCTTAAATTAAGGTGACAAAGTTCAGAGAGGCGATAAGAAAAGATCTGATGCAATTAAGAAAACATTGCAAAAATCTTTATAGTAATTTACAAATCAAATGTAAAAAAGGCAAAATAAACGTATTTCAGGGGTCGTAATTCAATGTGCTTTCCTGAACCGGTATCTGCACAAAAAGTTTTCATTCGAGGATCAATTTGTGATGGCATATGGAGGATTAAGGGGAGCTATTGCATTCGGCTTACTCAGCTCTATCCCATCAACCGTCGACGCTGAAAAGAAGGCCGTATTTACGTCAACTACGATTACAGTAATCTGCTTTACAGTCTTCTTTCAAGGCGCCACCATCAGACCTTTATTGAACTGGCTAAAAGTTGAGCGTCAAAAAATTGAAGCCGCTACTATGGTGGAAAATGTTTATAACAAGGTAAAGCTGTACGATAGCTTCTTATTGCATGATGACAATTCCAGTACTTTGACTTTGCAATGGCTGGAGTGGAAGAGATTACCGGCCAACGAGGCTCTCATTCCGTCCGCGATTGGTTCGAACGGATGAATGCCCAATATCTAAAGCCATATCTGACAAAACAACGGGAACGCAAAGTGTTCGATGCCACTCAAATCGTCCGAGCCTATCAGAAAATTGCATTAAGAGAGACAATGGAGCACGTATCAATCGACCGCAAGAAGAAGGGGCATAGTGAGCCTGAAACTCACATGTTTTTGACGAATATGAGGCAGAAAGTGGACAAGGCCGACTTGGAAGAGGTAGGTGTCGGGATTGCCAAAGGAGAAAAGGGCAAGGCGGTACGCGCAAATGTTTATTACCTTCGGCATTAAATGGTACATGAAGACGCCTAGCAGATGACAGTAGCCAAATTTTATAAAAGATAATTCCAGTTCCTGAAGTCCCCCGAGAACGCGGCCGCAGTTTATGCCATGTTCAGCCCTCTGATTGACAATCAAATCAAAGAATTCATCATCTCCCAACGGCAACTCCCTCATTCAGTTACCGGTGATATAATTGATGACATAAAGGACGATGTGTTGAGTGAACACCAAATTCCAAGGAACAGAAAACATTCCTCCACCAGTGGGAGTGCCAATGAACTAGAAATAGAAGTATGACTAACCGACAGTAACCTGCAGAAATAAAAAAAATAAAAAATTGCTAGTTGTATACTGTTTTTACAGAGCAAATAAATATTACTCTCGTTTTGAAATTTCCATAATTTTTTTCATTCTTTGAATATTTTTTTATTTTAATACAGTAACCTAGAAGAATCATTCAATTGACAATTAATGTTTAGTTCCTTCACCCTAAGGTCTTTGCAACCTGATAAAGTTTTTGCCCTTAAAACTTTTTCCTTTGGACTGATATCTCCGCGAAATGCTGGAAAATGTTTTAGGAGCATGTTTGTAACGTTGGCTGAGAACGGCCGAGAAAGTTTGCTGATAAGACCGTTTAGTGGAATTTGGACTTGTGACCCTCGAACAGGCCCGTAAAATATTCTTGTAAACAAGTCACTTCAAACTACAATTGAGCCAATCACATATTATATACTACATAATACAGCGTATATTCAACGCATAAAAACAAACGTATATGCATAAAGATGTCAGAAAGTCAACAAGTTTGAGACTATCCCAAAAGGTTAGATAAAAAAATGAATAAAGTTAAAAGTTAAGAGGCTTTGGTAAAGAATATTGTTGTTGCAAACCACAAAACTTTACGGCGCCGACATCAGACAGCGTGAATTGGCTAATAATAAAATTATTATCATCGGACTAATCCCAACAATTGTACCGTATCCGAGAGGAAGGGTCGCCTGAGGGCGGAAGCTTCGAATTATCAGCAATGCTCGAAAACACTTACAAGTGCTGACAGGAGCCTTATAAAAAGGGGTTATCAGAGTTGTTAATGCGAGCCATTCCATCGAAAAATGTGGAGGCATCTCTCTGCTCTTTTGCTGATTGCTCTCGGCGTTGGTGGATCACCAATCGAGCAGACGATTAGACTGCCGGGCCATGAGTTCCTCGATGCGTTCGCTCGGAATAAGATGTTCCCTCTGGCGGCTGCCGCCTACTCGGACGACCCACAACTTTGTTTGACCAACAGCTTCCAGGATGCCAAGGTAAATTGAGTTTTTAAGACAGATTACAGTCAACATAAGCCAAAAATTTCTTACTGATTACTTTGTAGATGGTCGGAATCGTCTTTGCCAAATGCCAAAACTCCAATTTCTCGACCCTTTGTTCCGGATATGTGGCAGTTTCGCCGGCTGACAAAGCTGTTATTGTGAGTTTCCGTGGGACCAACAACTTTCTGCAACTTGTTACGGAAGTCGGGAATGTCGCTTTCTTCAATCGCCACAGAGCCCCAACCAATGGAATGGTCGCTCAATACTTTTACGACGTCTTCGAACAATTGTGGTACGGTGGAATCGAAAAATTGGTGAACAAAGCCATCACAAGCAATCCAGAGTTCGATGTTTGGGTAAGTTTAGTGCTAGTCTTTTGTAATCATCCCTGTGAAAACTATGGATTTATAACTGCTTTATTTCAGCTTACTGGCCACTCCCTTGGAGGCGCTGTGGCTTCAATTACTGCGACAAAAGTCATGGTCGACTACAAATTGCCCACTGCCAGAGTGAAACTGATTACCTTCGGACAGCCAAGAACTGGTGATAATGTCTTCTCAAAGACCTTCCCAGACATTGTAAGCAAAAAAATCTTTATATTATTCTTGTCTACACTAAACTTCATCTTCTTTCGCTATGAAAAATACAATTTAATCGAGACGGTGCCTTTTGTAGGCCATTCCCTTTCGCCCTGTTTCGTACTTTCTCTTCCTACAATTTCCGTTGGTATTTCAGGTCCCCACGTCTTACAGAGTCAATCACAAACATGATGTTGTCCCTCACGTCCCTCCTCGAGGCTATGTCGGCTACAATCATCACTTTACGGAAGTCTGGTACCCCTCCAAGATGACAGACGGAGCCAAATTCAAGATCTGCGAGGGCGAGGAGAGTCCGAAGTGCAGCAACAGCGTGCTCTTGCCCGTCTCTGTTCTCGATCACATCACGTATTACAATGAGTTCGTTCCGGTGTTTGGAATCAGAGGATGCAAATGGTCGAAACGGAAATGACGCAAATGGCATTCTTTGATAAGGACCGAGCAATAAATTTGTGTTTTTTGTACATAAAACTAACTTATGTTATGAGCAGTAAATTCTTTGTTTTTATGATGATTTTTGCATTAATCTTCTTGGGGTCGTAGAAACAGGGTGGGGCCTATAGATAAAACATAGGCGGTCTGGACTTTAAGTTTACTTGGGCCTGACCAAAAATCCTCTCCATAGGGCTGGGCAGAACCAGCTTTTTATGGGCTTCGCCTGCGGGCCCGGAGAGGCCTACTCGCCATGTCTGGGTCATTTCAAATACATAAGTATTCACTGATTACTTTTAAATAGCTAAAATGTCAACAGGCAAAATCATGTGATTATTGATAAGAATATGCAAAAAGGAAACTATTTTTTGATGAGCGACCGTTCCAACCTTTGAGCATTAAGAATTGGGAAAGCTTAAATCAGACAACATGTATTGACGCAATCTTAACTCAAATCATTGAGACCACGTATTACAATAGCCCCAACGACAGTCCGACCTCAACAATACAAGTACTACAATTCAATTACAATCAACATCCCACCTTTTCTCAAACCAAATACAATTTCGGCCAGAGGGTAATTGAATGACTCTCGGCGTTACCAAGGTTTTAAAGCTCGTTTTACCTTCCCAAACAGATACGCTGGCGTGGCGCTGCTACTCTATAATTAGCATGCATAGCGGACCCTGTTATTCTTAACATCATCTACTAATTACGACTGCAAGGAGGATTAGGGCATATTGAAGAAGGATCAATATGCCTTATGTGGTGGAAGATGTCATTTCAGCGGATATTGCAGAAGAATCTTCGGTTAAATTGGCCGATATCGAGAGATATGCGGCAACGACAACTCCGCCACCTGAGGAACAGCAACATCTTATTTTTGTGGTATTATTGTTTGTTAGTGGAGCGTTAAATGTTATTCATCTTTACAGCTTGATCTTCAGCCCTCGGATGAAGATTGATGCAAGAAGATGGCATGCAATCTACTGCTGTTTGGTCAATTTTATGTTATTAGTAAGAATACTTATTATTTTTTTTTGTAATTTACTAAAGACACCGGAAGCTGACGTCATTGACCCTCATTTTATCTTACAAAGAACGCCTTTGTCTAGTCATATGAAAACAATGCAGTAAAAGCTTTTTTACAAGAAGCTTCCGTACTACAAAACCTGTCTATAACGAACTATCTCAGAAGTCCCAAAAATCCATATTCTGCCAAACAGAATCTCTTTACAAAGAAACGTTTTTATAACTAATAACTTTTTGTGACTTGTTTCCGAGGTTTGAGCGTAATTGCATTATTTCAGTGGTGTTATGCCAACTTTACCAAGAACCAACCGTTTTATGAATTCAGTCCTAATATTTACTGGAAATCACATGCCGATCCTATTCAAATGGTCCCTTTTTCTGCCTTCCCTGCATGTAAGTTACAGCAAAATATTGGTACCAAAATTTTGATACAGGACTTATGTATAAACTATAAATCTTTTTCAGCGCTCTGCCTGTTGATTCTCATAAGCATGGTAACTTTTATCTCCAAACGGCTCAAATCATTGTTTCTTTTCAAATGGCTGCTTTCTTTGATGTTCTATGTAGCCTTAATTTACGCGCAATACGCTCTTGTTACATCTTATGTAAGCGGCATTCTTGCCTTGAAGTTAAACCGTATTTTAGTACGACTCTATTAATGAAGCCGATATGAAAATTGTAAACGGTCATCCCATTTTACACTTTCACTATTACACCTGTATGTGCGCGGCTTTTCTCTGGTTGGTTTTACTGGTATTTGCAATCTTCGCGACTCTTTATTATGGAGTAAAAGCGTTCACCAGCAGGAGGAAAGTTGTTGGAAATGTAAGCCATCAAAGACAATTTCAATTGGTGGAATTTTAGAGACTAAAAGACGTCTACTCCCTATATGGCGTCCTATTGTATTCGACGGCAGTGATTTGGTGCCATCTCCCAAAAGAAAGCGTTCTTCTGGGAAGATATATGCAGGAAGTTTTCATCCCAATGCATCCTCAACAACTGGATATGTGGAAGTTGGGCATGATATCGAAGATCTCTAAAAGTCCTGTTATTCCGGCATTTGTTGAGGCAATTCCAATCACGAATGGGCTAATTCCGGCCGTAGAATATTTAGCGGGTAGTATTTGCTTTACGGTAAGTCTATTCTTTACAAGGGAAATGATCAAAGTGCTCTAAAAACCGGGTTTTTATTTCAACCACTTCCCCGGCTAGTTCAGCACAAAAGACGGTAATAAAACGCCATTATTTTAGTCCTTCCGTGAGAGCCTTGTCCAGCTTCTTTCCTGCGGCTCCTTTTATCCCACCTCATCCGAGGGCTCTATTTGGAATATCTGCAAACGTCTCAACCGAATCCGCACGGCGTCAGCGACAGTTACAAAAAAGGAAGACAGCTCCGTTCATGTTGTGGTTATGGATACCAAGATCAAAACAGAGCTTGAAATCATCACATAAGATCTTTAATTTACTCCAAAATTCACTAGGATATAGATTACAGGATACCCGTAAATAAAGGCGCGATATGTATATGAAAGCTATGCATCTGACTATTGTTTCAACACTTCCTCCTTCTTCAAAACATTGAGGTCGAGGGCTCCGCGGTTTTCGCTGACATGCGTAAATTTCTGCGGTTTGTCGGTCGAGAAAAAGATGAACAGGGCAGTCGCAGTTGTCAGGGCTACACTCATCGTAACGAAGATATGATTCCATTGCTCTGATGAGGTTTCATCGTGCACAAAGAAGCCGTATAAAGCGGGGGCAAAGAATAAAGTTAGGCATTTGATAAACTGGATATTTGCGATTACAAAGTGGCTGTGCTGTCTGAAATTTTAATTAATATTGCACATGATAGCAGCAGAAAGTCTTACCTGCAAGAGAGTGTTGCGCATTTATAGAATCCCCCACCACTGCCGGCATAGAACACGTGGATTGTGAGCAAAACCCCGACGGCAAACATGGGTTCGTCGATGATGACAATCAACATATAACACACGGCTGGGCCGAATGCGGCAAATGTATTGAACACGTTCATTTTTGTGCGTTCCGACCAAAATCTAAAACATAGTATAAAATTGCTTTAATATCGCAACTAAGCCATTTAGATTAATCCAAAAAACATACTTAATTTTATCACTTATTATCCCGAAAGTGATGCGAAGAGGGATGGCAATTAGCGGAGGAATGGAACTCAAAATTCCAGTGGTTACTATACTAAATCCACGGACTTTTCTCATGTAAATTGGGGTGTAGATCAGCAAGAAGATTCCGGAGGAAATCTCGATAAAGGCGTTGTACCATATAGTCAGCACTACCGGGTTCTTGCAGATCTCCTAAAGTCATCGGATTAAAAGTATTACGAGTCGACGTTTTCCTCACCCAATAAGGAACAACTCCATGGAATTCGAGCTCTTCTTTTGCCTTGTTTCTCTCAATCTTTTCGAGTTCAATGGAAGACACCCAGTTGGATTTGGCCGGGTAATCGGTGTAAACAAGGAACCAGTAACCGAAGAGGACAGCTCCGGCCATGGCATGGAAATAATAAATCCACGGCCAGCCGAGGAATGACTCGCAAATCTGAAAACCAACGTTATAACTGTCATATCACGGAATACATTGCCGGTTATATAGTAAGACATTGGATGTCTTGCGGAATAATTTCGCTGGCTTTGAACCCTATCCGCAGTCCTCTTCGGTAATCCGAGGCGCTGATTTTGGCCGGTTATTTTTGCTTTTTTGGACTGCACAATCTCAGGTGATCATAGGAAGTTTCCCATGGTATCGAAGACGCGGCCTAAGGGATCCAGGGGCGAGGATCCATTACAACATCTTGGATGGGGGCCCATATAAAAGGCGAGATCTCGAGCGATAGCAGGTCAGATGATTCGACGGTTGTTCCAGAATTATATTAATCGTTCCGTTTTTAGGCTTTTGATGGATGCCGTAATTGATGCCAACGTCCTGGCCAATGTGGACGCCGAAAACAGTCCTCCGATCAATCCTGAGCCCGTCGTCGCTGATCCCCGTGCTCTCTTACGCCAATTTGAGGAGGAAAGTGAATCGGGCTGACCGCGGATCAGGCTTCAGAGCCCGAAATTATTCCTCAAGACATCCAATGTCTCACTATATGAGAAGGACTTACATATCCGGAGACCAAATTTGTCAACGTGCTGGATAATGGTGAATAACAAGTGAGGAGCGACAAGAACAACGCATGTTGTTTGAGCGAGGCCCAAATTGAAGTCAACATTCCAATGGCCGCAAAGTCAGCGGAATATGAGATGCCCTAAATCAATTGTCATCATTTGCAATTTCGTCGTATGCAAGTTTTTTGTCCCCAACAAAAAAGTTCCATACAATGCAATGTGGGGACAAAACTGATCCCATATCTCATCACATTGACTTACCTGTAAGAACCTCACAAACATGAACGCATAGAGCCCATAAGACGCCGCCAAGGGAACGGCCAATGTCGATACAATAGAGAGGATTCCAGCTCCAGTAAAAATATAGCGAGTTCCAAATTTAGAGAAGAAATATGTAAATGGAAAGGTCCCAACCAAACTTCCAAAGCCCAGGGCCCACATCAGGTAAGTCTGTTGGATTGGGGAGTAATAATAAACGGGAGCGTTGTTCTGAAAATTGCAAAAATTATTTAAAAATCACCATAAGAGAGCCATCTCAGGAATGGCATAGCCTACCGTCACATTGGCCCTCGGCGCCATGCACAAAATACTAAAGTTGAAGGTGATCATATTTGATGAAATTGAGGTCAAACATAGCAATGAGAGTACCAAAATAAAATACCGAAACCGGTCGCCGAATACGAAACAATAAGCCGGTGATTTCCCCATCTTGAAACTGATGCCTGAAATGTGCAAAGTGTTGTCTTGAATGTCGAAAGAGTCAAGGTAACGCGATAAGCCTTATAAAGTGTTCAACATTGAATACGAAACACGATAAGGACATGGTCGATAAGCCCAAAAATTGGCTGAATTCTTTGTTATTCGAAAAATTAAAAAGATAAGTGGTCCCGGAAATTAATTTACACTTTTTTGTACAAAGATCTCGCACCAAATAGTAACATATCCGGTAGGAATTTCAAAGATTACGGTAGAAAATAGATATAGCAACCAAATTTACAACTGATAAGCAAAATTCCACAATGCGACAGCAAAACAGCTAGCATAATAAGGAAATTCTATATAGGATTGAACAGTTTTTCCAACCGTTCTACCAGTTATAACTGCTGAACGTATCTACGAACTGGGATAATATATATTTATAGCCCCATAAAACGGGCGGAGATGATCTTTTTTTTGTTCTTTTTTGATCAATTTTAGCAGAAAGTTGAAGTGAGTAAAAAAGGTGTCCGCGTATACATAGGTTGACGAGCTATCCAAAAAGGGTTACCGAGGTAATCCATGTTTTGGCTAGACCGTAAGCACAGCGCCAGTAAGGTTTTCCGCCACCAATCCGTGTTGAACAACAAAAATTCAAAAATATTCCTGCATTTTTTGTGTTGTCAGGTAGCCATGATATAAGTCATATAAAAATTGCCCACCGACTTGTTATTATAAGACCCGCAAAAATTAAAAATTAAGATTTCAGTCAGATTTAAATGCCAAAATATACTTTATAGATTACTACCCCAAAAATAGACTCCACCGTATATCGCCGAGCCTTCAACCTTAAGCCAATAATGCAGGAATTTCTATAAAATTTATGCCAATTTTAAACTGGTATATCCCGCTTCTTGTACACCAAATATGACAATTCTAAATATGTATGTTTATGGAAACCCATGCCTGAGCTTTGACACTTTTAGTGCATGTTTTGGAGCCCGGGATCAGTGAAATCTGCCCCAAAAATGTACTAAACTTTGGCCTCAATTGGAAAATGATAGATATAATTCAGCAAAAAATAGGACAAATACGGTATGATTGCATAGTGACTCAGCGGATATTTTTTGCATTTAAATTTGAAACTTCCATTCTCTTAACGGCGATTTTGTCGGGTCTTACAAAGTGCGTGGACAATTGTTGTATATGTAATGCAAACAAGTAACGTTCCGATTATCAAATACTTTGTTTAGGTTTGTCACACACATATATCACGGCTACCCGACAACACGGAAAACGTAGGGATCATTCGCGGCTTTCTGACTGTTTTGACAACAATTGGTGGCGGAAAAACTTTGCAACACTGCGAGGTGATGATTTAGAATGAATAAATAAAAATACAGTGGGATTCATGAGCTTTAAAAAGCTTTTCGGCTGTTAATCCCACTGTGATGATTATTTCGGTAAGCGCTCTTTCAAAAATAGGTGACTAACAAGGTTCAGCAAAATCGAATGTGCCTCCCGATTCACCGAATACTATTCGATTGAACTCTGGTTGGTATGCGCAATACATAGAATTTTTAATCGCTGTTAGTAACTTTTTTGAATAAGGAATGTCTTTGACGTGGGACAGGCAAATTTGTATGAAAGTTTGGCCCAAATTTAGAGCATAATTTTTTAAGAAAAAAGTAAAAATTTTCCGTGCGAGAATGTTATAGGGAAATTCCGTTTTTCGTGTAGGCAACTCTCTTTATTTGGCGTGCTCTCTCAAAAACAGGACCGTTCAATCTCTCGACTGCCCTGCAAGCTGGAATTTTCAGGAATCGATGTGTGGGCTAATGATTTGTCAAAATTTTATAGAAATCAATAAATCTGGTCGTCGCACTTGGGACACTTCCATTTTTAGCCACTGTGAACTATTATACATAAATTGAGGGCTCATCAAATCCCGATCCCTCTCAGCTTTGGTTCAAAAATGGGAGCACGGATTTATTGCTCACAAAGTAAGCAATCTACAATAAAATTTAATATGAACGATTGCATCACATAACGATGTGCAATTGAATTTATATCTTTTCAGTGTTTATTCTCAATATTTTTTGCCCTGATATGACCCGTATTTGCCTCACTAATGTTTATGCCCATTGTAGTCTGCTTTGCTGAAGACAGCAAAGTATCCTATGAGCGATCAAATCAAAGTTGTTCGCAGAATCAGAAAATAAACAGAAGCAAAATTGCATTCGGTCTTGTGGAACATACACAAGAATTTTTGTGATTTGCAGCACTTATTATGCTGTAGCAACATCAACGGAGTAAAGGAATGGCTCAAACGCTGTTGTTTTTGAACTGAAGATGGTTAATTTGTTAGTATTTATTATTGATTAATTCAACTTCCTCTATAATACATGTTACGGCATGTTAGGTGTTAATTGCAAACAAAAAAACATAAAGTAATGCCTCAACTCAAAGATAAACCCGTCTCAGATCCTAATCGCATAGAATTCCATGAACTTTTGAACTCGCTGCTTCATAGCTTTAGCCGTTCCACTGTAATCATATCAGTCGTCAATCTTCGAGGTCGGGTCTCTTTCCTCCCCGTCGAAGTTTCCGTAAATGGCAGTGGGTCAGCTGACGAGAACAGCACAAATATCATCCCAGAAATTAGCAACGACACGCTAATTGCAATAAACATATTGCCCCATTGCTCGGCGGAAGATTCGTCCCGAACGAAGAAGCCGTACATGGCGGGCGCCAGGAACAATGTGACGCATTTGATGAATTGGATATTGGCGATGACAAAGTGACTGTATTGACTGAAATAACAGTTATTTCTGGAGATGGTATCACTCCTTACCGGCAAGACAAAGTGGCGCATTTGTAGAAGCCACCTCCACTGCAGGAGTAGAGGATGTTGATCACGACCAACATTACAATGTCAAAGTATTTGTTTTCGATCAAAACAACGGCCGTATAAGCCGCAGCGGGGCCAACCGTGGACAAGGTGTTGAAGACGTTCATTTTGGTCCTCTCTGACCAAAAACTGCAAAAAGAGTCCCATATACACGACACAGTAAGGAAAACTTACGTAATTCTGTCGCTGACCAGCCCAAAAACCATTCTCAAAACGATCGCAACAGACGGAGGAACTGAGCTGATTAATCCAGTTGCATGCAGACTGTAACCATGCACCATGTTGATATAAATTGGAGTGTATGTCAGCAAGAATATACTTGAAGCGATCTCAGTCAGAGCGTTCAGCCAAACTACCAGCACCACTTTGTTTGTGCAGATTTTAAAATACGGTATTGAGCCTTTAATGCTGAGCTCTTCTTCGCTTTTATCTCTCTCAATCTTCTCCAATTCTACGGCTGAGACCCATTTGGATTCAGAGGGGGTATCCGTGTACATGAGGAACCAGTAGACGAAGAGAAGAAGCCCCGCAATGCCGTGGAAATAATAGATGAAAGGCCAGCCAAGAAAGGAGTCGCAGATCTGCAAAAAAAAGAATGATGACTTTAGAAGATAACAACTATGATGACTATGATGGTATGATGATAACAAGCAAAACATACATATCCCGAAAAGGCATCGGTTAGAGTGGTCGCCAATGGAGAGTACGATGTCAACACCGACAAATAGAAGGCATGCTGTTTCAGCGACGCCCAGATGGAAATCAGCAATCCGATGGAGGTAAAATCAGCGGCATATGAGATTCCCTGCAAAGCAAATAGTCATATCATGAATGCTATTCACATGTATAAATTTATGCTTTAATGCTAAGACCTACCTGCAAAAATCTCATAAACAAGAATGGATAGAATCCCAAATGCAACGAAAATGGCGTCGCAACCGTCGCAAAGACCGATAAAAGCCCCGCTGCCGCGAAGATATATCTGGCTCCGTACTTGGTGAATAAAATTGTAAATGGAAAGGTGCCGAGGAGACTTCCAGCCCCCAATGCGTACATTACATACGACTCTTCCAACGTCGTAAATTCATAGGTTGGGAATCTGTCACCGTTCTGGAAGATAAATTATTATACAAAACAAATCCAAACTATGTCATTGTATGCGACAGTTCTTACCGTTGTATTGGGCTTCATACAGAGGACACTGAAGTTGAAAGTTAGCATGTTAGAGGCAACGGAAGTGAGGCAAAACAAAGCCAAGAGTAGGATGAAATACCTGTACCTATCTCGGAACACACCCAAATATGCCGGAGGAGATTCACCCATCTCTGAAATATATGGCTTGAGATTTAAGAGGACATCACGTGACAACAATTTCATACATGAACTCGACGATCCCGATAGTGTTTGACGTTAAACTTGAGCCCCACATAAGATTTTTAATTGCATAGAAACGATAGAGAACTGGAAATCAACCTGTGTACATAAGTAACAGATAACTGAGTGTTACATATTCTAAATATTTTTGGCATATCGAACGGAACTCATGTTAGAAAAAATTGGAAAAATATTTTGAGATAAGACCAGAATAAGGTGATAATATTTGGGGCTGCAGGAAAGCGCCACTGTACTATACATATAAGCCCCAATACGAAATAGGCTTAAACTTCGTGAGACAACAACTACTCATATAAAAAGCTCTTCGTAACCCGACTACAGTACCCTCTGTTTTTGCCAACTTTTCCCTCCCAAATCCAATTTCTCCCCTCTTTTATTCCGACTCCCGTTCTCCTCAAACTGATATGTTATCACATCTCAGCGTACAAAGGGAAATGTGTTTGCCCCGAGGCTTAACCGACCTGTAATTGTAATTAATCGTTGGCCCGCGACACCGGCCGCAGTTTGAGAGCAAACATCCAAACGGGTATTTTTGGAATGTTATCAGTTTTGAACTCGTTGGTTTATCTGCCCTGACCTTCTTCATATCTCAAACATTATTCAGAATTCCGGAAGTATATGTGGCGCTATTACGAGGCATCAAAACAGAAGGCAAACTGAGGTTATGATTAGGAGTGTAATAAATGCACCGAATTGTGATTAAAGGGCATACTTATCATAGAAATATGTAGGTTCGATAGCACCAAGATAAGCGAGGAAATTCAAGGAGAACATGAGAATACGGAACTTGTCAAAATGAAACTCCCGTAACTTTATGAGAAAAGTGGGTCTACTAAACTTACATTTCTATTCAAAGGCCATAATTTTGGGATTGATCCCATCCTTATCCCAGCGTGATCCCTCCCACAAATTTGCTCTGTCCCCGCCGCTTCTGTTCCTAGACGGGTTTATGCTTCTACAATCATTTTTGTCGATGATTTATGTCACCAAAAATTGCCTTGCCCCAGGTTCTTTTGGTGGCAGGCGGGCAAGCTCTAGCAATGCGAGTTTTCGAAATCTCGGCAAAACCTCTAAAGCCTTGGTGCTGCTATCTGTGAAGAGTTGATCGACTGTTGCCTCAAATTCCACAACCTACTCCGAAAGCCTGCCAAAGAGAATCATCAAAAAAACGGCTAATTTTTCAGTGGTGACCAAAATGGCCTGGGACAGAAAATCCAGCAAAATGTAATGACAAAAACGTCACAAGCAGTACCTATCTAAAGCAGTCAATTCAATGTCTTGTCCTTCACGTTCAATAACGCCAGTGATCAAAAAAGTGACCACACTCCCCCCAATACTCGTAAATCAAATTTACAATCCCGATAAAATGCGTAGATCAGGTTGCAAATTTTAACATTCGAAATCTATTTTCAACTGATAAGGCGGCTATAAAATTACACTTGTAAACGAGCCTGCTTTGCAAATATTTACAAATTGGCGAAATCATCCTTTACAAAAAAATATACAAGAACAAAATGAAAACAGTCACAATCATGCCCCCACTTTTTTTATTGTAAATAGGGTGCTTATTATGCATAATTACGAATAGAAAGTCCATAAAAGGCGAACGGAACTGATCTTTGAATACAAAATGTCTCTCAAAGTAAGCAGTTTGAAATTGTGGAGGAAAAGGCGTTGTTTTGAAATTTTAAAAAAATGCAAAAAAAAGTCTATTGCGACGTCTTTATTTATTATAATAGTGTAAAAAGACTGACGCAATTGAGCAGTGACCGTTCTTTTTTTTGCAATTACCCGCACAACAATACTTTTGCGTTTATATTGATCCACGATGCTTGTCGACCTCTAAATCCGGGCGGAACAACCAAAAAACATGGCGCTATAAAAGCTGTGTTGTTTAAAAATAGCGCTCAAAGTACGGTAGAACAAACGAAGAAAAATAAACAATCTGTAATATTCGCCAAACTCCATGCTCCCATAAGCAACCCCGGGTGTAAACAGCGGTTAATTATACCGACCGTATTGTGTGCAGCTTTTCCAAACCGCTACTGACAAGCAGCACAACACCCCCATCTCCTACATCAAATGTACCTTGGGAAAGTCGGCAAATATGTGATGCAACGGGAAGAAAGTCATAAATCAAGAGTGCTGTTGACTACTTTTAAAGACGATCGAGTAACTTACTCTTCCCCAAACCCAAACTTCCGATCGGATTATCGGAGATCGACGAAGAGAATGATGTCATCACTCATTGCGATCCGGGAACGGTCGGGCAATAGAGGTTACGTATATGGTGATGTTTGGAGTTGGGTGATTATTTATGAATGGAACTGTAACAACAATGTTTAGCGAGTGCATTTCATGTGGAATTGAGTTTGCAAACGTGGAAAGCACAAAGATTGCACTGGAAATTTTTTAGAAATAAATTTGGATCCGCCTCATTTCAAGCAGATCGAGTACTTTTTTTGTAATCTAAAAATGGCTAACAAGGAAGGTATCCCGAACGCTGATTCTTAATAACACTAATGTAAGCACCAAATCAGATTCATTTTTTTAAAGACATTTGCAAGATTCCTAACAAGTAGTCTGCACAAACAATTGAGATCTTTTATCCAAAAACTTTAATGTCTTTTTTGAATGACTCTGCGTGAAAAAATGTATGTTGACGCACTTGGGACGCATTCCTTGTAAGTGGATTGGTTATGTACATCCAGGTAGTTGCAGCTGCAATTCATAGGCCAATCCAACCACTTGGCTAACCGTTTGCTGGATAGCGCTCGGTTGGATAGCCATTGGCGAAGTTTTATCGGCCAGTTCAACTGTTTTGGCTATCGTATTGCCACTTACATGTCTTCACGTGTCGCAGACGAACGGCACGGCATACGGACCTCGTCAAGGACAATTAAAATGAGGAAAAATACAAGTTGAACGAATAAACCTTTTGTGATGTCTTCAAAGTTTGAGTTGGATCTTTTCTCAAGCCGTTTTTCGAAATGATTTGCTTTTTCATTTTCAATTTCTCGCAAGAATCCGCTGGCTGGCCACACTTTGAATACGAAAATTACGCGAAAGCTGGTGGATTGTCTACGCGTTGCAAACCCGGAAGAAGGTACCTGTTCTCCTGCAACACGGCAAGCACATCCGAACACAATGATCAATTGGTTCGATGGTAATTCCACTACGTTTTGGCTAATGGCCGCCAGCGTTATGGCTTTCTTGGTGTCGTCGATGATGGCTTGCGGAAAGGTGGGAATTGATTACAGTAGGAAAGAGTTAGGCCGGGTTTTTCCTGGCGAAAATTTGGGCTTAACTAATGAAGAATCAAATTTTTTTTGTTTTCTTGGCTAGCTAAGTTTGCAATGGCCATTCCAGCCTCACGAGTTATAAGATTATTCCTTACTGACTCAGCTTCCAAGCAAATTATTTTCAGAAAAACTCCGGTGGTCGAACTGGAGACAAGAATGCCGCCAACAACCCGAAAGTAAAGCAACCCAAGGTCTGGCCCAAGAATGAGAAGGAGCAAAAGATCGCAAAAGGAGAACTCAAGAAGGGCCGCAATGATTACCCAACGGTAAGTCTGTCAGTGAAACTGTTTGTTCATAGGATGATAAAGAGGTCAGCTTCCATAAACATACCTCTAATCTTTTATATTTCAGATGGACGACGTTGTAAGTGACTGGTCATCCGAAGAGGAAGAAGAAGACGGAAAGAAGAAGAAACCAAAGGAGAAGAAAAAGAAGCCCACAAAGGAAGAGGGTAAGAGCAAGAGCAAAAGCCCGTCGGCCGCAAAGCCTCACAATTCCAAGGAATAATTTGCCTCAAAATGTTCTGGGTTTGCTTAATCTTTGGAAAGTAAACTCAAGGCTCGCTTTTCTTGATGACAATAAAAAAATAACATATATACCAAAGAGATCGAATGTATACATAAATGTAAATTCCATTCAATAGAGAACAATTTCGGCAACTAAGATTGCAAGTTATAAACTCTGCTAAAAATGAATGCAGAATTCCCAAGGAAGCCCACAAAAAATAGTACATATATTTGCATAGAATCATAGAACCCTCGAAGTCTTCACTTTTTTCGCAACTCATTTTCTTTTTCCGTCGAGTACGACAGTTGTTGGAATCTACGTATTGGAAATGCTTCTTCGTGTTCTCTTTCTCTGCCTTCTGGCATCTCCAATTCTTGTTCATCCTGCGAAAAAAACCTGCCTTCTCTGTCACCAGTTGCTTACATTCAATGGCGACAAAATTGAAACTGAGATTCGCGAGGAAATGCAAAAGAATCTGAGTCGTATTCTTGGTATCGAACCGTCTGAACATTGTCTAGTAGGGGATCCAGAAAAAGTGAAACAGGTCTCTTGTGATGGGCCTTGTCTCAGTTCTGTGGCCATCGATAACAGTAAGTCTGGGAGCTTTACTAGTCCGTTCGTAAAGTCGCTGGAATGTTTTCGGCGACATGCACTCCGCGAAACCGAAAGTTCACTTTGCACTGTGCAATTTTTGGCTTTTTGCACAGTGCTATAGGCTTTTTCGAGCTGTCGCTCGCACCCTGAGTTTTTTCGCACAGTGCACGTCGCCGAAATCATTCCAGCGACTTTACGAACGGACTGATATTATTGGACAGTTTTATTATAGTTGGAGCTCAATACCTTATCCGCCAATGTGCCCCTCCAGAAAGCGGAGAAGTGAGTAAATAATGCGTCGAGTGAGTTGTTTTAGTTGTTGGATCCCGGAGAATGCGTCGGAGTCAAGAATGAAAAAGGCTCGGCTGGAGTCTGCTCATGTGAAGGACATCAATGTAACTCTGGCATCATGAAACGTGAAATTGAAGCTGCCCGGTCCGCAAAAGTTGATGAATGAGCCCTTGGTTCATTTTGGAAAACTCCTTTCTCTCTCTATCTAAACTCATCTCGTCTCAATTTTGGCCAAATAAATATTCTACCACCTTTGTGACATTTCGTCAAAATCAATATTGACATTTCGTTTTTCACTAAAAATTATTCTTTTTTGGATTGCGCAGACGGCTACCAACTCAGCGCCTGCGGTGATAATCCCGAACTTATGTTTTCTTCTCGTTTTTTTGCAATCCATAAATCAATTTCGTCGGATTTCCGTTATCGATTACTTCGTCTTTTTCGGATTACTAATTAGAGGAAATTGCAGATTTTGAAATATCTTTTTGGTCATAAGATAGTTCAGACCGGAACCACGGAATGGCCAGAAGATTCGACAGAGCCTTGGGTAAGTTTTCGTTGTCTTTAATTAGCAGTTTAGCGTTATGTCGATGAAAGTTTTAAGATCTTACCAGTCATGGATAACATGACTCATACTTTTTCCGTTTTAAAATGGGTCTGCGGTCTTTGTGTAAGGTCTTTGTTATTGTCTCGAAAGACCTTTTCGGACAGTTACTTTGCAGATGAATCGTTTTTATTTACACTTATTTTTTTTAGAATCGGCAACAGATCAAACTCTCGTTGAACCGTTCTGGGAGGGCATTCTCGAATGTGTAGATCTAATTAGGGCTGGTGATGTGCCGTAAGTTGCATTTTATGGATTTATTTTGTGTTTAGAGTAAAATCGGCAGTTGCTTCTATTCAAAAACGGTTTCACCACGAGAATCCACATGTTGCACATCATGCACTTCTGGTGTTGGAAGCATGTGTGAAGAATTGCGGAAAAAGGGTGAGTTTGGATGATCTTTAGTGGTATTTTATCATCAATCGTCTAAACCAAATTAGTTTGACTTGTCATAATATTTCAGTTCCACGATGAGATCTCCACCAAAGAATTCATGGACGATCTGAAGAACCTTGTGATTGAAGGAGCTCCTGACAAGGTGAAGAACAAAATTTTGGAGCTTCTCCAGTGCTGGTCACATGCCTTCTCAAAGTATCCACAATACAAGATAGTGTGCGATACCCATTCTTTCATGAAGATGTACGGGTTCGAATTTCCTGCCATGAAGGAAGCAGATGCCATGTTCATGGCTGATTCCGCACCAGAATGGGCTGATGGTGACAGTTGTTTCCGATGTCGTGTAGAATTTGGCGTCTTCACACGCAAACATCATTGTCGGAATTGTGGACAGATCTTTTGTGATAAGTGCTCCAACAGACAGATGGTTTTGCCTCAGTTTGGAATCGAAAAAGAGGTCAGAGTATGTGAAGCATGCTACACGAAGAAGAGCCAAGAGGCGCAAAAGAATGAACTTCAAAAATTGGAGAGTGTAAGTTTGATTTGAAGCGATTGCAAGGAGAAGAGTCCTTGATTTTTTTTGTTTTTCAAATATTTTATGCAAAATATTGTTTGGCGGTTGGGCACCGTCTACTTTTTTTCTATTGACTGTTAGAGCCAGGTTGTTTTTTGCATCTGAATCATGGCTACGGAAAAGAAAAAAACCCCGGGTCTTTTTCAACGGCTGTTTGGAGGAAGCAACCACCATAATTCTGCTAGGGTACACTCTTTTATTATCTGAATTGAAAAAAATTATAACAGATTTGATTATTCTTATGTTCCAGGCCTTGAACAACCATGAAGCCCGTGCCATCGCTGAAAGTGAGGCTGAGGAAAAGAAAAGATTGCAAGAGCTCAAGGAGAAGGAGGAAGAAGAGCTTCAACTTGCCCTTGCCATCAGTCAAAGCGAAGCCGAAGCCAAGGAGAAGGAGCGACAGAAGTCCGGCTTCAATGTGGCGAGAGAAGAGCCAACTCCAGCTCCATCAATTTACTCCGGGGTTGCGCAAGCTCTCGAACCTGACACTGACTTGACTTTGGCTCAATATTTGGATCGGGACTATTGGGAAAGACGTCAGGCTAGTCGGGAGGTCGATGCAACTGCCCCTCCAGCAAGTGAGATTTCTTTCTCAATGGCCTCGAGCTCTTATGGACAACATAATGGGCATGCTCCGTCCAATAATGCCACTCCGACCAATGAATCGCATATCGCCGATATTACACATGGCTTGTCGAATATTACTGTCAGACCGTTGGCTGACAATGATGTAGAAGAAACTCAACAATTTTGCAATGACTTGAAAGAACGAGTAAGTGAATTTAATATTTATTTTATTGAGATTTAGGTTGAAACAATGAACAACCGAATGTTGTCAAACATGAATCGAGGGCGTTCGATTGTTTATGACTCCGCTATTCATGCCTTGTTCGAAGAGCTCACGCAGCGACATGGCGACGTGTTGAGGAGAATGGACAGATTGGATAGTGAAAGAGGTAGTATTTAAATCTTTTCCATTTTACTTTTGCTTTTAGAATACCACGAAGGACTTCAAGACAAGCTCAGCGAGATTCAGGTTGCCCGACAAGCTGTAAATGCACTACGGGAAGAACATGAACGCCTAGAAGAAGAACGACTAGCTGAAGAGCAACGACAGCGACAACATCAAATGCAGATGCAATTAGATATCATGAGACAAAAGAAGGCTTCAATGTTGATGCAGCAACGAGATGAAGCCCTTTTGCGATTCCAGGCGCAACAAGCGGAGATCCAAAGGAGAAGAATGGAGGCGCAATTCCAATATCAACAAGGTCAGGCTTATCCGGGGCATCCAAGTGCACAACAATACTATCCTCCGGGATATCCTCAGCCTCCGCAATATCCAGTTCAGGTAAGCTTCAATTACAATACTTTGTGTATTGAATTTAATCTTTTTTGTGAATAATAAATAATGTTTTAGCAGCAACTACCAGGAAGTTCGGATCCTTATGGCCAACCTCAACTCCCTGCATATTCTGCGGCCCTCCCTCCCCAACATCAATCCCACCAACCAGTCAATGGCTACCCTCAAAGTTCTATTCCTTCCTCGATCCCTACCCAAGTGTCCTCTCAACCCTACGGATATGCACCTCCCATGAATCCGGAGGCTCAACAACATCCCCAGGCCCTTCCACAAGCTGTCCCCAGTCACCCCCATATGAATGGTTACTCTCATCAGCCTCACGAATCCACCCCCATCCCATCTGCAGTCCCATCTTCCATCTCGGTGAACAGTAATCCCTCGTTCACGGATGCCTCGGCCCAGCCACAGCATCATTACCAACAACAGCCTCAAGTCCCGGCCCAAGCACCCGCCGCTCCGCCACAATATGCTCCTCAACAACCGTATGGATATCAGCAATATCCCCCGGCTTCTGCTCCCCCAAACTATTACGGCCATCCGGATCCACATCAACAACAGTACTATCAGCAAGGACAGCAACAGGCCTATCCAGGATACTATCCTCCGGGATATCCTCCACAGCCGCAACATCAGGGTAGGTTTTGATTGGTTTTTGAATATTTTTATATAATACCTTTGAAAATAAATATTATTTTAGCCCCGGCACCGCAGCCACAACCCCCGGTCGATGATGCGCCATTGATTTCCTTTGACTGACCGTCGCTGTATTTACTACTTCATGCCCGCTAAATTAAATTATATGTTTTGCAGATGCGTGTGATATTTTGTATAGAGAATAAACGAGTCATTTATGTTATAAGTCGGAAGCGTAGACTCGTTCCAAACAACAGACTGCAAAAAATGAACGAATGTTTATTTTTGTAGTTTATAGTTTGTCCGAAACTCTGAGCGCTGAATTAAAATAACAAAAAAATCGAGACGTGTTCGAACATTCTCCAGCACTGTTCTCGCTACCTTACAGCTTGAATATCATCCGCATTTCCTTCGACAGGGCTTCAGATATTACGGTAAAGGGAACGGAATCTTTTTTCAAGGAAGTTGCTGTTACGACCAAGCAAAATACAACCTCTGGTTGTACTCATCGCTCGGAAGATACTCACCAGATCTCATCAACGATCTTGTTATAACTGGATTAGCCAATAAGTACAATACCACATTGGAGCATGTCCTCTTCTCATTGGCTTCATCTGAAGGAACCAGAACTGCCTCCAGCACGCCAATTTGATTTTGGAAAAAAATATATTTCTGTAAAAAGCTGGAGCAGCGCCCCATACTTCTGAAAATATTGACTCAGGAAAGGATCGAGGCCAATTACAAGGTCCTTGACTTCAAATCAACTCCAAATGATAGCAAACACCTCAAGTCTCTAATCATCAAAAACAGTTATATTCAACGGTGCACTGGCTACTTTGTTGCGCAATCAAAACTAAATAATCTCTAGCCACGACTTAGATTGTAAACTACGGCTGATGCTATTGCATCATCATTATTGTCAACTTTTAATAAACTTTAATTGTTTCTGATATAGAGTATGTTCAATGCCTTGATTAGATTGGCGAATTTGCTTTCTTCTGTTGACAAAAATGGTAAACAAGAGGAATGAAACTCTCCGTTCTCCTCCTGCTCTTGTTTTTCGGAGTTTCAAGCATTTTGATTGAGCGGATGTTTGTGAAAAGGATGATTTCAGATACTCTTGAATTTAAAAGTTAGAACGCCCTCTGCATTTGCAGTCACGTCACATCCAAAGCTCCTTAAAACCCTGAATTTTGAAGTTTAGGAAATTAGAAGTAAGTTGGTCATGAGTCAAGTTGGTGGTCCCAGAATCAAGCTAAACTCTGGCCAGGAGATCCCATTAGTCGGCCTAGGGACCTTCAATGTTGCGGATGTGGATAAAGCCGTTGACGTCGCGTTGAAAACGGGTTATCGTCATTTTGACACCGCTAAATTGTACCAGAATGAGGCCCAGTTGGGAGATGCGTTGCAAGTGAGTGATATAGTACAACAAAAAGAATAATAAATTTATAGAAATATCTGCCGAAATACGGCGTAAAGCGAGAACAGATCTTCCTGACTACCAAGTTTTTTCTTGGTCCTGAGAAAAACACTCAACGGACAAAAGAGTTGGTCGAGGAATCACTTAGAGATCTGAGGACAGAGTACTTGGACTTGGTTTTAATCCATTTCCCCAGGGCATTGGAGAAGGAAAACGATGATCCTACCAATGCCGACGACCGAAAGGAGATGTGGTTGGCATTGAAGGAGTATAATGGTAAGTTCTATAAGCCAGTTTGCTGGAAATGGGTACGTCCTTTCAGAAAAGGGAATAATCAAATCTATTGGCGTCTCCAACTACGAAGTCCGACACCTCGAGGAGATCCCAAAGTATTCTTCGACTCTCCCAGCAGTCATCCAGCTGGAATTTCATCCTCATTTTCGACGACAAGAAATCAGGGATTACTGTAAAAAACACGGAATCTTCTTCCAAGTAAGTCACTATTCACATACCCTTATTATCACTTAGGCCTTCTCCTCACTTGGCCGCTACTCGCCTAATCTTATCAACGATCCTACTGTAGTTGCCACCGCAAAAAAGAATAAAACCTCTGTTGAACAGGTACTATTGTCATACGCTACTTCTCAAGGGATCGGAATCGTCCCTAAATCAAGCACACCGGAGAGAATTGTCGCCAATTTTAAAGTTGTTGACTTCAAATTGCCCTCTGAGGACATTCAACATCTGAATGAGATCGATGTGAATCAAAATTACATTGTGAGATGTACTGGATGGTTGGTGAAGTAGAAAACTAAGTCAAAAGTAACAATTGCAAACCCTAATCTCCTGTAGAAAGTCTATGCTAGTGTGATCAACGATGACAACTTTTTTTCGAAATAAACTTTTACCATGAAACAGTGGGCGTAGCACTAGTTCCCACTGCAGTGGCACTTGTTATAGCTTGACAGAACTGTAGCTTGTAGTTTGGTTTTCTATCAGAACACTTTGTCCTTGCTTTAAAAGAGAGGCGAGCGCCCATTCTTTCGTCCTTGACCATAGTGAAACACTCACTCAAACAATTTTTGTGAATCTTTTTCCATTTTTTAGCCAGTTTTATAAAAGTTTTTATTTCCGAAATTGTTTGTTTCTGTAAACGATGGTTCTGTTGGTAAACAATGTTATAAATTATAAACATTTCCGTTCTTTTTGACAAAAATTTTTTCTTCAACTGGATTTTTCGTTTATGTAAATTTCCCAATATTACACTTGACATCTGGGATAAAATTGAAGGAATACCGCGATTTTTAGCTGCCGATTATTTTATAAAGCCGTTTTAGCAACAATGTCTCAAGTTGGAGGTCCCCGCGTCAAGCTAAACACTGGCTACGAGATTCCCCTTGTCGGTTTCGGCACCTACAAGGTCACGGGGACTGAAACCGTCGAAATTGCCGTTGACGCCGCTCTCAAAGCTGGCTATCGGCATTTTGATACCGCTAAGTACTACGTGAATGAGCCTGAACTTGGAGCGGCGTTGGAAGTAGGCATTTTTACATTAAATTTGTTTTTTAGGTAACAATTCTTTAAAAAATCTATTTTTTTAAAGAAATTCCTTCCCAAACACGGAGTCAAACGTGAAGAGATCTTCCTGACCACAAAGCTGTGGCCAGCCAAGGAGAATAACGCTCAGGTTACCGTAGATTTAGTCAATGAGTCGTTGAAAAATCTGAGAACCGACTACTTGGATCTGGTCTTGATTCATTACCCAAAAGCCAATGAGAAGGAAAACGACGATCCAACCAATGCGAATGACCGTAAAGAACTGTGGTTAGCCCTGGAGAAGCTTCATAGTAAGTTAGTTTAATATATTTAAGTCCATGTTGTAGTAGATGATTCAAACAAAGTATATTCCAGAAAGTGGCGTGATCAGGTCAATTGGTGTGTCGAACTACGAAGTCCATCACATGAAGGAGATTCCTGAGTATTCCAGAACTGTCCCAGCCGTGAATCAATTGGAGTATCATCCTCATTTCAAACGTCAGGACATCAAGGATTACTGCAAACAAATCGGAACGTTCTTCCAGGTAAGCTAATCTATATTCGACGACCTTGTTCTTTAGGCCTTCTCTTCGCTTGGAAGATATCAACCAGAGCTTGTCAACGACCCTGTTGTAACCGGTCTTGCCAAGAAGTACAACACCACAATCGAGCAGGTCTTATTGTCGTTTGCGACTTCCCAGAACGTTGGGATCGTTCCCAAATCCACGAATCCCGAGAGAATTGAAGCCAACTTCAAAGTTATTAACTTCAAGTTGTCTCCGGAAGACATCGAGCAGCTCAATTCCATCAACGTTGATCAACATTACATCCGATGTACTGGATGGCTTGTGAAATAAGAATAAGTATAGTTCACTTTAATCTTGTACCTTTACAATTTCTATAAACTTTCATATTGATTTCCTAGAACTCTAAGTCGATTTGAGTAATCGGATTCTCGGCCAAAAACTTGACAGTCTTTCGATACTGAGCCATCTCCGCTATGTGCTCCATGTGACGTTTCGGGTTGCGAAGGGTCTTCTAGAGAACTTGATTACCTTGCAAACACAATACACCCACCCAAAGGACAGTCCAAGCAGAAAGTCGTTGTTGGATTGGTGCACATTGCCATTCTTCGCACTTGAACAGTCGGAAGTGATAGCTGGTCTCGTAATACATCCGCTTGTCCGATTCTTCCCATTTTTCGAATCCCTCCGGCAAGGTGTTCACACGACGTTTGTGGCGTACCTAAAATAGCACATGGGATTACATGTTTTTTTATGAATTACAGGTGACATTTCTGTGACTTACCAAGTTGCTGAGACTTCGGAAAGAGAGTTTGGAATGGGATCTGTGTTTGGATCTGTTTCGGGAATTCTTGATCCGCTCGATGAAATCGTTGAACTGTTTTCTTCCTGGTATCATGTCTTTGCCCTCTTTGGGTGCTTCGACTGCGGTGACATTGACAGAAGCAGCAGTTTGAGTTGGAAGAGCAGACGTGTGGGTCTCACTTTGAATTTGAGTTGAAGCTTCAGTCGTCGGAATCACAGCTGAAAATTAGATGGTGGCGAAGTGCAGAAATCAAAATCAGTTTCGAAACATAACACTAGCTTGTCAAATCAATGTATTTTTCATTCATATCCCATGATTATCGTATACTTACAAGGTTTCTCCGTCTTTGTCGTGGACATTTTCCTCCTTTCCGATTCTACCGTAACCCACCGCTCACTGTTTCCGCGAACCGCCGAAATTACACTTCCCGCACTTTCCGAGGCGACTTTGAAACAGCGGCGAATGTAAGTCAACACCGAACCACCTGTTGGCGCCGCATGAATCATTAATTTGGGGCATGGATTAGCGTCGGCATTAGGCATTGACTGCCTGACCCCCCGAGTTTACAAGTAATTAATTGCCGGTTACATGAGTATGGTGTATTCGAGCAATGCGCAGGTCAAGAACTACCGCGAACGGAAGCGTGTGTCCTGCGTGAATCTGGTGAGTGAACTTTCCAATTCTACATAAGGGGTGGGGTGAAAGATTGAACAGCTGATTGTGGTCGATGCGAGGAGTTCAGCTGAAGCATTCAGCTGAAACTGCGGACTTCAGCTGAAATCCGATGGCCGGCGGCTGCATTTAATCACAGGTGAAGACCGAGGCCTGAAAATGGGATCGTTTATCCCTGAGGGAGGGAGGGTCATGACTAACCAGAGGGGCCATTGTATGAGTAGCCATACTAGGAACAGTGAAATAATTAGGCGAGTAATGGCAGTTCAAGACCTTTCACCCTTGTATTCGCTGGTATATGAGTTGGTAAGCCACGGAAGTGTCTTGTTGGCCATTAAAACATAGATTTTTAAGCTATGCATAATCATGATGACCCCCTCTTTTCAGGCCTTCAACAACCTCCGTCAGAAGATCCCCGAGTTCAAGGAACGCCGCAAACGCATCTCCAAGCTGAAGATTCTCCGTGCCGCCATCAACTACATCCTCTTCCTGCAACAACGTCTCTATTCCTCCGAATATCTCGAATATGAATATCAAGAGTTCTAATAAATCCCTTGGCGGTATCGAAAATTGAAAGATCGGCGATTTGCATACATTTAGTTAGCTATTCAAAGAGACCTCCACTTGATGCAATGGTGATTGAAAGGGGATGCTAAAATCATGCAATATTTGAACTCAACGCGGTGTTTGCCAGAGGATAAATTGAGTCTGCATGAAGCCAGCGATCTTCTTCTTCTGAAGTATTTGTTTCCCTTCTTCTTTGTACTCGGATTGGTGGGGAATGGGGTCAACTTTATTGTCTTGTGCTCTCGGGGAATGAGAAATCGAGCGAATGACCTGGTAAGGATAATTTTTTAACTTAAAATAGATTAGAATTTGTATTCAAATGTCTTATCAACTGAGAATTTACCCGACCTTTCAGTTGGCGGCAGTTTGTCTTTGCGACTTTGCCTTCTTCATCTTGATGTTGCCTCACTCCCTGGCCACTTTCAACTTCATTTCCAATCATCTCGCCTTCCGTTTCAACTACCTCTTATATCGTCAGGAACTCAGCGCCTTGGCGAATTGGCTCTCAGCGTCCACAATATGGTAAGAAGGAACTCGGAGATTGTCGAATCAAACATTTTTGGGTTTATATTTGCAGTGACCGTAGAGAGATATCAGGTTGTGCGAACGCCCCTCCGATCTCGCAGTTATTGGTGTAAACGGCAAAGATATTGTACAATTGTGTTGATCCTGCTGACCACATGTCTGTTGACTTTATATCATCACTTCGAGTATGATTGTCAGATGGTCTTTTTTTGTAATTTCACTCAAGTTTTGAATTTCTGTTTCTCCGCCGGAACTACAGTACATCCAATGTGGGGCCGTTCAAATGTGTCACCATCAGTTTGGAGACAGCATTTCGTGAGGATCAGTACTATTGTGAATGCATTGTTTGTAAGGTTTTTTGATAATTTTTTGGTCTATTGGTTACTGTAATTTATATAGTCATCATTTCAGGTAGTGCTAGTTCCAATACTACTAGTCGCAATATTGACAATTCTATTGATCAAAAAGCTACAAGAAAGCGATTCGATTGTACTGAACCGAATGGATTCATCAACCAGAAGGTCCGTGAATAAACAAATTGTAGGTTGTACATGGTACTTGACAATCATTGTCTGATTTTTTTTATTTTCACTTCTACAGTGGCGGACCTGATCCACTGGACAAAAACGTACCATATTGCATCCGAAAAGTATCAAAAAATATTGAAAAATGCCTCCCTCTCCAAGTGAAAAAACTCCGATTTCAAAGCTCCGTTTGTAAGGGAAAAGAAGCGTCTTCAAAACGGAGCTTTTTTAGTTGGTGATGGAGGCATTTTGCCACATTTTTGATACTTCCCGGATGCAAAATTATACGTTTTTTGCCGATCAGTCCTCACTGTACTAATGTATTCCCTTACTTCAGGCCCACAGAAAACGAGTGACCAGAACAGTGGTTACAATCGCCTCATTCTTCGCCATTACGCAAGGCCCTTCAGCTGTCTTCAGCGTCTGGGAAGTGCTGATTGGATACTCAGCCCAAGACCGAGAGATCTTTCGTGCAATGAGTGTGGCGAATGGACTGGTCATCCTCGGGAAGACCATCAATTTTATTCTATTCTGCCTGAGTTCCGCGCATTTTCGACGAAAATGTTTGGGACTTTTGTTACAGAAATATCCCGAGGTAACAAGAGTGCAAGGGGGACCTGATCCAGTGGCAAAAAACGTACCATTTTGCATCTGGGAAGGATCAAAAATGTGGCAAAATGCTTCCCTCTCCAAGTGAAAAAACTTCGTTTTGAAGGTCTCGCCATTTCCCACACAAAAAGCGTGGGCCGCTTTTGAAATCGGAGTTTTTCACTTGGAGAGGGAAGCATTTTGCCACATTTTTGATACTTCCCGGATGCAAAATGGTACGTTTTTTGCCACTGGATCAGGTCCCCCATTGTAAATAATATAAATATCAAGTTGATTTCAGTTCCGAACAACGACTCTGGGCAAACGACTAAGCAGTCTCAGCGATTCCCGGGCTCTGTACTCACCACAGATGAGTATACGCAGTCGGAATTCATTTTTATCATCATCAAACCAAAGGTTAGAACGGGCTTCGTCAAGGAGAATCAATCGACCATACAGAGCTATCACCCTCGAAACATTGAAAGAAGTCTCCGGAGACTATCAGGACTATAACCAGTTTACAATATAAAGTCACGAACTACTCTTGCTTATGATTTAATCAAAGTTTCTTTGTACATGATATCAAAAGACGGGTTAGTAGAAGATAGTTGGCAAAATCATATCTTGTTGTCCATTCCATCCAACTGAGATCAGTCCACTTCCATACTTGAAGTATTGGGCTTGTTATAAAATACGTTTCTTTTTGATTTCCTGGCATTTTCTTTAATCGATTCTTCCAATTGGACAACTTTCACAAGCATCTCATTCACATCCACCTTCCATTCAGCTGAGTAATGCTCAATTTCCTCTTGAGTTGCTGGGGAATCCAGGTATTTCGCCCAACTCAGCGCGAACTTAAACTGCATCGTGCTGTTCATGCTATTGTATTCTTCGGAGAACTAAAAGATGGAACAAAAAGAAAAGCACCTACTCTTTCGATGAAGAATCCAAACAAAGACAATGGCTTCAGAAATGTGCATCGAACAGGATCAAAGTATTCCTTATTGTTTGGAACCACCTCCTTCTTCTCGTAGTTCATCATTCTAAGAAAGTAAATAATAAATCAGTAATACTTACATCAAGACAAACTCCTGGAAGAACCCGTCAAAATCATCCATATATCGGTGAATAAAACATTTGAGAATGGGCAACGACATCTCCGGGCCTCGAAGAAGCGTCCACAAGAGGGCGGAATAATAGGAACGACGGTCACAGAGTTCATCGATAAAAGTCGTGGATTCATCGGCAGCGTCACTCTCTTTTAATTGAGTAAATATTTCGGAAAGCTTGGCCATCATCAAGTAGACTGAAGACTGAAAGAAGAATTAATAATCAAAATCTGTTCCTCTAAAAGCAAAGATTGCATAATAATTATTATACTTACCTTAAATGGGGTTATGTAAGTCTGAGTAGGCGAAAAGTCAGTAAAATATTGGTCAACTGTCAAACTCATAGTCGATTAGTGTCTCTAACAACTGTGGCAGCAAAAACGAACGATTAGCTAAAAAAGATTTTGCAAAATTTATTTTAGCGTTCGTCCAGAAAATCCGTCATTGTGACAAAGATGCAGATAAAGATGTAAGGTTACCGGAGACTGCTGACTCTCGTCTATTGTCTTGGCGATACTATGAAATGTGTGATATTATTGTTCAGCCCTGCATTAGCTCTAGATCACAAATAAGACTTTGTAGGGCTGACGGATTTTCTAGACTTCTCTGCTCCGCGACATGCGCCCTAATTTGTGCAGGTTGCACCCAAAATATTCGCTAAAGAAAATTCTGGCGCAAAATGGGTTTTCGGCCTTCGGATGGGTACATAAAACAACATGAGACGAAACGAAATTGTATCGGCCAGCACGAGTAACCTGGCTCCGGAAATTCGAGATGGATTTAAACGGGCTCAGAGGAGATTCACTTTTAATATTGCCCAAATTGAAAAGAATTATTCAAACAAACCTTCTTCTGGAATTGTTTTTGGATGCAACGACGACTCAGTAAGTTCAATATTCTTTAAAAGAAATTGCTTTAAAATTTTTAATTTAATGTTTCGTTTTAGGTCGAATTTGATGAGACCTTGTGCACTGGGGATGAAGACGACGTCCTTATAAACGCAGTTAGAAGAGAAATTAATCACGTTGATCGGGATTATGGCGGGTCTTTATTGTGCACACCAGCTGTTGATCCAGAAGAGGCAGACGAAAAGAACTTGACAAGATGGAAAAAATTGAATAAAGTAAGATTAAATTTTGTGAATTTTACGATTTTAGGTATACGACGATCTGTATGAGTCGATGAAATCGAAGGAAAATGCAGTGGAAAGATTTAAACAGCCAGCATTGCCTTCGAATCGGAAAAGGAAGGCAATTGAAGACTCAGCTCCCGAAAGAAAGCGAAGGTTGCTGGCTATCTCGAATAACGTCAGAGGATCAATTCTGGAGGGACCTCTTGAGAGTCCAGAGAACTATGCTGTTGTCCTCGATGATCGGAGAGCCTCTCTTTTGCAACCCAATCTTTATCAACGACCAAGGCAGACGTCAATCAGAAGTGGGGTCGTTCAAGATCAGCGTATGTTGTATAAGATTTTTTCTTATTCGAAAGTTCACTTTTGTCTTTTTGATAATCATTAATGTTCAGTTTCCCTACGAAGCGGAGCTCTACCTTCATTCAATGAGGATTTCATCGAGAGAAGAGAGTCGGTATTGGAACTTCCAGTTTGTTCCACACCAAAAGCGATTACTGCAAGTTTTTCTTATTTTTCCTCTTTTTCTTAGGATCAAATATTGATGGGAACTTTTTTAGTATCACACTAACAGTCCCATGACTCGTCTCCGAAAGAGATGTATGGAAGTTGAAAAGAAATACGACCTGAATAAATCAATTTACGCAGAAGTTGAAGGTGATGAGTTCGTCCGGAAATGGATCAAAGAAGTAAAGAAGAAGATGAAAGAAGGAGATCTGGATAAACGAATATTCAATCGATGGCAGCGTATCGAGACAGCTGAAAGCATCAAAGATGTTCTCAAAACATCAGAAAAAAATCGACGGAAGACTAGGTGATGTTGTACTTGTTCAACAGCTACGTTTCACTGTATTTTGTATTCTCGAAGCGATCGTGTTCCCTCCATCTTGTTTGATATCCGCAGAGCTAAGGTCCGGGATGTTTGTACATTTGCTTTTATAATTTCCATCGCTTATTTTTGTTATGTTTTGTTATGTCCACTAACCACTACTGATTGCTCACATTTTTTTATTTGAATTCCTCATTTCCATAAATCTCATTCCATTAATAACATCGTCAGTGCATTTACTGTTCATTCTCACTCATTTATATTGAAATAAAGTTTTTTTTTATTGTGTCTGGACAATGAAATCGTAGGGTTTTTATCATCCCGTCAAATTTATTTCCATTTTTATTTTCTCAAATTACAATTTGTGTGGCATGATGTCTAATAAAGTTAGGTGGGTGGCTCAGATGTAATTTGGGTGTAGTTTTATTTGTCTGGAATTGTTTTTTGAGTGAAATGTGAGAATTGTAATGTTATACATTAGAGTTGGTTACTAAAAGTCTTTGTTTTTGCGGATGTGCTGAGATGCTATCTGACAAATTGATTTCGAACACACGTTTAACCCGCCACGAGGTATTTTTCCGATTACACGTCGATGTTATCTTATCCTTGTCGTTGTAAATGTTCGTCTTCACTGACATGCCTTTTCCTCGGACCGAATCCGGTCGCCGGAGGAAAAGGAGAAGAACTTGAATCCCTGAATGTGTTTTTGAAAACACTCGCTCTCGGCATTTCCACCGAGTTAATTCTTTCCAACGCCTGCAGCAAGAGACATGTTTCATTCAAGTTTGACGTTATCTGATCTTCCCATTGTTAAAGCCGGATAACATCACACACTTAAAACGGGTGTCCAGACATCATTCCAATTATCCGTAATAAGAGCTTTCATTTTTTTTCGATTTGTTTTCGCCGTCTCATTCGATTTTGTAACTGAAGGCCCCTACGATAATTTGATTACATGGGCCAGGTGAATAAGGCCTCCTCCGTCGAATGAAAAGGGCCAATATACATAGCCACTAGCCTGCCTTTGGTATACGCGTAACCCTTCCGCCCTCGCGGAGATTACATTTTTTTGTCTACAGTAAGAACCAAGTAGGATGTTACTATGTTTTGCGAGTGAACTAGGTTACTAATTAGCCCTTGCGGCCCGTTATGATTCCCTGATTTACCATTATTGTTACCAATCTTGCACATCAGATTTTTGATTCCTGTATGTCAGGTATAACATCCTTTTTTAAACCCATTAAAGCACGGGTGTGTACCATTCCCATATGAATAATTTATTTCGTCCCAGAATACCAAAAGCATCCGTTAAAATGATCATAATGACATTTTATTCCCTTCGGCAATTCTTCAAATTTTTTGGTTTTCGCGAAATTTTGTAAAAATTTTCTCGAGTTTTCTCCTTTTTTTGCGGTATTTTTGATGTTGTTTTTGCTGAATTCAATGTGTAAATCGGTTTCTGATGTGAATAGCAGCTTTCCAAAGTGTTTTTATTGCTATTCCGTACGATTTGAGCAATTTTACCTTGTTTTAGCTGGGTTTTGATCATTTCGGGCTAATTTATGCGGTTACTTTATTGTTTTCCCCATTTTAATGCCCCTATAAGCGAGCCTGAATATTTTTGTATCATGTACGTCTGATACGCAAAGCGTTCAGTTCCAGGAACGTGTTTCGGTGGGGAAATTTGGGGGATTTGCATGTAAATCAAGGTCCCGCTTTCACAAATGTTTTTTACCGTATTGTCTAAATTCCTGTACCCATTTTTGATCTTTTAGACTTAATTTACGTGCTTTGAAGCTTACTTTAGTTCGCGAATTAAATAATTGAAAGAAGCATCAAGAATAGCATTGATATCTTTTCAGCAAGGCCTCTCCACAGGGATCGCGTGGAGCCGGAAATGTCGACCACCATGTCAACGCTCGTCGGACACAACGAGGTCATCCTCACCTCCAGGCCACCAAGCCCACGACTTATGAGAAATGCCATGCTTCCGGTGAGCGCTTCATTGTTTTTTTATGTATTTTAGAAAATGGGGATCTGTAAGGGGATAGTTGAAGATAAAAAGGTCAAGTGTGAGATGGGCATGGCTTATATATGTGGTGGTCGAGCCTATTAGAACATAAAGTTCAAGTGACTCACAGATTAATGTTTTCCCTAGCCTTCGTCCAATACAATTTTCCCAGAATTGTCGGCCTTGTGAAACTGAGATAATATGTGTGACCCCCGAGGTCACCGTGGACCGTACGTTCCGCGGCTTACCGTCGTTTCAAACAGTGGTAGTCGTTACTCTAATTTCGAATGTGGTTAATCCGATTGTCGCTGGAAGTGAGTGGGATGCGTTGTCTATATAACAGCCCGGCTCTCTCCTCCTTCATCGCCACGTTAGGTTGAGTTGGGAATCAATATATCCTCCTTGTTGATTGCAATCAGCGCAGAATGAATGGTTTGAAGAGAGTAGGTACTTGTTTTCTTGGGGTAGAAGAAATATACTGTAAGAGTTTGGTATATAATGTAGAAAAAACATGCTTTACTGTTCCTTTTTGTCCCTCTGGATTTCTCTTATACTGTTGTCGAAAGAGGTTTCTATATAGCATTGTGCCCATGTGAATATCATTTGGTGATTTGATTAACCTCCGCAGGTGTGAGTTGATATAAATAAATTCAATTTTCTCTACCTTTTCGGTAATTCCACCGCTTTTGAGGGTAGTCGTTTTTATGACGGGAAATTCTCTTGTAAGTAATAAGTTTTATGCAACGAAGTTTCTCGTACACAGAGAATAAATTGCGTTTCTCGGCATTCTTTGCCGACTTTCTGCAAAACATTCGGCTCGCAATAGATAAAGGTACGAATGGCATCGGCGATCAGTGTAAGTGTTACTGGGGAATGGCTCTGTGGGGGTATTTTGTTAAGGCGTTGTACAAAAAACATCGAGGAATCTCGGGGCCTATTTTTTGGTGGGATAAAAAACAGGATTTATGAGCTTTAATTAATTTGTTCCAAAACTCACGATCAAGTTTTAGATACTCCGCCAAATTCTGTTATATTTTTTATAAGGTCCTGTGGATTTGAGTTTATTTTTTCGTCGATTTACTTATATGTTTTCAGTCCCTCGTCAATGAAAACCTCATCAATTGCAAGATCCAGGAACACAAAGTCAACCGAGAAGAGCGCGCCTCAATTCTAGGACGCCACTCTGGCTTCCGCGGGTGCACTCTTTGGTTCACTGGTCTTTCCGGAGCCGGAAAGACCACCCTCTCATTTGCCCTTGAGAAAATCTTGGTTCAACTTGGAATCCCCGCCTATGGACTTGACGGTGATAATGTCAGACATGGGCTCTGCAAGAACCTTGGATTCCAAAAAGAAGAACGTGCCGAGAATATTCGACGAGTCGCCGAGCTCAGCAAACTCTGTGCTGATATGGGAATGGTGATGCTGGCCTCGTTTATCTCGCCCTATCGAGTTGATCGGGACAATGCGAGAAGTATCCACGACAAGGACAACCTCCCCTTCTTTGAAGTTCATGTGAGCACGGCGTTGGAAGTATGCGAGGCCAGGGATATTAAAGGTCTCTACAAGAAGGCGAGGCTGGGACAGATCCGAGGATTCACTGGAATCGACTCGGACTATGAAGTGCCAGTTAACCCGGATTTGGTTCTTGATACCGCCCAATTGTCGGAAGCAGAATGTGTTCAACGATTGCTCGAGTTCTTGGTGGAAAAGAATATTTTGCCAAAAGAGGTAGGCGAAGTTTATATGAAGTCTTATATTCTTATTTTTTATAAAATTTACCCTTACTTTACTTTACCCTTGATTTTAGGTCTTCACTCATTTCAATGAACCCCCAGTCAAAGAACTCTTTGTGAAATCCGAGGAAGAGAAGACTGCTCTCGTCGAAGCTTCCAAGGATGCCCCAGAACTTGAGCTTGAACTAGTCGACCTTCAATGGCTTCAGGTCCTCGCCGAAGGATGGGCAACGCCATTGACCGGATTCATGAGGGAAAGACAATATTTACAAGCTCTACATTTCGATCAGTTGTTTGATCTCTCCAAGAAATGCGCTTCCTTGAATGGAGGATCGACCGAGAATGCGGAACACATTCCCCTCTACGAACCCATCAGTCAGTCCGTCCCAATTGTCTTACCAATCAATGAAGAACAAAAGGCGAAAGTGGGAGATGCCAAGATTATCAAACTCAGTTATAACAACAAGTTGGTCGCCGTCTTGGAGGACCCTGAGATTTTCCCACATCACAAAATGGAAAGAGTTCAGAGACAATTCGCATGTACCGATCGGGGCCATCCGACGGTGGACATGATCTTGAACAGCGGAGATTGGTGCTTGGGTGGGGACATCAAGGTGTTTGAGAGAATCAGGTAAGAATATGATGTTGAGGGGGGTAGGCTTTGTTCTTCGTTTTACGCCCTCTTTTCAGATACGACGATGGGCTTGACCAATATCGCAAGACTCCCAATGAGCTCCGAGCCGAGTTCGCAGCGAAGGGATCTGATTGTGTGTTCGCCTTCCAGCTCAGGAACCCCATCCACAACGGGCACGCTCTGTTGATGAAAGAGACCAGAGAGATGTTGTCCAAAAGATATCAAAAACCCATGCTCCTTCTTCATCCGTTGGGCGGATGGACCAAGGATTCGGATGTTCCCCTTCCGACCAGAATCCGACAACACGAAGAGGTCCTCAAGTCTGGCACGTTGAGCCCTGAATGGACCGTCTTGGCCATCTTCCCATCCCCCATGTTGTATGCTGGCCCAACCGAAGTCCAATGGCATGCTCGGGCGCGAGTTGCTGCCGGAGTTGCCGCTTATATTGTTGGCCGAGATCCCGCGGGTATTCAGGACCCCAAGACGGGCGACTATCTCTACGATCCAACTCATGGTGCCAAGGTGTTGGCGATGACTCCCGGCCTCACGGATCTCGAGATTATCCCGTTCAGAGTTGCTGCTTATGACAAGAAGGCTGGCAAGATGAGTTTCTTCGATGAATCCCGCAAAGAAGACTTTGAATTTATCTCAGGAACAAAGATGAGAGGGTTGGCCAAGTCCGGAGAAGAACCTCCAAACGGATTCATGGTTCCAGAAGCGTGGAAGGTGAGTTGGAATTAGATTTTGTGTTTGTGATTGTTAATTTTGACTTGATTTTTTGTAATTTATCTTGTTCCAGGTTCTGGCCGACTACTACAAATCCCTCGCTCAATCCAAATAATTCCGCTCCAAATTGCTTCCCTTAATTTATTGCATATTATTAACTATCGGTTTTCATTTCATATCTGACCCTTACATAGTCCAAAGATAGCGTTTATATTGTCTGTAAATTACATCCGTTGATTGACTAACCTGTTTTATGAACAATAAACCATACAAAGGTTTCAATTTTGGAATTCTTTAAATATTGCATTGGGATTGGAAGTGATTGAAAGAATTTGAACTCGTATATACATCGATAAATGTCATTTTGAAGCAGCTAGTAGAATTCCAATTGAGCGTTCGAGGGCACTCCATACTTGGTTTTGTGGGTTTCGAATAATTCTATGAGCTTCGATTTGTACAAGGAATGGAGTTGATTGACTTGCTCTTGGGTTGGATTATCCGTTTTCGTAATGGGGATTGGCTGGCCGACTGTAAGAGGTGGCTATTAGACCTTTTCTGAGAAGAATTTGAAATCAAATGATCATAAAGCAAACTTACAAACCGCTACGATCTCTCCTTGGAATGGTGTTATACTTGGTATTCCGGGAAAAATTTCTCGGCCATAAGGGATCACCAGACTGAACCCGATCAGTTTCTTCATCTTGGCCTGGAACGCCCTCAGAGATGAGCCCACCGGATTCCAGGCTTGATTGTAGCCTCCGGTCTCTCCAAACGCATAAACCGGCACAATATGGGCGCCGGAAATCAAGGCCATCCTGCAGAATCCCTTTCGCTCCTTCAGACACAATCTGTAGACATTCGAATGGCTCTCCAACGCCTCTTCGGCTCCACCAACAACCAAACAGACCGCATTTCCTCTTGGGCTCGAAGCGAATAGTCGGTTTATAAAGCCAAATGAAGCCGGAATCACTCCGAAAGCGCTGAGGATTGGACGACGGAGAGGGACGTTGAATTGAGAGGTCAGGGTGGACAGATGACGGGTGATCCCAGGGAATTTCTCGGTGAATCTGGCGCCATCTGAACACATGGCAACCACCGCAGCGATCGAGACAATTCCATGGGGATGCCAGCTGAAAAACATGCGTATTTTTAGAAGTTTTTTTGTTGTGTTAGTGTCTTGGAAGCTGTACAGTGGGGGACCTGATCCAGCAGCAAAAAACGTGCCATTTTGCATCCGGGAAGGATCAAAAAGGTGGCAAAATGCTTCCCTGTCCAAGAGGAAGCATTTTGCCACATTTTTGATACTTCCCGGATGCCAAATGGTACGTTTTTTGCTGCTGGATCAGGTCCCCCACTGTAACTTTAACTCAGATGACCTACGCAAGAATATAATTATGGCCTGGCGGCAACTCTGCAGTTTTGACAATGGTCAGTGGGAAGTAACCACTGACATGATCCCAGAACCGATGATTTCTCATCCATTCCCAAGGCTTGACATAATGAACTTCGGCTCCCCATTGGTACCACGTCCATACTATGTACAGTAATGACGCCCACCAATACGGAGTGAATGCCAAATAAATCAATAATCCACCAACGATAAAGGGATGGAACAAGAAGATGATGAGGAAAAGATGAATTTGGAATAGCTCTAGTATTATTTTAGGCATGTCCTTGCCAAATCCCATATTTTGGAGAAACATTTACAAAAAGTCTTAAAATTACTGCAATACGTTCAATAACCGCCTTCTTCTTTGTAAAATAAGTGTGTTTTCCGCGAACGTCTTGTATTTATCTATATATTTTTTATGGTTGTAATGATAAAAAAAGCCCTGATTCTGCTGAAAATCAGGCCCATAGCTTGAAACAAAAAACAAAAACGTGAAAAACACGCAGTTCGACGAGTTATCAAACGACAAAAAACAAGAAACATTGCTGATTTTCCCGGTTGAAACACTGTTTTTGTATTTCAGAGAAATTTGGTAATCGTTTTATCGAGAGCAAACATAATTTGTCTTTTGATTTTGTTGCGAGCAGTAAAACAAGAGCTTGCAAATTTTATAAATGCAGCGTGCGAAAAACAACGCACGTACAATGGGAGACCTGATCCAGTGACAAAAAAACGTATCATTTTGCAGCCGGGAAATATCAAAAATGTGGCAAAATGCTTCCTTCTCCAATTGAAAAAGAACAAAAAACAACCGAGATCTTAATCCCAAAATTTGGTGAAAATTCTACAATTTTTGGCGTAAAGAAACATTGACCTTCTTCCTGTTGTAAAGGACAACGCCAGAGGTTGCCACGTTCCTACGAAAAATCAGTTTTCAGCGCAAAGTTCACGTCAATTTGTCTACACACAAAAAATGAGAAAAAAAATTTAGTTCATCAAAATCGAGATGTTTTTTAATTTGGAGACTCTTAATTTTATGGTGCTTTGAAGTATGGGCTTTCATAATACGTCAACATTTTTAAAATTGGTAATTTAATTTTTGAGAAAATTTTAATTTAGTTTTTGTGCCGGGGCCTCGCGAGGGATCATTCTTGTTAAATTTTTTTGCTTACAATTAGGCAAGCATCATTAGCAACCTCAAAAGAGCATCTTGGGGCAAGGCCACGGTAGTAGCAAGTTGTAGGGCAAAATATTTAATATTGCCAAAAGCATCATGGCCGAGAAAATTTGAATTTACCCAGAACCTCTCTTACAGGCACTGAACGCCTTCAATTTTCAACAAGATTACCCCTCCCAATTGCGTCGGTTGCAATACCGCGGGTCATTCTTCGCTCTCAATCACGTCAATTACCTTGTTTACCAATTATCCCCGCCAAAACATCGCATTTTCATTGTAATCGAACGCCTGTAAACCGATCTCCCACGCGGCTAATCGTGAATCCTGGGCTCTGCGCTCGATCCCTCCTCTCCGATGTTATTGTTGGGTTACATACCGTCCGCTCTTGCGCAATAATCTGCGCGCGGTAAGTGAGAGTTTTTTCTTCTTTCGTTTTTTTTTGAGTGAATGGGTAATCTCTTCCTTGTGGACACTTTTTGAGTTTGTTCTTGAGGAATATTTGGCGGGATGCAACGGGGGTTTTGGGGTTGGAGTGCTGGACAAACCGAGGGATCGGCGACGGTCTAGAGCGGAAGGTAAGGAGAACTGGGCTGGAAGAAGTTACGCAGCTCTTTGTTTTGCATTGTACGCGATAGTACGAAGTCATGGCCATGTCGTCATTTTCCTATCACATTTATATTTTCTCAGAAAAATTTCTGACGTGCGATGCTCAGATTTTTAATAGATGACTTAAATTTTAATCATTTTCTAAGATATTCAAAAAATTTTAAGCACTTTTCTATCCCGGTTTGCAGAAAACCCAATTTTTTTGCCGAAAGTTTCCGAAAAATTGCAAATTTTTGTATTGATTTACATTTTAGAGGCCAAGGTCTCCGCAAAAAACCAATTTTTACCGTGCAAAATTGGCAGAGATTTGGCCGATAAGCGTTTTCTCTCTTTTGCGTATTCTGTTGGTGGCAGGCATCGTTGAATATTTGCCCTGCCTCTACTAGGCACAAGCTTAATTTTAATTGGTATGTGGCGTCTAGGGTGTGCAAAATTTAAAGAGAATCTGAGCGTCCAATTCCGAAGACTCCCTTTTTAGCCCCAGATCCAAAATCTAATCTTTCACCTCAACGAATAAATCAATTCCTCGCGTTGTAAATGAGCTGCTGAAGTGCGTCCATCATTAAATTTGAAAATCCAATTAAGCCCATGTCCTTTAACTTTTTTTTGCATCTTCTCAAAACATTTTTTTGAATTACCACATTCAGAAAACCTGTCCCCAAAGAAAGACGGTGTCGAAAAATTCGTTGATTTTATGTGAAACCAATCCAAAAGGGATCCGAAAGATCATTGAAGCGATTTACTGTTTAACAGGGGAGGATGACAAAAAACGATGGGATCGTTGAAACAGCGTTGGATTTTTTTGGAGTCTTGGGGATTTGGGGAAACTTTGCGGGCGTCAGTTTCTAATGCGAACAACTTTGGGCGGTATTTTGGACTTGCAATGGTACGATTTACAAAAAAGTAAATCCTCATTTTGTTGATCACCCATTTGTCATCCTCCCAAATATCCGCCCTTATCCCTCAAATTCCTTGTTTTTGACAACGATGATAAACAATAAATCTACCTTCCTTTTTTCCTCCCCCCTCGAGCTTTCCTCTCATTAAAATCCCAATTTATTCACAATAATAAATGGCTCCCCTCTCAAAAAAAAACAGGGATCGAAACATTTTTGAGGCGCTATAACAATATGTTTAGGATCTCGAGGGGTTTGTCGCTGCTCGTTAAGGAGGCTGCCGACGATTTCCTTACACTTGCCGCCCAGCTTTTTTCTTGGTTTAGATGTCCCTCATCTGGGGGTGTTTCCTTTTCTGGAAGCAAGTGGCAGCTGTCAGTCATCGATGGATTTATTTTTTTGGGTTGTTTACTTGCTTGTTTAGTAGTTTTTTCAGTGGAAGAAAGTTGACAAGCCGTTCTTGAGGGGCAAGGATTACATTTCATTCTATTATAGATGCCTGATTTGCACATTGCGGGCCGATCTAGCTATCAAATTGTAATCCATTTATCCAATTGTTCAAGGGCTAGCCAAAATTTTCGACCGGTCTGATGGTCTCAGTTTGATGGCTTAACTTTTGATCCAGCCCTTATTTGTGAACGTTAATTAAGCAAACAACAAAAAAATCCAATCTCCAAGATGAAACGCCCTAATCAATGTTGTGAAACCACACAAAATAATAATGATAATTTTTTCGAATTTTAGTTATAGCTTTGTCAGAGTAGCCATCGTTTTTTAGCGCCTTCAAAGCTTTCTGTCTCCACCTTTCGAATGAAAAATTTTGAAGCTTAATTTGCCAAGTTTCATCGACATATTCACCTCCCATATTGACCGTTTACCCTGTAAATTATGATTCATTTTTATAAAAAATATACGGTAAGGCTCCCTTGAGACCTTCTTCATCAGATGACCAGCACAATTCGAATTTATTTTATTGCCTTTTAATGCACCTTTCATTTCGTTTTTTTGGGATTTCACTTTCCTCTTGCTATTTATGGAGAAGATATTAGTCATCGCCCATGAATGTCAACCGCTTCGAATACCTGCCCAAATATTATTCTTCCCATTTTTGTGTGCTTTTCGAAGATGTTTTGTCGGTGATTTTACTTTTCGTTTTCTTCGTACGTTTTGATTTCGTATATCAAATCATATATGGTGAATCCACCGTATACAGTAGTATATAATAAATAATATAATATTTTGAAGTTTTCAAATCTTTTTTTCGTTTATTTGGCGGGGAACGTCAAGATTGTTTATATGGTAAACACTGTGATAACTTTTTATGAGAGCCTTTTCAGCGTTTGATTGGAATATCTCTTGACATGTTGTGCTAAACTTTGGCTTGCTGATCTGAACTCAAATCATCATCGTTCCTGATCATGAACGAACGGATTGTCGACAAATTTAATGCGCTCTACCATGGATACAGGTAATATAACACATACGCTGACATTGTCTTCTTAATTAATATTTTTTTGCTTGAATATGCTAATTATATTGCGAACCGGTTTCGCCGTACATCCTGGTAATTATTGAGTTAATTTCAGCGCCTATCATCAACTTTCGGTGGATTGCCGAGGTGGATTAAGTTCCCAAAGACAGGTCAGTCCGGTTTCAGTCCAATAAATTTGCGGTTTAATGAGGGTCGTCATTAATTATGAAGGGAAAGTGAGGAGTCAATCTTGTCTGCTGGTGGGATTGTATGTTTTTTCGAAAGATTCTGTCTTTTGTCTTTGGATTTACTATGATTCACGGTGCTTTGGTTTCCAAAAAAAAAATTTTTTTGAAAAAATTCGTGAAAGGAAATTGGACAGCTCTTACAGTAGATTCGGACTCGAGCAAGCCTAAAATAACTTCCAGTTTTCAAAGAACGTCCAGTGCTCTGCCTTCCGTGACACACCTTCCCAACTCTGCGTGACCCATTTTACCCCTCCCAAATTGAATTTTGTGTATAAATATTTTCGCGCCACTGAAAAAACGTTTACTCACGACTACCCCCAATCAAAGCCTAATAAAAAACTTGAAGAAAATAAAAACAGAAGCCCCACTCTTCCCTTCCATTTTACGACTTTTTACTCACCCACACTTTGGCTTTTTTTACGTTGTTATAGACACTTGTAAGTAGCCGCCTTTGTAAAGAGATTTGATTCCAGGAGGCGAGAGCGTTGGAGGAGAACCGGGAGCTGTATGCACACTACGTTCATCGACTCCATCGGCTTCAGGAACGGATCCAGAGGGTCATGGACAATGGTGAGTGCGGGCTCGGCGGGGGTTGGCATGTGATTAGACATTAAGTAAATGAAGGCTGGAACCTGACGAAAGGCCCGTCTTGTCTCTACAAAAAACATTGTTTTACTTTATTCCTGATTCATTTTGGGATTCGGAAAGTTTTCTTTCTCCTTTTCGGATCGGCCAACTCTTCCGACAAAAGTTTTGGGCCAAAGTCTGGCCTTTTGTACGATGATTTGACCGATAGAAAGACCATAAAGGCCCCTGAGATTGAATGGTTAGCCCTGTTGGCTTCATTTCCCTAGGCGATTTTACGAGCTGATTGATTTCCATAAATCTAAATTTCCCCGGGAATATCGTGACTCTATAATCGTTTCTGGAATGACCAATACGTCCACAGGGCTTACGAATTCCAAGAGTTGTCCAACTCTCATGACTCAAGTCCCCCCTTTCTTCAAATTCCTCGCTTCTTTGAGCACGCAAAACTTTTGAGTTCGTTAGTCGCCGAGAATGGCGTTAATGCAAGAGCGGCGCTGTATTCAATAGAATGGACCGAGGTCGGGATGGATGAAAACGCGAACTGTCCGAATGGCCTTGCCCATTCCCTAAACACGGTACAGGTTCATTGCGTTTTTTGTGGGCTGCGAAAATGTTTTTTCCGAGTTTTTTTCCTGGATTCCAAAGATTGGAATTCCATCGGATCTTTTAATTAAAAATTTCGAACGGAAAATAAGTTTTCGGAAGGGGCGCAAGGATGGGAGGGGTGATTAGAAAGTGGGTAAACTGTTTTTTGAGTGACTTGAAGATGAGAGCTGACGGGAAATTCAGTTTCATTAGGGGATACTCGTAATTATTGAATGACTTCTTGTGTAATTTTTGCAAAAGAATCTTTTGTAGGCAAAAAATTTGTATTACAGTAGGCAAAAACTGCTCATTTCTAGATTAAACTTCCTCTTTGTATGTGGACTTTGATGCAAAAAATCATAAGAAGAAAGTGCAGCCCATTTTTTACCTTCTCCTTTTATAACTACCATTAAATCTCCCAAGTTGAGTGTTTAATGTGAGTTTAACCGCCCTTTACGTACCACCTATTACCCATCGTATATTCACGTTATCATTTTACCCCTTGGTTTCTGGAATCACTCCCAGAAACAGCTCCAAAAACAAGACCATAAAAAGTAAAGGGGCTAGTGAAAGTTTACGATTTTTTGTGCAACTTGATGGATCGACCGATTCCTCAGATTCCTTTGCGTATTTCTTATTAGTAAAAGTTTCTCTGGATATCCTTTTACTTTTTTACGGGGTCAGTCGGTCAATTAAAAGATGCGTTTTTTAAGTCTCGAAGGGATGATTGCTGCGGTTATGGGGATGGGATTTGGCGGTAAAATAAGGATTGCGACTGAAGATCTGAAACATATAGGGATTGAGGATTGGTTATCTTGATTTTCAAAGAGTCTAAACTCCAGGGGAAAGCTTGTTGCTTGGATAGACAGTACTTTAAAGTGTCAGAGACAGTTAGACTGTGGAATTTTTATTTCTGGAAGAGCGGGTTTTATTTAACTAATCAGCTCTGCTATGACTAATAAAACAGTTGAGCTAGCCTTAAAAATTCAAAATTGCTGGCGAATAGTTGGATTGGTATTGTAATTACCGAAATAGCTATCAAATGAGTGGATTTACGTAAGATCTGCAGGTAGATGATTTGGCCACCAACCCAGCTTTAAGGCTAGCCGTTTATAAGGTCTCAAAGCCACTCTAACTCATTGGCTAGATTGATACAAGCAAAACTTTTGATCCACAAACAGCCCTAATCAACAGGTCGCAGAATCCTTGCAATTTTTTGCATAACAATCGAGGTAATTTGTCTCAAGTTTCATCACAACTTATGTGCCGCACTTCCCCTGCTCTTCTACCTCACAAAACTCGCCGCGCAGGCACGGGTCAGGTTTTATGATACCTCAAGATACGGAAGGGAGAGATAATGTCTTATCTGCGGCTTTCCTTGCGGGTGATTCTTGCAGCTTCTTCTCTTACAACTTTTTAAGTTGGCAGCAGTTTTCTTACAACATTGCAGCCCTAAATTTAGCTTTTTTTATTATAAATTTATTGCGCGTTATCATAAGACCACTGGCATTTGCTAAGAAGGTCAACTGATTGATGTTGCGAGGATTTTTGTGCAAGTTATTGCAGCTAAATTACTGTACCTTTTAACTGTGTACCTTGCTTCCGAGATCTATTTTTGTGTTTATTTTACCTTTAAGAAATCGTCTCCATTGCTCCCTGGTTACAGCCACGGATGTTCCACTAATTACGGCGTCTAATTAACTTCAATGTAATTCGGTCACGATGCACTTTAGACGTTGATGATTCCATCCCTGTTTTGTCTTTGCTTTCGATACACGTATTTTACGGTTTTTTCATATGACTTTACTTTTTTTTGTACTGTCCCAATCGTTTCCACTAACCCAAATTGTGGGGTTCAAGTAGCCGTAAACCCGTTTTATTGTTGCCCGAATTAGGATCCTTGAGTCTGGAGACCTATCAGCCGCTCATTTGAGCATGTAAATTAAGACGGGTGTGAATAGATATTCTGGTTAATTAAACCCGCGTAACCAGACATTGATTCGGGGGCATCGAACAAACAAGGAGGCTGATCGGAGTGTTTGTAAACATGGAAAATTAAGGTCGGAATAGTAATGACAGAGGAAGTGCTAGAGGGCAGAGAATATATGTTATTTACTGGCAGGGGAGGTACTCAAAGTGCGACGCTCATATTGTGAGGAAAGGCCTGGCAAAAATTTTTTTGTAAAATAATTTTTTCTAACAGATATGTGCAAGATTTTGAGATCACGGATTATAGAAAAAATGAGATTTTTAGTTTGTAGGTAGGTAATTTTGACGTGAAAAAGCCCATCGGCATAGAGTGTTTTATATACCGGCAGCCTCTGCAAAGCGCAAGCTAAAATTTTCGGGTATTTTTTGTGTGGCCTATCCCTTTATGTTGTACAAAATGTAAAGAAAATTTGAGCCTTGCACTTTTAAGATTCTCCTGTAAATAGTGCTCGCATTGCAGAAAATCTACACTCCATCCCATGCACGTTACAATAACTCACCTCTAACCCGGATATGTGGAATTCCCACGAGGCCAGACCGCGCCTTCCTAACGTACAAAAGGCGTTGTTGCCGTTGCTCCCTCATTTCCAGCGGATGCCTTTGAGTCGGCTCTTTTTCGTCGTTTTTATTGCCTCATTCCTATTGCCGTTGCATCCCAAAAGTAGCAATTGAGGGTTTTTATGTTTCTGCTGGATCTGGGCGGGTTTTAGAGGGCTTACAAAAGGGATTGTTTACGGTGTGATTTGAAACGCAAATGGTTTTTAAAAGAGGAAATTGCACTTTGCATTAGGGAGAAGTTTGTCATCTGGGGATTCTCAGGAAGTTACTGTATATTACTGCCGATGTGCACTTTGAATTTTATTTCAATTACATAGAAAGCTGTTAAGGCACGTGATTTCGCTCAGTCTGATATGTTACAACCAATGTTTTCGCTGTTTTTCTTGTTGTGAAATAAAAATCGTTGACTCATTGGGCGCACTGTATTCTAGCCGGCCATTTAACTGACTACTGTCTTTCCCAGACCGCCTATTTATTTTTTAAAGTCGTTTTTCTCAAAATTTATTCAGTTTTCCCTCACTGTCCACTCCCCAAAAGATGGCTCATCGGATGACTGGGTTATGAATATAGGTTACCTATCAGCCTCCGACCTCGTATCATCTCGTGACCTCTGTCCCTCATTTGCATATAAAAGCCGAGACCTCCGCCGCCTTTTCGGGACCGTCTTGCTTTGAGTGAGGGGGAGAGGGCATACCTGGGTCCGCGCATTCCGATCGGTCGCGTCTTTAAATGCCGCACTGTAAAAAAAGGAACAGGGCTCTGGAAAAAAGGTTATATTTTCAAATGCTTGTGGGTTTTGTGGACAGAATAGTGAGAAAGGGGATTGAGAATGGCCGGTTGATCGAATCGTGATTTTTTAACAGAATAGAGCACTTCTTGCCGTTTTGACTGATATTTTTAATAGATTTTAGTATTTTCCATGAGCTTAGTGATCAATTTCGTTAGGCATTTCCTTTACAACCCCCCTTACAATTTTTTTTCAAATCCCCCAATCTTTTGCACTCTCTGAACTCCGTCTTGCGCATCCCGCACTTCATGTCATCGTTTACAAAACAGAGTAAATACATATCTTCTAAACCCCAAAAAACAGACGAAACGGGCGCCGTGTGGAAATGAACACATTATAAAAACGATTTCGGAAGCGATTAAAATCGGCATCGATCCATTCGGACTTGTTCATGCCTGATGCGGTTGTCATGACAATACTATGGCTGGATGTCGCGCATTCCTCGATTTATGAACATTTTGCAGTGGGAGGGGGCTATTAGGGAGTGGGGCGAAAAGGGGAAATATTATGCAAATATGGAAAGGGTTATTACGGCATAACAGGAGTTAGGTAGAGGTTGTTATTATGGGGGCTTGAAGTTAGGGCTAAAATTTATTTATTGAGACAACTCTGTCCTATGTAAAATACGTCCATTGATGATCGTTTCACTAGCTATTTTTATATCCACCACAATTAAAACATGGTTCCTTGTTATTTCCATACTTTCGCACTCTTGTAATCCCCCATCTTAAACAGTTTCCCACCCAGTAATCCTCTTGATTATCGCCGCTTCGAGAAATAATTTTTGATCGTCTTTAATTTCCTCCCGTTCCGAGATTAATCTTTTGCTGATCTGCACAGTGTCCCCCCATACACAAAAAAGAGAGAAGAAACAGAAGTGTTCGCTCATAATTTGCCTCCGATCTTGGTTCAGATAAATAAATGAACGGTCGAGGGAGGCCGGTTTCGAACATCTTTAGCCGTCTTGGGGGTGAAATTTGAGAGGCGTATGTAATGTTGCAAAACGTTTTTTTATAACTTACTGTACCTTTAACTGGGAATTTCATTTCGGCAAGGATTTTTCTGGGCAAATTAAAGTTGTTGCTTTGACAGTAATCCTAAAAAATTTTAGTCAATAGGTTGAAATGCCTTCTAGATCTCATTAACGGATAGCCAGAGGGTCTTTTTAGTAGCTAACTCATCTTAAAGATGCTGATAGGCAACTTCCCCATTCCACATTATTAAATCGACAATAACAAAGCAATGTAATGCCCTGCTTTATTACAACTTGTTTTCTAACAAGTTGTAATAAAACATTGTGACGATTCATCCTTTCTTTTCTCTTATAATATTCATTAGTTATTATTACACATCCTCCATTGACATCTGCCAAAACAAAGTTAATCTATTTAGAAGATGAATCACGTGTCAATCATCTCTCTTTAATTACAGCACATTGCTTACCCTTTTACAGTGAAATAATTTGTTCCTTTCGGATTGAAATCTTTTCAAAATTCAACAGTAAGCATCTGTAATTACCTGTCCGAATTCTTGTTTTTGTATTTCTTTTATGGCTAATTGTAGGGTGCCATCAGCCTTGAATTCTTGTTTTTTCGGGCTCCCCTTCACACATCTTGTTCGTTTACCTTGCTTTACTGTGTTTGGAGCTCGAATTACATGAGTGCGAAATTGAATAAAACGCCTGTTAATCGGCGATTTTAGACAATGCAAACAAAGGGCCCAATCTATTCGAAGAATGACCCCAAACCCTCGGGCAAAGAGCGTGGGAAACGGTTTTTTGTACTCGAAAATTTACGCTGATGGATAGTGATTGGAGGATGAACATTTAAGGATAAAAAACAATATTGATCCAATATTGTTTTTGCAACATCGGATATGTTCTAGTTTTCCCAAAACGACCATCTCCATGACCGATTTAATTCAAATTCTCCTGCCTTTTATGTCATCACTCGGATTAATCGCACTTCCTCGACCGTCCTTTACGGTTCTGCAAACATTTTGTCATATTAATTTGAGCGCAAACATGGGAAACGGCACGCGTAAAGCCCCAAAAACCTGGGCTAACCCTGCGATTCCTCCGCCCGCTCTTGAGGTAACCCCACTGTTTTTCGCCAAACTTTTCTCGCCGATCGTCTCTTGCCACAGCCACTTAACCCCGCCGTCTTTTGCCATAGCCGTAGTCGGCTTCGGCTCGCCTATATTCTCGACCGAGAATATTTGTTTGTTCGGGGTTTAAACCGCGCACCGTAAAGGTTTGTTTTCGTATATTCTGTGCGTCCAAAAAAAACGTCAACGCCCTCAACGCCTTCTCAACTCCTCGCGCTTAACTCGCGTTTCACCTGGGCCTCGTTATCTGCGCGCTGACTGGAGACGAGAGTCGCCGCTACTTTCCTCCTCGCTCCTCTTCCCCTTCAAGTTTCCCTCCACTTCAGATTTTATTGTTTTCCGTCAAAATTTTGCGAAAATGTTTGAGCGATTTTAATTGAAATCTTGACGGGGTTTGAAGATAATCTCCCGATGACACTTGTAATTTGTGATATTCGTTTTTTTCAGGCCAAGCTGTCGGCGACTCCCACTTGGCAGTCTTGAATACGGCCGAAATGAACGCCATCGAGGCCGAGTTGGATGGCCTGGTTGGGCGGCTGAATGTTGAGGTCAAAGGTGAGGATTTGTTACATTTTTACATGTAAATTTGTCTTCTATCACTCTGTCTAAACGCAAATCTCATCCATAAATTTTTAGCCATCATCGGGTTTGCTCGTCTTGCCTCCGGCGATATTTTCGAAGTCTCCGTGAAGCATGGCTCGCAGAAATGGAAAACCCGAGGCAAAACGCAGCCGGATCGCGCGCAACGATGGGATAGTCCCGGCCATAATTTCACTTGCTACCCAGATCATCCGATTATGGTCAAGGTCACGGAAGTTCGTCTGATACGATCGGTGAAACTGGCGGAGAAATCGTTCGATCCCACTAAATTCTTCTCACCTCAGCCTCAATTGGTGACGATGAATTTGAATTCCTTGGGCAGTTTGAAACTTCAGATGGTCGTTTCCTGGCTGTAAGTTCTAATTACTCCCCCGTGATAGTCTAAATCTGTTTTCAATCAAACAAAGTCTTTTTGTAGACCACTAATGACCTCCAAGAACATGAATCAACAGCCGAACTACGGTGCTCCACAGTTCAACCCCGTAAATCGAAGTCTTTCCTTGGCCATGACAAGGAATGGATCGGTTGACAATGGAAATGAGAAGGCCGGAGAACCACCGATAAAAGTCTGTCTACGCGAAAAGAAACGGGGGCGTTCTCAGCAGCTAAAGGATCAGAAGAACTGGAGGTCCTCCACAACTATTCTGGACTCTGTTTATAAGGACCTGTCAAAGAGTATACCAGCTATTGATGATGTAAGGATTTTGATTAAATTCGTGAATAGTCTACTTTTTAATACTAAAAAACCGTTTGTTTTAGCTGACCGGCCTCACGGATAAATATCATCACAAGTACAATCAGTCGGAAGGCCTTCCCAACCGAACCTCAACATATAACACTCGTCAGCCTAAGCCGCATTTGGGCACGTATATGTTGACAAAACAGGGATTGGAGGAGGAGAACTGGGCCCGCTCCATTTCCATGCATCATTTGGCCACGAATGAGCATAAAAATAAGCAAGAAGGCGGAACAATGTCTCGTCCAGCCACCAGCATGACTGATTCCGATGATTCATCTGGCGTCTCGTCGATGACCAGCCAAAAACAATCTTGCCGAGTGGCTGACAACATTTTGGATCTGATGGATAAAGTGAGAGCGGCGTTGGTTCCATTGAGATGCCAAGAATACGCAGAGTTGGCAACATTCGAGAGTTGTATGCTCAATTGGGAGGCGTTGGTCAAGTTGAATCGAGCTGTTTTGCTGGAACAATCTCGTTCCTGTTCGCGAAGATCGACTGGAAATCTGAATAGGTTGAACAAGAGGGCTTCCATGTATCATATCCAGCATTCTCCTTCAACCCTGAGTGATGAACTCGACGAGCCTTTGCCAGTGTTTGAGAATGACAGTGGAATTGACAGTCTGCGGCAGAACACCTCGCCCTATAATCATCGGCAAGAAGGGAGTTTCGGTGGCACAGCGAGTCGAGGCCCGGCTCAACGAAGGTTCAAGCAGTTCAAAGAGCGAAGAAAGAGTCTGGGAATCGTATTAGACAATGAATACGACCGATTCTTTGGAGCCTACAATGAGGGCGCCTTACTTTCGAGACAACCATCGACGGTTGGGTCTTCGCCAGATTCTCATCGAAAAGAATCTACCGCCACTGGGAATCATGAACTTGATTTGTGTCTAGAACATCATACTAAACAAGCTCTTGACTTGCTATCGGATCTACAGAAACAAAAAGGACCCTTCGAATATCAGCTGGGATTACTGTTGAATCAGATCGAGCAGACCACGCTGGCGTTGGATGAGATGCTCAAAATCGCCGACCAACTTCCCAATCCGATCAATGTGGTCATGTTGTTGAGAGAGTTGGGAGCCACCACGGATCAACAAGATGTTTGGATATCGACAGCGAGAGCGGTTCAGGGGACGATCATGGTCCCGGCGGAAAGATTAAGGATGAATCTGATCTCATTTATGACCCCGATCGTTGAGAATTGTTATCCCAAGTTGGTGGAGCGAGTGGCGGACTCGTTGATGGACTTGATGGGCAACAAAATTACAGAGAGTGATAATATGGTCAGCGTGTTTGAATTCACATCCCTCTTCCAAGGCAAATTAATGGGACCGTTCGTGGAGAACCTGGCGCATGAAGGTAAGCAAAATGTCATCTTTCATACTTATAACAAAGCCTGAAAGAAAAATTGTTATAATTGACATTTCAGCTTTTATTACGTCTTCACTCGAATCAAACAACATAAATTTGGTCAGAGACGTCATGGATCGACTTCGGAAGGTGCCAATTGTACCACCATTGGAGAGTTTGCGGTTCGTTGGAAAAGTGCTGTTGTCTGAGAACAGGGACTGTTGTATAGCTGTTGGTAGGTCTATAACTGAACTATTAACCATGCGGCTATGAGATTTGAAAGCAATTTTCATTTGGAACTGTTGATCTTATAATGTTTGGTGCTTTCAGAGCGCTATCTTAACTACGCCTCCGATGGCTTGAGGAACGATCTGGCTGGAAGTTTCTGCAGTCTTCTGGAGCATCGCCAGCCCGAATCGAGGATGGGAGCATGCCGGGCATTGGCTGTGTTAAAGGTATACGAGATTTCTTTTTCACTCTACTATATTTGTCCTATTGTCACCCATTCTAATCTCTGTACTTAAGCTTGACAGCACGATCGAACTTCTTGACATTGTTGCTAAACAAGACGAAGATCAGCAAGTGCGATCGGAAGCCCGACGCTCCATGGAATCCATCCAACGGTTCTTCGGTGACTACCAGGAGATCACCAAGATTTGAACGAAGCATATCCGCATTGTATCTGTACCTAGTCGTGACGCAACTCTCTTGACAAACACCTTCTCTAGTGCCATTTTAACCAACATACGCAAAATTTTTCTCGTTGTATTTTGTATAGTTATATCAGATATATGATTATGTAAAGACAGATTTATTAAAGTATATGGTCTTAAGATCTAGATGGCTGGCTGAGAGCGCCCGAACTCGACTGGGACAACCTTGTCGGCCTCGGTTTCCACTTGAGAGGCGGTGGCGCGGCTGCAATGCAAAAATAGCAGGTAATTTCAAGAAGCGAGGTGGTCATGTCAGTGTAGCGTACTCACCTTGGTTTGGCATTCTTTAATTCTTCGGTAGATGGGACTCTGATGGGCACAGAGCTAACTCCCTTGATAATCCGACCTTTAGAGTCGACCAGGTTGGTCTGGAGAATGGTATTCACTCCGTAGTTGCCGCTAGGAGGCGGTGGTCCCTGAAATCAACACACTTTATCAACGTTTATTCCAACGAGTTCATGTTTTGCGAGGACCATGCAGGGAATAAAAAGCCCACGTTGCAACGGTTGTTTCTTTATTCAAATTCCGCGTTGGAGATTTCCTCGGGCGTGTGGAATCGGATATTAATTGCGGGCAACACCGGTATAGACCTTTGTGCGCCCTTGGGTCCAATACGTACCGTGACTCGAGGGAGTTTGGACGCGGATGGTGCTGGCTCAACTGGCTTGAAGGCGGGCTTCGCCTTTTCTTGTTTCTTGGCGCCCTTGGACTTGGTAAAGACTACTGGCTCTTTGAATTCAGCCTGAAAGAAGGCAAGGTAAGCCAAATTCTGTCATTAAGCGATCACTTTTACTAAATATACTAAGTCCCCGACTTACCTCAGAATGATTTGGCTCACCATCTTGCGATTCGGAGGGCGAGTTTTGGGCGGCAACATGTCTTGATCTCAGCGACAAATTAGGTGGAGGACGGGCATTGCTTGGTGCTGTTGGTTGCTGAAATTTTTGTTGTAAGAAGCCCGAGTATTAGCCTCAAAGATTAAATCCAGGCCAACCTCACCTCATTAGTTGCCGGCACAATTTTCTCCTCGCTTTCCCCGACAGCTTTGGCCGGCCGCAGACCCGCTGGCACCTCCAAAGCCAAGCCCAGCCCGACAACCAGAAGAACACAAGTGACAACCCGAAGCATCACCAAACGTCTTCTACTAATATTGTTTTAGAGATCGAGGTGCTTTTATAAATCCAGGTCAATTGTTATTTTCCCTTTCCGCCGTGATAAATGAGCGGATATTGCACGATATCGTGGCGAATATCGGCGTCGTAAATCGGCATTGCTTGTTTTTTACCGTTGAGGTAAAAACTCTGGAAACGGGTCGGAAATCGCAAAGCCGCTTCCTGAAAAATGCTCTTGGGGTATGCCATAAACTTGGAACACTGATAACAATCATCATCAAAGATATTTTTTGCTTCAATGATCATACATATTAGTCATCAAATTCAAACATATCAGATGTAACATATTTTTTGGCCCACCAAAACTCTGAATCATACTGAATATTACTACTGGACTCTAATTTGAATACTGTTGTTATTTCTCTGCCTGTTTATAAAGTCAATAAAATTGTATTTAAAACACGATTTTTGAGTCAGGGCACCAGCGGTGGTCTTAGGAAAAAATCGATTTTGAGATTTTTGGCTTAAAATGGTTGGTAGCACTTGTGGAAAAAAAGCTAAAAATATTTTTGCCCAATTATGCCCGGAAGGCATATTTTTTTACAAAATACGTTTTTATACTTCGAAGCCTCTGGAGGCCGATGTGATCCGACAACAGGGATCAAACCTGGCATACAGGGGTTTTTGACACCCAGGAATCTGAAAATCGAAGCCTTTTTACCGTCAGATTACCGTAACATGGTCATACTGTAATCCGGTCGATAAAAATCGACGGTAACTTCTTTAGATCAAAAATGCCACAGGATTTTATTGCAGATTCGGAATCAGCATAAAATTCTGCTTTGGATACATGTAAAATATGTTCAAAATTCCGTGGCCCAACCTCTATAGTATAGTGGTTGTGCGCCAGGATTATCAATCTGGCGACCCAGGTTCGATTCCCGGTGGCTGCAAATGGCAGAAAATGGACTATAAAAGGGCGGAAACTTGGAAAAAGGGGAAGATAAATTACAGAAAATTAATTTTATGCTACTTAAGACCAGTTTAAAAGTTTTTGCAGGAATTCCGCATAAATTACAGTTTTTATGGAAAACGCCTCACAGCATTCGTAAGATCGCCTCAAATGGCAACTAAAGGGTTGTGGTGAATGTACATAACGCGTGCTATGCAATATTCATCATATCCGCCGATTAATGTAATACAAAACAAAATAAAACAATTATTTGGTTTTCAGATGGAAGCACGCATTTTACAGTCCCGTAATTTAGCCTCTGTTCCTTATCAACTGAGTCTTCATGTAGATTTATCATTAGAGCGTCCACCAAAGGAGCCTTTTTTTGTGGGATACGCAAGACGGCCTAAGTTTTGCAAGCTGTGCGGTCCCGGTGCTGTTAGGGAATCTTATATGACTTTTTGTGAATCTTATATGACTTTTTGGTCAAATATTGTTCCGTTCGATAAACCTCGACCGCAGCTCGCCTTCTTAAAATCCCGAATTTGAAAGAAACCCCAGGCTATCCCAAAAATTTAACGAAATAAGCAGAAATGGACTTATTTCGTAGTAGGAAGCCTCAGTAACCTCTTCTGTAAATTTTAACCAGATTGCTCCACTTTCCGGCAAGCTATAAGACGTTTTCCATAAAAACCGTAATTTATGCGGAATTCTTGCAAAAACTTTCAAACTGGTCCTAAGTAGCATAAAATTGATTTTCTGTAATTTATTTTCCCTTTTTTCCAAGTTTCCGCCCTTTTATAGTCCATTTTCTGCCATTTGCAGCCACCGGGAATCGAACCTGGGTCGCCAGATTGATAATCCTGGCACACAACCACTATACTATAGAGGTTGGGCCACGGAATTTTGAACATATTTTACATGTATCCGAAGCAGAATTTTATGCTGATTCCGAATCTGCAATAAAATCCTGTGGCATTTTTGATCTAAAGAAGTTATGGTCGATTTTTACCGACCGGATTACAGTATGACCATCTTACAGTAATTTGACGGTAAAAAGGCTTCGATGTTCAGATTCCTGGATGTCAAAAACCCCTGTATGCCAGGTTTGATCTCTGTTGTCGGATCACATCGGCCTCCAGAGGCTTCGAAGTATAAAAACGTATTTTGTAAAAAAATATGCCTTCCGGGCATAATTGGGAAAAAATATTTTTAGCTTTTCTTCCACAAGTGCTACCGACTATTTTACGCCAAAAATCTCAAAATCGATTTTTTCCTAAGACCGGGCCCCACTGCTGGCTGACGCAGTGACTCAAAAATCGTGTTTTAATTTGAGTATTCGTTTGGATTTTATCAATTGTAAACAAGCTTGTTATCAGGCCCTTGCAACATGCGTGCTTTTATGATCTCCGTTTTTGGAAAAACACTTTTAAAAACATTTTCAATTCAGCCAAACAGATCAGTGCCGCTAAAAACGAAGATGACGGGTTCTAAAGTGATGATTATTACTGGAGCCACTTCAGGAATTGGCAAGGGAGCAGCTTTCGAAATGGCCAAACGAAAATGGAGATTAGTCCTTACTGGACGGAATGCTGAGGCCATGAAAGAAGTTGTGGACGAATGCAAACAACATGGAGCTTCGGAAGTAAGTAGTGCAATATGCATTAGGATCCTTACTTATTTCAGGTAACCTATGTTCTTGGAGATCTAACAGAGCCCTCCACTGCCAAGAAAATAGTCGAACATGCGATCTCGACCTTCGGCCAGATAGATTCGCTCGTAAATAATGCTGGAATGTTGGTTCTAGGAACGTTGGAAGAAGCTCGGGATGATTTGGACGACTTTGATCGGCAAATTGATGGAAATGTTAGGACGGAAGGCTACTGTATTTTTTATAACGGAATATCGCCATAATTACTCATCCAAATAATTATAGAGTGGTTCGTTTGACCAAAGTCGCTCTTCCACATCTAATAAAGTCCAAAGGGACTATTGTCAATGTCAGCAGTGTCTGTGGAACCAACGCAATCCCCGAAAGTTTTTATTATTGCATGTCTAAGGCGGCTTTGGACCAATTCACAAAATGTTTGGCCATGGAGCTGGCGCCAAAAGGAGTTCGGGTCAATTCAGTCAAGTAAGGCGATTTTGTCATTTGATGTAAATAAATAACCGTATTTTAGTCCAGGAGTTATCTACAGCGAGATCCAGCGTCGATCCGGAATCACGGAGGACACTTATCAAGCTGTAAGCAAAACTCGAATGGCAATGCTGACAAAATGTTCGTTTAGTATCTGAAAAGAAGCGAGTTCACTCATCCCTTGGGAAGGGTCGGAAACCCTGAAGAAACAGCAAAAGCCATCGCCTTTTTGGCCACTGAAGACTCATCATTCACAACCGGTGAACTTCTCAAAGTTGATGGAGGAAGAGCTGTAATGACAGTCTGCTAAAAGAGAAAATAAAAAATAAACAAACATTAGAGTCAGTACACCATTGATTTCTAAAGATACTCCTGTAATCACAGCTATGGGAGAGTTTGCAATCGTTTCTAAAAAGTGGAAGATACGTCTGTGATTAATAAAAAAGAGACCAAGAGTTTATACAGCGGCTCCATTTGATTCGTTGTGCTTTGTAGTCCGAAGCGATAGTTTCGTTTCACTTGGACACAATCGACTTTTTCCTGCCAGATGAAACTAATTCTTCGAGAAGTCTCTTTTTTTAATGATAGCTGTAGCGTTACAAAGGACAGCTGAGAGCCTATGGGCGTTCTTTTCTATCACAAGATTCACCTTTCTGTTTCTCATACAGTTTGCAAAGCCGGCTTTAAATTTGATCAGCCCGCATTGCCATAAGCCGCTTATGTTTGGAAACGAAACTTCTCTGAATGGAATATGCATAATTTTTATTTCTAAATAACGGAGAAAAAGGCAAAACTAAGACGGACCCATGAGCGCTCGTCCTCCATCGACCTTCAACAGATCCCCAGTTGTGAAGGAGGACTCGTCCGTGGCCAGGAAAGCGATGGCTTTCGCCGTTTCTTCGGGACGTCCGACACGGCCCAACGGGTGCTGTTGTTCTCCTTTTTTCAAGAACTGGAACAACAATGATTACAATTACAACAGCTTACCTCTTGGTACTGATCGTCCGTGAAGCCTCCACGCCGTTGAAATTCGGTTAAGATAACGCCGGGACTGGAAATGATAATTTTTTTTGGAAATCGAAGAGATCTTACTTTACTGAATTTACTCGTACTCCTTTTGGAGCCAGCTCTAATGCAACGCATTTCGTGAACTGATCCAAAGCCGCTTTCGACATGCAGTAGTAGAGGATTCCGGAAAACTAAAAAATGAAGACATTATGTCATTTACATACTTTTTTTAAATAATATATACGTCCACTTACTGCATGAGTTCCACAAATACTGCTGACATTGACGACGGTTCCTTTCGTTTTGATCAAATGCGGCAGTGCTGCTCTGGTCAGTCGAATTACTCTAAACATATTTATTATTATAATTGTACGTTGACTAAGATACGCCTACGCTTTGACATTAGTATCCATCTGTTGCTCATAGTCCACCAAATCATCTCTCACTTGATCCAAGCCTCCGGCAACAAGGATTCCAGCATTATTCACCAACGAATTTATCTGCCCAAAGGTCGAAATTGCATGGTCAACAATCTTTTTTGGTGTTGCCAGATTGTTCAGACTTCCAAGAATATAAGAGACCTAAATGTAATGTAAATCATTGTCCACATCTCTTACATCTGCAGCTCCGGCTTTCTTCGCCTCCTCCACAACTTCATTCATGGCCTCGGCTTTCCTCCCAGTCAACACCAACCTCCACTTTCTTTTGGCCATTTCCACGGCCGTTGCGCGGCCAATGCCCGACGTAGCGCCGGTTATTATCACCACAGGTGCGTCGGACATGATACTATATTTGTTAGTGATATCGAGCAAACGTTCCGTGTAGCTGACTCGAAAGAGAAGCCATCCCGAGAGCAATCGGCCCTTTATATTTGATTTCCCGCATCGATTCGTTGTGCTTTGTATTACGCGTCCACTTGGGAGCCGTAGCCACAAAAGATACTTTGCATATCATTGTTCTGTCAGAAATCCAAACATGTTGCCGATAAATCTTATTCCTGTCTTTGCTATGTCAATAAATCTTATTCTTAGCTTATTATTCTTAGCTCTGGAAAGTGTTTCAACAAGTCTCAGACCTTGATGACAAACCTAAATTAAATTTTCTGAAAGATGTGAGATTCCTGCGATAAGAAATGGCCGATAGGTTTTTTTGATCAACCTAGAATACGTTTTTATTTACCATGCACCACGCTGGTTTTTCTTGCAAAAATTATTACAACATACCATAAGTTACTTTTAGATGTGTTTTTGTTTATGTGTTATTGATTTAGATTTCTGACCAACGAAGAACAGTCGGTTCTGGGAATCCCCCGACCCCATTTGCGATCTTTGATGGATATTCGAAAAAGAAACGTGTCAAGGCCAAAAAAGCACATGGCGTTTATGGTGGTCATATAGAAAAAAACTTGAACGGCTATAAGTCTGTCGGGAAAATAACGACGGATCGTCGCATCAAAATGTCTCGCCTCGCCGCTATCGCGCACCAAATCCCAAGCCGCGGCTTGCAGTCGCAAAGCGATGATGGGCGATTCCGAGGCGCGACGATCCGCCGTTATTTTCCCGACAGACTGATATTTCATATGTGTATAACAGGATTGGTTAGCAATTTCACAAAGTTTTTTAAAATGATGTCAAATCGCGCCAAATTGACGTCATTCTGGCTAACGGTACATAAATTGGAAAGTCTGGTATACAAAGTTTTCCCACACGAGGTCAACATAGACTGTGATGTACACCGATAAAATTAGCAGTATCTATGTTTTTTTAAAAATTAACAGTATCTATGTTTTTTTCTGCTTGTTTCATCGACCGTTTTGACAAGAAGGAGCAGTTCAATAGTTCCTAAAAGTTTTAAATGCTTACGATTTTTGGCAAAAATCTATACGAATTTTTCAAAAAAGTTCATTTTGACAATCAAAATGGCAGGACAATTTGATATGACGAGAATGGCGGCAATTTGACAACGTGACTAAAACGTCAAGCATGTCTTAGCTTGGCGCGATAAAGACTTAAAAACCATGGTAGATAACATAAGGTAAAAATTACACATCTTAAAAGCACAATTTTTCGATGACCCCAGCAGAAGATAAATTCCACAAAACGCGAAGTATTCCCCTTCGGTCTGCAAAAAGTTGCATTCTTTCCTTCGCCAATTTTTCTCAACGTCTGGACGGGAGCTGTAAGATGAATAATGTCATCATCAAAACTGGGAGTGATCACAGAGAAGACGGACAGTTTGATTGAATGGAATAACCTTTTTCATTGACGCCTTTTACATCAAGAGGTCCATCGATAAAATAATTTTGCGAATTTCATCAGCTAACGGAATTCTTTCACTTACAAGTTCATCGACGAAAAAATTATTCCGAGAAGGACGAAGTTATATCTCGGTTATTTTGCGGTGAGTATCGGGGGAATTTGTGTCATCGTTCGAAAGCGTTTGGCCTTATTTAAGTAATTTTAGATGAGGAAAAAATTTGCACAATTATGAATGCTTTGTTTTATATTCTTTTGTCAATGACACGCTTTATCCTCCATGCTTGATATAAGATTTATAATCCCGATAATGTCTAGATACCTTGAAGGCGGGGCTCAGATCATAAAACTGATCTAATCTCTCCCATCACGTGCCCTAATCACCAATTAAGAGTAACAAGTGTCCGCTCGCATTGTTGTATCATTTGTTACCACGAGGTTGACTGACCTGCAATATTTTCAGCGACCGCCAACCCTTGCAAATTGATTTTTGGCACTACAATAGGTAGAATATAAATGTGTGGGATCCTTGGTATCTTATTGGCCGAGGAGGTCCCATCTGGAGGGCTTGGATCTTGGGCGGTTGATGCGCTCACCAAGTTGCAGCATCGGTGAGTATTATCGTTATGCTTTACCAACAATTTGCTGTTATATTTTATATATATTGATATTTTAGAGGAACAGAAAGCTCCGGTCTCGTTGGGACTGACGGCAAAGAGCAGAATCACTTTGAAATTGTAAAAGGTCATGGTCTTGTAAGAGATGTCTATACCTCAGAGAATCTCAGTAAATTCAATGGTAAATGCTTGCAAAAATTTAAAAAATTTTATTCGGTTGAACGACACTTTTATCCTACCCAAAACTTCCTTCAGATTGTGTTGCTTTGATCGGCCACAACCGCTACTCAACAGCTGGAATGAAAGCCGCCATCAATTGTGTCCAGCCTTTCCTCTTGCACACTACAATTGGCCTAATCGCCATTGCTCATAATGGAGAATTAGTTAATGCCCAGCAACGGCGAGCAGTGGTTCTACGCGAAGGAATCGGGCTTTCAACTGATACGGACAGTGAATTGATAGGTCAGATGATTGCGAAAACCATAGCTCAGAATATGAAATGTCGCCAAGATGTGCCCAATGGAGATATTTCAAGGGTAAGGTGACTACGATGTACTATATAGTATTATTGTTGTTACGCCTATTGAATGTTTAATTTATTGTGTTCAGGAACTCTCAGCAACAATGTCAGCCATGGATCTCTCATATTCCCTGCTGGTTATGACTTATGATCGTATTTATGCCCTCAGGGATCCTTTTGGGAACAGACCTTTATGCATCGGGACGATCAAGTCCGGAGACTCTACTATCGGATATATTGCTGCTTCAGAGTCTTGTGCTTTTCCTCCTGGCGCCGAGTTTCATTCAGAAGTTGAGCCTGGGGAAATGGTCGAGATCAGCGCCAAAGGCGTCAGATCTGTTTGGCAGGTAAGGATCTTCTAATTTAAATGCAACAGTTTTATGGGGTGATTTGAATGGGTGTCATTTCAGATGGTCCCTCGACCGAATGCTTTTTGTATATTCGAATACGTCTACTTTTGTCGAGCCGACACATATCTGGAAGGGCAACAAGTGTACTCCGTGAGGAAGGAATGCGGGAAAATCTTGGCCCAAGAATCTCATGTGGAAGCTGATATTGTGAGTACGGTACCCGATTCGGCGACAGCGGCAAGCATCGGATATGCGGATCAGGTAAGAAATCAAATGATTTTATCCGATATTCAAATATTTTTTTTTATTTTACGTTTTTCTAATACTAAAAAAAATTTCAGAGTGGGATCCGTTACGAACAGATCCTGCAACGGAACACCTATGTGGGCAGATCTTTCATCCAGCCCACCTCCAAACTCCGTCAATCGGCCGTCGAGAAGAAGTTTGGAGTGATGAGAGAGGCGGTCAAAGGGAAGAGAGTCATCCTTATCGATGACTCCATTGTGCGTGGCAACACCATGGCCACGATAGTCCGGCTTCTCAAAGAGAAAGGAGCCAAAGAAGTCCATCTTCGGATTGCGTCACCTCCGTTGAGGCATGCCTGTTATATGGGGATCAATATCCCCTCCACCAAGGAGTTAATCGCTTCAAATCGGACAGTGGAAGAGATCAAGGAGAAGTTGGGAGCGGATTCGATCAAATATTTGTCCGTTGAGGGCCTCAAACAAGCCGTTCAGACGGACTTAAAGAAACGGAATGCCAAGAGTATTGGGCATTGTACGGCGTGTTTGACGGGGGAATACCCCGTCGCGTTGGAGTTCTGATAAAAAATTGTTTCATGGCATAAAAAGACTATATCGCAAACCGGCTATATTCATGCAAAATTTTGATATCATCGGGGCTAATATTGTAGTTTACAGCTTCAGTTTTAAAACTGTCCTCTAGAGTCCATTAATCAATCAAAAATCAATAAATTTACGAATGAAAGCAAAATCCAAGGCACGAGTTTAGTCTGTGTACTTTAACCGGATTAGCAGAGGTCTCTCAAGATTGGCGGATTCAACGAGAATGATCGCACCGTTATGCAGACCAATATCTGGAAGGTTTCGGAGCAGGTTCTGTTTGGATTGTTCCTTAATTTCGGGCATGAGATCACTGTCAGTGAAGACGACTTGGTCTCCAGCGTAAATTCGGGGCATGGATGCGTTACTAAAATAATTTCATTTGTAAAACATTGATCCATGTGCCTAAAAATCTCCGGAAACAAAAAAATCAACTTACTAATTATTCTCCAAGTACTTGATCATATCTTGCAAGGTCTGTCCAGTCGCCACAGTCATCAATTCCACTTTATCCCTGCAAACCGGACAATTTGGATTCCTCTCCAAGGAAACGGCACTGAAGTTGGCACCCGTAATATCTTGAAAATTGACGTAATTGTCCAGATAACGTCCTGAAAGCGAAGCCAGTTTGAAGGCTTCCAATGCGCAGACCCCAGCAATCACCGCATTCGTTGAAGCCACTGCCGGGATGATCCTTTTGAGCACTCCCAATGTCAATCTCAAGGTGACTCCATCGATTTTGAACTGCTTTGCCCTCTCCAAGGCTTTCTCATATACCCATTGAACATGGTCGGACATGTCCGTATCCAAGGGATCATCACCAAATGGCTTCTCCTTCTCCCATGTGACCACTTTGATGTATTCTATACAATGTTCTGGTAGTCGAGGAATGTTCGCAATGGTACACATGGGGAAATTGACTTGCGGAGGGTAGAGATCGAGAGTGCATTCAACACAGGCAGTCTTATGAGGGATTATGACACGAGCGTTCCCTTTGAATCCTTCTGTTCCACCATCAATCAAAGGAATCACAGTGCCTTCGTTGACGGTCGCATCATCATTATATTCGACTAGATCACACTAAAAATTATAAAATTTTACCCTTTAATAGCATTACTCATGATAAATCAAAAACAAGGTACAAGGACGAAGCGATCGAACGTGGGCGAAAGTAAAATTTAACTTACAACCATCTGATTCAGCCACCTTCTGGCTTCAATCGAATCCAATCCGCAGATGATAAGGGGAAAACTCTGATAAAAGCTTGCCGGCTTGTCTTGGATCTTGCAATTGTGACTAAAAGCAAAAACAACAAGTAAGAAAAGCAAGATAAACTTACGGAGTAACAGTTACACCTCCCACCCGTTTCATTAGGAATTCCGCGGCCACTTCCGCTTTGCTCCGACCAACATCTGACTGACGGAACAAGAATTGACGATTCAGATTCGAGACATCGATTGTGTCCATGTCTATAAGGTCAATGTTGCGGAAACCGGAAAGTGCCAAATTCTTGACGATTTCACATCCCAAACCTCCGGCTCCGACAACAAGAACAGGGCATCCTTGAACGGATTCGAAGTTCTAAAAATAGAAACAAAATAAAAAATGCTGGTAAAGGAAACAAAGGTATCTAATTTATCAACCCGGAAGTAAAACTTACGTGTGTTCCAGGTGTAAATTCCTCGTGAGCAAGATCGGATTCCCGGTTGGTCAAGTACAATATGTGCTTCCATCTTTCACTTTCCATTCTGTCACTGGATACAGTCTGAGCCATCCTCTCGGTGGATCAAACTCTTTCCAACAAATTCCCGAAAAAATTACTTCGTCTCGGAAAAAAATAATGTTTGATCGTATAAAACATCTTCGCCATGTGCACATGCCCAATTTCACCGGGCGCACCCCGCGAGACGAGAATATTTTCTCTTTTTTGATCGAGGAAACGAGAAAAACTACTGTTTTTTGTTGTAAGTTACTTATTGCTATAGCTACATTATGGGAAAGAATAAACGAAAGGCGTTTGGGGCCAAGAACAAGGATGGCCAGAAGAAAACCAATCCTTTCGACCTCAAGTTTACGATCCAGAAACGTCAGGTATGTGGTTACTCGTTGGTTTTTTTGTTCTTAGATTCTTTTTGGATACTGGTTCTATTCTTCTGTGCAATACCCGGATTGAAATGGTATTTTCAGATTATTGGAACAGCCAAATCCGCTACCGGAGCTCCATTGGTTACCAAGAAGAAGGCCTTTGAGCAAAGAAAGAAGACGTTGGGTGGAGAACTCAGGAACTTGGGAAAGAAGAATCAGGTAAAGTTTTTTACATTGTTTATGTCTACAAAATTTATCTAGCAACATTTTTATCTTAGATAAAAGATCGACGTATTGGTCAACGGAATGCGAATTTGACTGTCGCGGAAAAAGCGGAAAAGCGGTTCGTTGCTCAAAGAAAACAATTGTTTGCCAAGAGCAACAAGTATTTACTGAGTGATAACAAGGAGGACGACCTCCAACACTTGTCCAAGAAATTAACGGAGACCGAGAAATTCCAACGACAAGGTCTGAACAAAGAAGATGATGAGATCGATGACCGACTGTTTACTGCCGCTCACTTTGGTGGTGGTAATATTGTGAATACTAAAAGGGATAAAGAAGGAAAGAAGTTGACTCGGTAAGTGCCTTCTTCTTTTTGTTTTGTCGGTTTAGGTAACAATCTCATGTATCGATTGCTTCAGGAAAGAAATGCTTGAACAGATCATCCAACAAAGCAAAGAAGCCAAGGCCATTAAGAGCAAAGAAAGGGAATTACAATTTGAGACGTGGAAAAAGCTGGATGAGCAGTTTAAAGAGGTCAGAGAATCCGGAGAACTTCAATTTGGACGGGTTCAAGAAGCCGATGATGACGATTATATGGAACTTTATTTGAAACTGCAAAATGATCCAAAGAGGGCTGTTGCGCTTGACCCGAAGAAAGACCCAAAATTATCAGCGGAATATGAGGCAAAGAGAATTGAAAAGGCGGAGAATGAAAGACTAAATAGGATGAATGAGATGGATGATAATTATATCCCTCATGAATCTGTAGATGATGAGAGAAAAAAGGCCAAAAAGCAGAAGAAAGTTCAGTTTGAACTTATTTATGATAAGGACGGAAAACTGAAGGTGGATCAAGAAAATGAAACGCTGAAACCCGAGAAGAGGGTCGTTAAGAGTGCTGATGACGACGAGATGGGATATGAATTTGATTCGGATAACGAATATGATCAGCTCATTGAAGGCGAAGATGTGGATGATGAGGACTTGGAAGACGAGGAGGAGGAGGAAGAAGATGAGGAAGGAGAGGATGCCGATTCAATCTTGGATGGTGAGTTCATTTTTTTATTGGTTGTTTATGTTTTTAGAAGAAGAGGCGGATAGTGAAATGGAAGAAGAGGCAGATGAAGAAGTAGAAGAAGATGCCGAAAGAAAAGGAAAAGTGAAAGTTCCAGCTTCGGAAGAGCAGTTAGAGCAAGTATTTGATGAGCTGCCAGTAACAGAATGGGTCTCTCATTTCAATCAAATCATCAAAGAGAACAATCCAAAGAAATCGGATCTGAATAAAGCGAAGTTGGGCAAACTGTGTGGATGGACGATCGAGTTGTTCATCAAGAAGTCTGAACAAGCGACAAAAGCCAATGAAACGTCCAAAGCATTGACGGAAATTATATGCAATCTGGCCAAGGTAAAGACTGCAATGATTTTGTTTTGTTGTACATGGTATAACCATTGATTTGATTGTTTCAGAACTCCCCGAAGGAATGTGCTGAACGTTGCAGAGATATTGTTGGAGATCTCTACTCCACCCTGAAGGCTGAAAAAAGATCGGGACAACATCATTTCTTCGTCCTCGCCTTCATTAGACTGATCCGGACCTTGTTCACAGTATCCGATCGAGTCCATTCGGTCTGTCTCCCGACCATGGTCATCGCATCAGACGTTGTTTCCAAGACCAGGATATACGAACCATTGGACTGCGCAAAGGTTTTGCTGTTCGTGGATGAATTGGCCACATGGTTTGAGGAGTCAAAACGGTAAGGATTTATAGTTGATATCAGAATAGATGTTTACTGATTTGATGCCCGTCAATGTTCCCGTTAGTTGGCGAAAAGTTGCCGACTGACGTTTTATTAGACGGGAAATTGAGTTTACAGTAAATGAGTAGATTTATCCGACTTTGAAATGGGTTTCGAGTTGTTTATCTGAAGCTGTTACACTTTAAAAAAAAATTTTTTTTAAAACTTTTTGCTGGAGATGTCAATATGGGTAATTTTTATGTTGTAGGTATTGCCCAGAAGTCCTAAATTTTCTCTTGGGAACACTAATTTTGGCCTCAAAATCGCCCGCACAGTTCCCCAACGGAGGATTTCCGATATCAGAACCCTATCGATCGATGCTTCATATAAACTCTAAGGTAAGTTTTGGCTGTTGATAAAATTTTTATTGTTTTATAGAGCAAACTGAAGACGATCCCTCCCATTTCGATCAATGCCGTATTCTCCGCCGCTGATTCGGCCGAGCTGAATCAATCCACAAGGACATTGGACTTGCAGACTGTCCGATTGGCTGTAAGATTGACCAAGTTCTTCGCGGAATTGTATTCGGGTCTTACGGATGTATATGCAGTGTTGTTTAGGTATGTGGAAACGATTGTCATTTGAAGATTTGAATTTCAGGCCGTTTTTGAAATTGGTGAAAGAATTGCCTGTTCAAAATTATCCGAAAGTGCTGACAGATGAAGTGAAAGAGCTTGAAGAAATCTTGAATTGTAATGTGGACAAGTTCTCTGAAGTCCGACAGCTAACTCATGCTGTTTCGAAGAAAATCAAGTAGGGGTTTTTGTTGGTTTTTATATTAGACTAGAGGGGTGATGGGTAATATTGTTTTTGGTGAGTTTATGGTATTTTTGCTTGGTTTCAGGATGATTGATATGCTTGAACCTCGAATTGAAGAGCACTTCAATGCCAAACATCCAACCCACAAGCGATCAGACCCGAAGGCCACCGAGAAACGATTGACCAAAAAGGTGAAAAAGGAAACGAGAAGTGCCATCAAGGACCTCAGAATGGACGCCAAATACTTGGCTGGAGAACAACAACGACAATTGAAGGAAGTCAGCGAGGAAAGAAAGGAAAAGACAAAGCGAATCCTGGCTTCACTTCAAGGACAAGAATCAGAATATCAGAAGAGGAAGAAGACGAAAAATTAGAAGAAACGCGGGGATTGTTACTTGTTTTATTGTTGATTTTTATCAAAATTTTTGATTTTTTTGTTGTTTTTTACTCTTGTTGAAAATAGAAATTTGAAGAATCGAAATGGTTTTTAATGTGATTGTGGTTTGATACCATGTTATATTTGAGTGTAGTAGTGTGCATTTAATATGGTTTCGTAGATGTCCTTGGCGTCAAAACTTCTCCGCGTGGCCCCACGCCGCGCCTCCCAGCTGATCATACCCAATTGCTCCATGTACGAGAACCCTTATATCATCGAACACCAGAGGAAACGTCAAGTTTCGGAAGATTATCCCAAGAAGGTGAGTCCGCAAAGAGTCACGGATTATAGTCTGTTCTCTTATCCTTTCTATGTTTATTTTCGAACTTTTAGAGCACTGGATTGACTGGGCTTTGGGTGAATGAACAGCCTCATCGTACGTTGACGGTGATCTACGGTAGAATCCTCCGAACTCTGGAAAATATCCCAACCAACTCGCCTTACCGACAGAACACGGAAGCCCTGGTCAAACATCGATTGAAACTGGTGGAGGAAGTGGGTGTTTAGAGCAGTTTAGGCTGCAGTTTACAACATGACACCTTGACTTTACTGTATTAGTCATGTCTTTTTTGTAGGAGCCAGATGTTTTCAAATTGGAGGAGAAAATCGGCATGGGACAGATTGAGGAAGTCATCCAGCAGGCCGAATACGAGGTCCGCACCGCCCGCGCCATCGTCGAGAGCAAGGCCTGGGAGCCTCTGGTGGAGCCGGCTTCTGAAGCCCAATGGCGCTGGCCCATTGCTTAAGGCGCTTATAATAGCTTTGTATGAAAATGGAAATAAATTAGAGATCCTAAGAAATCCAAATTGGAATCCCCTTCTCCGCACAGGTGTCTCATATCAAAACCCACGTTTCCTGCCCCAAAATAAACCACCCCGCCGGCATGGGGATTACACTCAGACAGGGATCTTAACCTTCTCCCTTATGACTGACCCCTTAGTCATGCAAACCTCCTAATTATCGCCGTATTTGGGGCGGTTTCGCAGGAACTCGCCGGAATCTTCCAATTCTGAATGTCTGGCAATGCCAATTAACGAGATTTTTAATTATAAATCCCTTGGGACCCACCGTAATCGGCTCTCCGAATAGAAGCGATCAATTCAATTAGCCGCGTAATTGCAAGAATGCACTGTGCGTAAGAATGTTTCCCAATATACCCCGCGGTCTCGTGGCAGGATTAACCATCGGACTGTAAATATTTATGCTCTTCAATTAGACGATTACGGTAACTCGGTTAGCCGTCTTACGGTATGTGCGATTTTTTGTTGATATTTTTGGGAGATTTAGGAAGAAGTCATGACTTGAACCTCCCCATCATTCCTCTTATTTACTGAAGGGTCTATGAAAGATAATCAAAACTGGAGGAGCAAACGAATAAACATAGAAGGAGATAAGACCCCCTCCTTCATTCATTGACTCACCCATCTTCCGGCAACCATCCATAAAACTGTCTAACCTCATTAGGCTCCTTCTGATTGTCGTATTATCAGTTTGCTTTCGGAATTTGACGATGAAATTGCTTGGTCTTGTCCTCATCTTTTCTGTTATTCACGGCGGTAAGTACGAATAAAATAGTCAATTCAGGAAAGTTTTAAGTAAAATTGGACATGGGAACTAACTTTTTGTTAAGGTTACAGTTCTTACAGTGTAGAAAAAATAGTTTTTTTTTAACAGAAAGTTTTCAAACCACCAAAAACTTATAATACTACAAGCCGGAGTGATATTTCCAGTCAGTAATTTCCAAGCTTACAGTATATTTTCAAAATAAAAAATCTTTTCTCTTCGTCGAGGTATTGTTATGTGGTCTTTATCAATCCAATACTTGCAAATGAATATTTTGAAACAACAGTTAAAATTGTACGGTAACGGGTTTGCAAAACAATTTTTAGACCAAAAGTAGCATGCAAGCCTTCATTGTCAATGCAAAAAGTTAATCCCTGTATCATCTCATCCAGTTCAGTAAACTTTGGTTTCATCACCTTATTCTAGGTATTTATTTAATACCCATTCATTCTGCTGCCTAATCTCCTAGTCACCAAATTGACCTCGGCTGTTGCGAAACAATGAGACCGGGTTATTCGCTGCGAATTTTTATGCCATAACATTTTGCAACGGTTTTATCGATAATAATCCAATATTGAGTCATTTTGCAGCCAATTCCCTTCGTTGCTTGACTTGTGAAGGCAGAGATTGCGATGATTTGAGTGTTGTTCACAGCGAAGAATGTCCGAATATTGTGAGAAGTTGCTATTCCGTCTCCGATGACTCGCAACATTGTAAGTTATGAAAGTTATGAGACTAGCGGTCCGAATGTTTCAAATTTTAGTGTATCAAGCCGGCTGCGCCTACACTGATTGCTCCCGAATCCGCAACCACGGGAATTACAAGAACTGTGTGCTGTGTGATACCGATTCGTGTCTGCCTTATAATGTCAATTATAAGAACCGAAGACAGTCCAACGGGATTGGAACTGGTGCCAGTATCGGAGTGAGAGATGAAGGGAATGGCGTCGGAACTGGCGCTCATATTCGACGTGGCAACAGTGTCGCAGCCACTGCGCCTGGAGTTGTGAGCTTGGCCGTTGCTGTCTTTGTTGGACTTATGGGTCGATAGGAGGTGAAATATTTTTGTTTGGAATAAAACCTAATAAAATATTTTTAAAAGAACTTGAAAAAGATGTAGAGAACTTTTTGGGAATCCAAGATATTCAATGTCCTTTTTTGATAAGGGAATGTAAGCAATGCGTGGAGAGAGAAACATTTTTTGTGATATCTCGATTGATTCTTTCAGAAGCATTGTTCTCACCGGTAGAAATAAGGTGATAACTTTTCATGCATAAACTCTCAAAAGGGGTCAAATTTTGATCAACTTTGAACCTGAAAATCTCGATTGTTTCCTACCGGTTCTCACTATTTTCCATTGTCTATCGTCGCTAAGACCATTGAACAGCTTTTTGGGCCCATTTTCAGAGACCCATGTCATGGCATACTATCAGATTCCAGAAAAAGTAAAAAAACCAAAAAAATGAGTAATTGCATACTGTAAACCCGGGGCGACATATGCACTTAAGCCCCGAGGCAATTCCCCTTTCACACTTCCGAACTGACATCCAACAACCCAACTCTCCATATTCGGCACACTTTTACTTTGATTGACATGTGCAAATATGGGGGGACCAGGAGGATATATGGTCGTATTTCTATGGTGACATCGGTAATGCGGGGGTTGCTTCCTTTCGGCACGATAATCCCCCCGGGGCAAAGGTTTCGATTTTAAAAATTCCAATTAAATCTTGCCCTAATTCCTGGGCCTCTGCACTTCTGAATGCGGCGGTCTTTGGCCGAATCGGCGGACGTAGGTGAGGTGTAATGGGGCTTAATTTTGAGATTTCTAATTGCAAATTAAAAGGAAATTGAATCAAAATCTAATAAAGTCAGGTCATTAGGGTTATAATAGAGATTGTTTTACAAATCGGATGTACTTTTACAGTTAGTTAACTATATTTTTCAAGCTTCATGTACATTGTCATATAAAGTAATATCTGAAATTTTAAAATTGTCATCATTGGCAGTCCCCCGACCTTTTCCTTTTTCAAATCTTGACTGTAATAACTGTAGCTCCCCCGGGTTTTTCGAAAATGTTTCCTGTAAAGTTTAAGTCCCGGATTTAAATTTTAAACGTTTCTACAGAAAGGGGGTTTCTTTTTGTCCACAAAAATGAAAACATGGGGGTTTTGCGGAATCAGGCAGTTTTGTAAACGGAAATTGTGTTCTTCGAGAAGACGGTAATTTCCTTTCAATTTTTATATTATTTTAGTTTGTTTTGGAGTATTGCGGGGAGATCAGAAAAACGCTTTTTGGGCATGGCTCTGCCAATATCAAATGAAAAAACCGTTTTTCTGAAATTTTTTACATGGCCATCTCCAGTAGAAATGAGGCTGAAGGTTTTAATGCTAAAAAAAAAAACAGCGCAAAAGTGCCCATTTTCTAGCAACTATCGGATAAAAAGTCCTAGTTTTTTCTGAAATTTTTGAGTTGCCAATGGCGTATGACTTAGAAAAGATGAATATAAATTTATGCCAAGTTTTATCTAAATCTGAGCATCGCATACTGGCCTTAAAAGTGTTGGATCAAGTCTCATCGAAATATCTTCTCACTTTTCCCAATCTCCCAATCGTTTGTATAATAGATTTCTAACAATCCCCAGCACATTCTAATTTTATCACCTTTTATTTCCTCGCTTTCGAATCCATGCCTTAAAATAGATGATGTCCCAGCAACCAAAATCTATTCTTGCTCCTCTCTCCTCGAATTATTATTACGGTACTCACGTAAATCTGCACCGTGGATAAGCTGCGTCACATCCAAGTACCGTAGCGCGGCACAACAATGTAAAGCTCGCGTTTATTTCGGGCGCCATCACGACAAAGAGAATTCAAATTTCGAAATTGGATTAGGACAACTTAATCCGAGGGCAAGAAGAATTCCCCTCTCCAGGCGCGAGCGGGCTGTAATCCGGGGCCGGCCCCAGCACGATGACAGCCAGATCAAAGGTTTGCTCTATTGTCCCTGATTATTCGCGGGAATGTAGAGGTGTTTTGGTGGATAATTAATCGCCCAAGAACGTGACATCCAAGATGCCCGAAGATATTATGGTAGTACAAAGTCGTTGGAACAAAGGGAATTGGGATTTCCCATTGAGTAGGGGGCAATTAAAAAACATGACAAATAATCGGAGAATCTCGCAAAGGAATTTGGAAATCAATTTGGGGGATTGGACACTTGCTATATGGATTCCTTTGTTGACGCATTTTTAGACCTCAGTAGGTGTTGGAATATTGTGTGATAATGGGTGAAGTCTTGCAGAAAATAGTCTGGAATCATACACTTTGTACAATATATTTGATAACTTTTCAAATCAAATACCGCGCGCAAAGTAAGACGTTCCTAATGACAAATACATATACACATGGTGAGATCTATAATTTTGTCTGTAAAATATGAAACTTCTATGGGAAAGAATCTGCACCGAAATCAATGTAAAAACGTGCTTAGAGTTTTGTGTTTTCCTGTCTGATCGCTTGACTTATTTTCCTAAAGTCTCTTGTCTGCATGGATCAAACTGTGTGGGCTATGGCTGGTAGCCCAAGACAAAGATTTTATCGCTAGATTGTCCTTTTACAAAAAACAGCAGTGAAATTTCAAGCAAGCCTAACACTAGCACATCACGTACTTGTAGCAGCTCTATTTCCGATACAAAAAATATGCTCTCCTTGCTTTTATCGACATATAAAAATGCTCTCTAAATAAAACTTTTTTTTTACAAAACAGCTCACATTTCCAGCTACTTACACTTGCAATATGATCAGCGCTAGACACTATCTAATCCGCGTCTACTGTACGGAAAGATTTCTTTGTTACTTATGCATCCTTCTCTCTCTATTACATGTGACGCCAACTCGGGAAACGTAAGGTATTTACCACCAATAAAATCCCTCGTATTATTTACCGAGCGGAGAAAAACTGCGGGAGATTATCCACTTTGTTACCGTATGAATGAGGTTGTTTGCGCGTGAACGCGTCGAAAGAATACCCCAGATTTCACGCCTCAGGGCGGCGATGATTGGGCGCGCTAATTGGGCCAAGGTCTTTGATTTAATTTCCGGCCGAATCGCTCTGAATGGAGAGAAGGAGCCAAATTACGGAAGTCATGGCCTGAGGGCTTGTTGCATTGAGAGGAAACTATATATCATCATAGTACTTTTATTTATGAAATTCTTAACAATTTCTGAAGGTGCTGTGCAAAGATCAGATAAAACAGGTCTTAGCAGGGGTATTTAGAGCATGTTTATCGGTAAATTCCAATAGCAGATTAAGCAATTTATAGTTCTAGTTAAGCGGCGAGCAGTCGGGGGTTTCAAAATAAGTATAGTTTAGTTCTTGAGAGCTTAAGATCTATGAAAATTTAAGGATTTGAGATGTTTTCAGTCCTCTACCCACAGTATTTTTACATTTAATTGGTGTTGTACGGTAATCCGTCACCCTTCGCCTGCTAACTCCCCAATATCCTCTTCTCGGAACCCCAGATTTCAACTCGTCTATTTTAAAGATTTTCAGCCCTTTTTGGCCACGTTTTCCCTTTGTTCCACAGTAATATGTCTGGGATTGGACGTGCAACTAATCCATTCCGCTGAGTTCTGCAAGAATACGGACTCCAAGAAGTATGTATTTTTGATGCTCTAATAGGACTAAAGAGATTAATCCGCAGACATTATGACCCGATTTTAACTCTGGTTTTCGTCATAAATTTTGAGTCCAATCTTGTCCTAATTTTACCTTAATTAACTGGTGTGCGACGCTTGGCTTTTTAGTCCTGCGGACACATTTGGCCCAGGCGACGTCTGAACTAGAAATCTTAGCTCGCGCTTTGCAAGGGTAGCCCACAAAATCAACGTTATTTGCCGCTAGAAGAGCAGAGGAAATGCAGAGAGCGGCCAGAGAAAAAGCCGGGTTTCGGCGGTCTCTTCGCCAAAATACGGCATGGAATTGATTTTTTGGCAATTTTTTTTGCCAATTTTTCCCATTGTGTGTGCAAAACTTAAACAAGTTCTTACAATTAGCACCGCACTTCGGACACCTACCTGGTTAATTTAGGTAAAAAAGATAAGATTAGGACAAGATACTGGACTCAAAATTGATGACGAAAACCGAGGTTAAAATTAGGTCATAATGTCTGCGGATTAGTGTCTTTAGTCCTATTAGGGTGTCCAAAATACATATCTTGGGGTTCGTATTCTTGAGACTCTTCCCTTGTTTAGTTCCCCTTGTTTATTTCCGTAACCATCATTGACGCGCAACCTATTGTCAATAAACGGTATTTCTACGGAAGGTTCCAGTCATCGAACTAATCCTGGTTTTTAATTTCCAATTTTCGATTTGTAAATAAAAGTTTTTTGGTTTGCAAACATAATCTTGTTGCGTGCAAAGTGAAGAAGCCTTTGTTGACAAAATTGTAATTATCCGCGATTTTTGGCAGCCAAACAAAGCGTAAAACCATCACCATGTTTGGAATTGCTATCCTCATTAATTTTCCTACAATGTTGAGGTTCACAAGGTTACTGTAGTAAAGGTGGCCAACATGCCAAACAAGTGCCCCCAAAACTTTTTGCAAACCGATAGTTTTGATTTTACTCTTTTCAAATAAACATTCAGACTATTCATTATAAATGTATAGTACTTATAAGTACTATACAGGGTGTTTCAAGAAATTTGGAACAAATGATTTGCTTATATCTTTGTGTTCTTTGCAACTATCAACGAATTTCTTTTTGCTTCTAAAAATTGACAGCGTGCGTTTTTAGAATCTAAAAAAAAATTTTTTTTCGTCGGCGGAGGGCCCATTTCTCGGCGGAGAAAATTAGGGCTTTTTTTAAAAATCACAGCGTATTACGTGGCGGAAACGCCGTTGCAACGGCTGAAATCAAGTTTACGTAATACCTCCATCGATTTTACGGTATGCTTTTTTTGCGTTTTCGATTTTACGCACTTTTGCGGATGCGCGGCGGAGACCTCAGATTTCGGTGGACGTTGTTTTGGGCCTTTGGCTTTTGCAAT